ATGAATTACCTAAAGCTAACAAATTATGTATTAAATATATTTTAATAATTTAAAAAGTATATTTTCCTTTAAAGCTACGTTAATTCTAAACGGACTTTCATTACCATTTTCAACACTTGAAGCAATTTTTAATAGTGCCCCTTCTTTGCGAGTTTTACATCTTTCAAAAACACAATTTCCTTATTCTGAATTAAATTGTTCAGACTTGGAAAAAACAACAAAAAATTATATTTCAAAAAATTTGGAAGAATTACATTTAAATGATTGTGAAATAGATAACTGGCACAGAGTATTGAATGTTTTGTTTTATTTCCCTCAATTGGAAAGGTTTTGTATTTGTTAAAAAATTAACATTTAAATCTCTCAATTAATTGTTAAAATGACAATATTCTCAAATCCTTAGACCAAACTAAACTAGGAGGGACGGTCTTAGTTTTTTATGAAGATATTTTAAAAAGGACTATTTTTAAGTAAATTTCCAAATGAATTTTCGATAAATAATATATGTATTTAATTAAAAATTGTAAATGTTTGAAAAGAAAAGGTAAAGTTAGAGAGCACAGAGTAAGTTACTCTACTCTGTTAATACATTGACTTTTAGGTATGTGTCATTTGAAAACATTTAAGTCTTGAGATTTAAGAGAAAAATTCCTGGAAATTCTTTTTACTCTAAAATAATCGTTTTTTAAAGAAAAATTGTTGTTTTGTTTGTTTTTTTTTTCAAAAATTGTTTTTTTTTAAATTCCTCTTTTGTTATTTTACATTTCTTTGTAAAGTATTTTGTTTTGAGAGCTAGTGTTTGAAAATGAGTATTATTTGACTAAAAGCTGATTCAAGCCCTTAAAACTCACTAAATTTTATAGCAATTTTCGAAAATTTAAACGTTTTATTTAACTTCTTTTTTTTCGTTCATTCACAAATTACTTAACAATTTTCAGTCTTTTCTTGGCTGATAACCCATTAATTTCTGTTCATCATTGTCAAAAGTGCAGCCTTCAGACAAATGAATTAACTAAAAAATTACGAGTACTTTCATTAAGTAATACAAAAATTTCAAGTTGGCAATCTATCGAAAATTTACTTTCTCTTAAACAATTAGAAGAACTTAAATTAATTAATATACCTTTACTTAAAGGTTTAAAAATAATTTTTTAAGTAAAAATAATTTATCCTTTTTTCAAAGATTATTCAATTGAAGAACGTTTACATTTAGTTATTGGGAGACTTAGAAATTTAAAAATACTTAATGGTTCTCATATTGGTAAAAAATAAATTTAAAATAAAAATTGAAATTTAAAAATTTAATTTAAAAGATAATCGTCAACACGAAGAATCTGAACGTTTTTTTATTCGTTTTTATTCAAATTCTGACAAAAAACCTTCAATATATTCGGAATTAATTGAAAAACATGGAATGTTAGAACAACTAGTCAAAGTTGATTTAACACCTAAACGTTATGCAAAAGTTGTAATTCATTGTGAGGAATGTGAATGGGTTAGAATGTTGGTTAAACTTAGATTATCTGGGACGGTTTTGGAATTGATGAAATTTTTGGAGAGGTTAACTAAAATACCTTTAAGGTATGATATTGTTTTTAAAGAAGGCCATAATTTGTTAATAATAAAATAAATAATTTACTCCAATTCCTAGCTATAAATAAAGAAAATTAGAACTTTACTAAAATAAAAAAATATTCTTATCGGGTTTTAAAAATAATTATGTCATAATTGATCTTTTGTTAAATAACATAAACTAACCAAAATATAAAAATTATCCAAATAACTAATTAAAAAAATCTTCATTCTTCTTAACAGACTAATGAGAATTTTCTACGTTGACAAACAAATATCTGCATTGGGACCCGAAGAATTACGATTTCCTAATCAAGTAAAATTTTCAGAATTTACAAAAAATAATTTGGTACTTTTCGGTTATGAGGTTACACATTTACAAATTTTTAAAAGCTCTCAAAATGGTCAATATAGCATATGTATAGGGTAGAAAAAAGTGCTGAGTCGAACGGTACCAATCTTTTTACACGGAGATTCTTGTGGACAGAGATATAGGGCTCGAAATGGTCAAAAATCATAGGGAGTAGTAAGTTCATTTTTGGGTCGAAAAATTCCATTTTTTGAATGATAGATCATTCGAAAGAGCTCCACGAGCTCGAATGGCACCAAAATCAAACCGATTTAAAAAGTTTGGACAAAGCTATGATCGTTTGTTTTAGCTCCTTACCTATGGACTCCCTATGATTTTTGACCATTTCGAGCCCTATATCTCGGTCCACAAGAATCTTGAAAAAAGATTGGTACCGTTCGACTCAGCCCTTTTTCTACTACATATATGATATATTGACCATTTTGAGAACTTTTTAAAATTTGTAAATGTGTAACCTCATAACCGAAAAGTACCAATAATTTTAATTTTAAGGAACTCAAATTATTACATATTGAGGATGATGATGAATTTTTTATTCAGTCAAAACTTCCACAAATTAATTTAAATAATCCCTCCAATACAATTAAACAAATTTCTTTTAACAAAAAATTATCTTCAAATCAAGAACAACCCAATAAATAAACAAATTATTTTGTGATCTCTTTAAATATTTTTATTTTTTTATATTTACAAAATACCCAATATATACATACAACAATACAAATTCAATATAAACAGAATATATTTTTATATTTAATCTTTATTTAATCACGCAATATCCGGCAAAACACCATATAATGATTCAGTCTTTGCATTATTTTGTGATTCGACTGATTCTTGAGTATTCTCTATATCCTCCTTTTGCCCAGTTCGCATAGCTTTTGGTTTGCTTTTCTAAAAATTGAATAAAAAATTATGTATATTTTCTCCTCTTAATTACCTCTCCAGGTCTTTTAATGTAAACAGGTTCCCAATCCATTGGCTCATCGATGTTAACTTCCCGGGCGTCCATCATTTGAATAAATGCCGATTCAATGCCACAATAGTCAGGTCGTTTGTTGTAGCATAAAGTGCGCAGATAGTCCATAATTGATCTGAATGCGACTGGACAACTCTGAAAATTTTGTAAAAAATTTTGTGAATTAATTAATCATTAACTGACATGCATATATTCATTTTCAATTAAATGTTCTTTCAACTCAGCAGCTTTGTCACGTGTATCTTGACCAAACCAAGGCAGAGAACCATTGTTCAAATCAACCAGCATATAGATGAGAGACCTTTAAAAAAACAATTATTTGGCCAATTAATTGGTAATGTCAAACATACCAAAGATCGTCATGTCGGCCAAGTTCAATGCGTTTATGTGCTTAAAAATTAAAAATATATTTTTGAGAATTAATTTCATTAAAAACACACCATTCAAACTACAATAGCCAGGCGTTCCACGGAAGGGCACATTTATTCTTGGTTTCCTTAGGAATTTCGTTCCCCTCTTCCTCAATGATCGAGACAATCCAAAGTCAATCAGATACACCCTGCTTAGATTTTCCCGATCAACAGCAAAGTTGGCAGGCTTAACGTCTCGATGCACATAATAAATACTGTGAAGAAAAGCAATCCCCTATAAATAATTTGTTTGGAAGTTTCACAATTTTTTGACTCACTCTCAAAGCCTGTACTCCAATTCGTAGAACTGTCCCAGTCGTGAACTTGTATTTGGGCCTTTGGTCTTGCAAATCGCCAATAGACTTGCCTAGAAGAGCCATAACTAACACGCGAAAAGGCCTTTCTTTCGCTTAAATTTTTAAAGTTTAGGCTAATAATCAAGTGAGGAACACTCACCACGACATTTTCCATAAGCAATGAATTTTGCGGCATAGGCAGAAAACTGTAGTCGTTTGAGAATATGTGCTTCTAGTGGTAAGAGCTGATCTTGCCTCCTTTGCTCCATACTTTCAAGTTTCATTGCATATTGGTCTCCATTCGTAGCCAGGACTTTGTACACAACTCCACAGCCGCCTAAAATGAAATTAAATTTTTCTGGCAATTTATAACACAAAACTAACCAGCGCCTAAAGTCGCAGCCACCACAAACTGCCCAATACTGGCCCCCACTGGGAATTTAAGAGCATCTTCATTATATGAAAGTTTTGCTGCATCTTTGCCCTTTGCTGCTGATTCTGTTGGCTTTATTACTTGCTGAACAATTTGCGCTTGAAGAGGCTTATCTTCTTTTGGCGAATGTCCTTTGCTATCTACAGGCTTCTTTTCTTCCTTCTTTACATCTTTCTGTTCTGGGACAGGCAACTTCTTTGGTATTATTTCTAATTTTGGTATGAAGACATGAACCTTCTTTTCTTCAACTTTTGCAGCTTTGCCCTTTATTGGTTTGTCCTTTCCTTTATCCTTTTTCTTCTTATTGAGACAATGAATCAACGACGCAGCTGGCAGAAGCATTAAAATTATGAGTAATGCAGGAACTAGAAGAGCCAAGTTGGTATAGTTGGAGCTTTGATGCATTTTTGGACTAATGGTAATGAATTGGAGGATTGGGTAGAAATTGGTGTGATAAAGTGGTTTTTATAGTAGTCCAGTTTAATAATTATTCCTAGTTTAATACTTATTGCGTACAGTCTCAGTTTTAAAATTTTATTAACTCGTGAATTATTTAGTTGGAGATAATGAAGGATATTATTTTTTAGAGTAATGGGAATGAATCGTTCTTTAAAAGCATTAAAGATTTAATCAGATTAACAGTAAACATTATATACCGTAAATGCTCGAATAATTACCCTGGGTAATTATTATTTCGACCTCTCGCTGGAGGGGTTAATTATTCGAGAGGAGGTTCTAAATTTGGGGTTTATTTTTTGATATTACTTAATAAACTGTTTCAATAATTAAAATTGACAATGATTTTTTCAATATATTTAAGATTTGTGTAAGAAAATGAGGGGGTAATTATTTAGGAGGGTAATTATTCGAGCATATACGGTATATAAAAATATATTTTATAATTAGGTATAATTAAAATCAAATAATCCCTCCTTCCAATTCAAGCAAAATTTAGTTTATTTAACTTCATTGTAGGAACATTAATAAATTTAACATTTTCTGATTTAGTAATCAACCAAGGTGTGCTTTTATCACCAAAATTGGTAAAATCAATTTTATTGAAAGTAATTGAATTGGCCAAATTTATTTGTGCTGGAGCGGCGTTAGTTACTTTAATGTTGTCAAATTTCTAAAAAGAAGAATAAATTAAAAATTGAATACAATATTTAAAAGAGACTTACAAAATTTTTATTATAAATTGTTTGATAATTACCGCCACCCTCATGCCCACATAAATAAATAACAGATCCACTCTTTGTTGGTTTTACATTATCAATACTACAACGAGTAATAGTTATATTACTAAATTGTGTTGGTGTTTTTGCTTTGCCATTTGAAGTTGTGTGATAATTTAACATAAAAACGAAAGGGTGTCCACCAGTTGTATCTCCACTAAATTGGCGACCACCAAAAGTAAAATTATTGCGAGAACCAACACTCTGCATTGCTATATCACGAACATAAACATTTTGGACCCCACCGCCACATTCTGGCATACTTTTAAGTCTAACTCCATTATCAGTTAAGAAGGCGATACTGTCCTAAACTAGTGTGTTTATTGAAATATGTGTATGTATTTCTGACCTCAATAAGTATATCCTTTACCCAATCTCCAGTGCTACTGCCAAATGACGGTGCTCCATGTCCATGTCGGAAATAGTTGTTTTTAATTAGTATACATTGGACGGGAGCCCCTTGTCCAGCATTACTTCCACAACCAGTACCCATTGCAATACAATCATCGCCTGTATCGAAGAAACTTCCAATTATTTGGATATTTGAACTTGAACCAATGTCGATACCATCACCGTTATTTATATTATATGTTTGGAATCTGACATTGATTATTGACTTAAAAAATAAATAAAATTCTTTAATAATTTTATAAAAGTTAGTTTAGTAAACTTACAGCATTTTTACAATCTCCAAGCCCTATTGTAGTCATTGAAGGGTTTATAAATGTAATTCCTCCTCCAATATGTAAATTTGATACTGAATTTATAGCAAACAAGCGTGATCTTGAGCCATAATTATTTCCATTTGCAATTATCTGATTAGCAGCCAAATTACCCAAATTTTTAAAAGTGTTAAAAGATCCTTTTGGATAAACAGGAATTTGCTTGCCAAGTTCATCTGTTGCGTTAGAAGTTAATTTCCATCCATTTCCATCAATTGATCCAGGACCAATCACTTTGATGTTGGTTATTGCCTGATATTTAAGAGGAGATTAATAAAATACCTAAATGAAAATTAAAATCTAATTTACATAAGCATTCAAAAAGGCACTAGGAGTATTTCCATATTTAATTGGAAATTTAGAAGGATTAGAAGTTGCACGTAAAATAGCCCCATTAGCCAATTCAAAAGTCATTTGTGAACGTAGAAATAAAGGCCCGCTTAGAAAAATTCCTTTTGGAATTAAAACTTTACATCCAAAAGCTGAAGTTGAGGTGGAGCAAGAATCTATAGCTTTTTGTATTGCTTGTGTATTTAATGTAGTTCCATCACCCGTTGCTCCGAATGTTGTTATATCGGCAATCTGTTTTTAAAAGGAAATTAATTATTAATGAATGTAAGGAAAAATGTGGACTTGAATGTAGGTTTTCGTGGGCTCACTCTCACAACAAATAATCTTGAATGATAAAAAGCAAGATAAACTCACCCTTACATTGATATTATGCTTTATGGATTTATATTTCTACTGCTTATTTTTTAACTTTTAAATTTATATTTTTAAATTCCACGAGACTAACTATAACATAACTTTTCAATAATAGGTATATTTTTTAAATAGATAGTTAAATTATTGCTGCACATTTTAATATCCGTTATACGATTGAAAAGCTAAAGTTTTTAGCACTAATTTAATAAAAATTTATTTATTTATCTTTCAAACAACCTTTCCATAATTTTCAGCAGTTTTAACAACAACTTGATTACTATTTCCAGATTCAGCCCCATTTGCATCTACAGCCCTAACAGTAAATGTGTATATTGTGTTTGGATTAAGTCCAGTAACTAAATATGTTGTAAAAAGTATTTTTGTATGGAAATTGTTCAAATCATTTTTATAAAAATTTTGAATATAAGGGCCAGACAAAGTATTTACAGCTAAATTTGCTTTGGCACTTCCAATTTTCTGTAAAAATTTTTCAAAATTAATTCAATATAAAATTGTTTGAAAAATTTATTAATTTTTTAAATAAATATGTATTCGTATTAGGACAAAGCACTATCTAAAATTGGAAAAAATACAAGATTTATATTAAAATTTTCAGGGTAAGAGTTACTAGACCGAATAGTTGTAGGGTCTAAATATATTAATATAATTACATAATCTAATTTATAATAATATTGGTAAAGAAGACGGCATTCTTTACATTAATGTACGAATAATATTTTGGACGTTTATGCTTTTTAATGTTTTTGGAGGTTAATTAATGTTGCGTATATTTAGAATATTCTATGGCACAATAAACGATAGTTTTAAGCACATCAGGAAACTAAAACTCTAATTGTAACGTATTACCTTTCCACCCATATAAACATTAAAATCAGCAATATTGTCATAATTATCAGGTTTATTCCAAGTTAGCCAAACACTATTTTGGTCATAAGCTAACGGAGGAACACATAATTGTTGTGGTATATTTGAATTTGTACCAAAATTTGGTTTAACACTTGAACACGAACATGGGGGAGTTATTGCTATAAATAAATAAATATTTAAAAAAAAAGTTCAATAAATACTTTGACTTAAGGCAAAATTTGTAGTTTCCAAGAAAATTATTTTAATTAAAATTATTCTTTTTAATATTGCTGATAGGATATAATATTTCATTATTCGAATAATTAATTTAAATTTTAAAATAAAATAAATATAAATTATTTTAGCAATTAAATATATAATAAAATTTAAGCAGGAATTTTTGTCTATAAATTAAAAAGACTTCCTGTATATTAAATAGCTGTTTAAATAAATTTTAAAATAAAATTTTTTGCCAACATTTAAATTATTCAATGTTTAAATTTTAAATTAAAAATCACGAGGAATTAAGTGTCTGAGACCATCTTTATTATTTAATTTTTCAATTAGTTTTGCTCAAAATCGGCAAATTAGCGGTAGACGGTATAAAATAGATTTTAAAAGAGAAATGGGTGGTTAAACTATTGAACTAAGTCTGGGATTGAATCCTGAATATACGAGACTTTTTCTGTTTTTATTAAATAAAATAATTTTAAACATTTACAGAATTTAGTTTTTAAGAATGTTTTTAGTTTTAAATAAGCTGGCATATTATTAAACATGGAAAAATAATGCAGCAACTTCTGGGTCCTAAAATTTAGATTTTTAGCCCTGAAGCGTTAGGAAATGCTGAAAGAACATTAATATTATCAACGGGTATCCGGGTATCTTCGGATATATATCTTTATTATTTTAAAAATTTGGTAGCGCTTTCCCACTTTTCTATCATTGGCTTTGCGGAGACCTTACTTAGTGTTTTAATTTAGTTTTTTAATTAATTTTTATTTTTTTTTAATTTTAATACTGAGTGAAAAATTTGCAAACAATATAGGTAATTTAGAGATTAACTCGTAATTTGTCTAAAGCTATTTAGAAGGTTTAACCAAATATATTATTTATCCAATACAAAAATTATCTATCAACAGAAAATGTGTCGAAAACATTCAGAAATCTTCAATAAAATTAAATCAATTATTCAACGATTAAATTTTGTAAATTTATAAAATTAAAATTGAAATCTTTACAAAAATTAATCTAACTTTATTTAAAGTTTTAGATAGTGCTGCATTCGCTTAATCAAATAAACAATTTGCATTTTCACATGCAAATATAAAGTTGACCTTTTTCTAAATATAAAGGTCTCCCGACGTTATCATCCAATTCTCGTTCCTTATCTTATTTTTGTTATTCACTTTCTGTTTATATTTTGACCCTTAAATTGTCTCTATAAATAACCCAGCCTTTTCCTCATTATTAGAAGATTTGGCTTAACCAATCTCTCCCTTATTATTGTGCCCATATTTATATGGAGAATAAATTAATGAATAGAATAAATATTTGAAAATGTAATTCAGTCTAATATAAGTCCCCAGAATAGTAGAACCCGAGTTAAGCTATATAAACCCAAATATAGCAATTGGTGCCACATGTCCCGGGATATTCTGAGAGGACTAAAAATTAAAATACCGGGCATTGACCCGAAGAAAGAAAATATTCGTGAAATTGAATAAATTAAAATACCGGTTATACATAAACCGAGGTAGCTAAGAAATTTGAAATTAATAAAGCATCCACAAATAAAATAATGGCATAGCTGATGTGAGAAAAATTGAAAAATTCTAGAAAATGGAAATTTTGAAATTGTAGGATTTAGAAAAACGTCTTGAAGATGTAATGATCTGAAAAGTTAGCACTGAAGACAGAAGCGGAAAAGAACTTTCTGTGGTAAATAATTAAATAGCCGAAGCTTGGTGCGGGCTAGGTGCCTGGCTATAATGCATAAGACGCGGGGTGCGCAGCAAATAAAACCGAGAATGGATCTAAACTTAATCTTTAAGCAGTGATAGCTGTGGAAGACAAGCAAAAGCAAGACGATTTTTTTATTGAAGGGAAGGAAAAAATGATATGAATTTTTCAGAAAAAAAGTGAAGGATAAGAAAATTATTAAAGATAGAATGATAAATCTTTCACCCGTATCTACATCGGAGAATCTCACGCTCAAGTCGCAAGAGAACAGCAACAAGTAATTTATTATGCAACTTCTATGCCTCAACAATTCAATGATAAGGGACAACAATAAAATGACTGATCAACTCTGGATGCAAAAATGACACATGGCACTCATCATCATCTGAATACAAATGGCAACACTGGAAAGAAATGATGCTCCAATCTAAGCTAGGCTGTGAAAAAACACTCCATAAGTTCTTGTCACCCTAATTAATTTTCAAAATTTTTGTAAACCAATTTTTTAATTCCCTTGTTTGTAATTTTTCCTTGTTTTTAACCCTTTCAAAATTATGTAATCTGCCCCATTCAGTAATCTCTCTAAAATTTACTAAAGTCGGAGAATATGGAGTTGAATCGCTAATGCAGAAAATCTTATATGACAAGAAAAAGATTTTTAAACCCAAATGGAGATTGTTAAGCGATGGCATTAAAATATAAAAAGTAATTAATGAAAATACCGTCACGAGAAATAAAAGACGAGAATGGAAAAAATTATAAAATATTTAAAAGTTAAAGTGCCACCCGTTAAATCGGAGAAAATTTAGTTAAAAAAAGCAGCCTAAACAAATCTCCCGAAATATCAGAACGTGGACGTTCTTTTCGAAGAGGGAAGGAATGCTGCATTCGCTTAATCAAATAAACAATTTGCATTTTCACATGCAAATATAAAGTTGACCTTTTTCTAAATATAAAGGTCTCCCGACGTTATCATCCAATTCTCGTTCCTTATCTTATTTTTGTTATTCACTTTCTGTTTATATTTTGACCCTTAAATTGTCTCTATAAATAACCCAGCCTTTTCCTCATTATTAGAAGATTTGGCTTAACCAATCTCTCCCTTATTATTGTGCCCATATTTATATGGAGAATAAATTAATGAATAGAATAAATATTTGAAAATGTAATTCAGTCTAATATAAGTCCCCAGAATAGTAGAACCCGAGTTAAGCTATATAAACCCAAATATAGCAGATAGATTTAATTTTTAAAAAATTTAATTAATTTTAATCGACGCCGGAACAGATCCACCGTTTTATGGATTCGCACTTCAGAATTGGAGTTTTTTCATAATCTTCGGATCAATTCAGAAAGATCAAATTTTATGTAAAAAAAGTTAATAGAAATTTTTAAATTTATTTATAAACGATATGCAAGATATTAAATATCTAAATTTTGAAACAAGTAAATGTCCAGAACAGGTGAATAGCGAACTGAACATTTATCATGAAAAAATATATAATAAAAAATTAGATTTCCTTCCCTCTAGAGAACTTTTTTTAATTAAAAAAATTAAATTATTTACTTTAATGATTTAAATAATTGCTAGAACGTGGTAATTTTGTTTTACGTTTTCTAAAAAATATTAATTTTAATAAAAATTTAAAAATATATTTATTCACAACATTAAATTTAACATCTATATATTCAAACAAATTAAAAATAATATTTAATTTCAAGCAAAATTTAGTTTATTTAACTTCATTGTGGGTACATTAATAAATTGAACATCTTTAGATTTAGTAATTGACCAAGGGTCGTTACCGCCAAAATTTGTAAAAGTAAATGTATTAAAAATACCAGTGTCGAGTAATTTTATTTGTGCTGGTGCTGCATTAATTACTTTAATGTTTTTAAATGTCTAAAAAATAAATATTTTATATTTTAGATAATTAAAATGGTAGCCCGACCGTCCCTAAACGGTTTTTTCCTCAGTATTATCTCCAATCCAAATTTCACTCCCAAAAATATAAACTACCCCGTATCCTTACATATCCAACCAGACTATATAGGTTAGAATATGCTATTAATTTATAAATATCTAACAATATTTTTGTTATAAACTGGTTGATAAATATTTCCTCCATCATGTCCTACTACATAAAGAATTTCTCCACTTTTTGTAGGCTTTATATTATCAACACTACAACGAGTAATTGTGATATCTTTAAATTGTGCAGGTATTTTTGCATTTCCAGACGGATTGGAATCATAATCTAACATAAAAACGAAAGGGTGCCCAGCAGTTGTATCTCCACTAAATTGGCGACCACCAAAAGTAAAATTATTGTAAGAGCCAACACTGAGCATTGCAATGTCACGAGCATAAACATTTTGAGCACCACCACCACATTGTGGAGAACTTTTAAAACGAATGCCATTGTCAGTTAAAAAGGCGACATTGTCCTAAAATATTCTCTATATTTTTTCAATTTATTAGAAAATAATTAGGTTGGAATGAGAGATAGAAATAAGAAGTTCTCTTGCGGCGAGTCAAACTGTAACATTTTTCCCTTTGGTACTCGTAGTTACATACCTAGGTGTAAAATACGAGTAGGAGCAAAATTGAGGTTCCAACACGCTAGTTCCTACTGTAAATGAATATCTTACCTCAACAAGTACATTTATAATTCCATCCCCGGCGCTGCCTCCAAAAGCAGGTGCTCCATGTCCATGTCGGAAATAGTTGTTTTTAATTAGTACACATTGGACGGGAGCCCCTTGTCCAGCATTACTTCCACAACCAGTACCCATTGCAATACAATCATCGCCTGTATCGAAGAAACTTCCAATTATTTGGATATTTGAACTTCTACCAATATCTATACCATCACCGTTATTTATATTATATGTTTGGAATCTAACACTGATTATTGACTTAAAAAATAAATAAAATTCTTCAATAATTTTATAAAAATTAGTTTAATAAACTTACAACATTTTTGCTATCTGCAAGCCCTACTGTAGTCATTGAAGGGTTTATAAATGTAATTCCTCCTCCAATATGTAAATTTGTAACAAAATTAAAATTTGCAAGTCTTGATCGAGAATTATAGTTATTTCCATGTGATTGTACTTGATTCGCGGCCAAAATGCCTAGGTTATTAACTGTGCTAGGCGAACCCTTTACATATACAGGAATTTGTTTGCCAAGTTCATCTATAGCATTAGAAGCTAATTTCCATCCATTACCATCAACTGATCCCAGGCCAATCACTCGAATATTTGTTAATGATCCGTTCTATTTTAAAATGGAAAACAAATAATAAATTTAAAGGAAAGGCTGATAAATTTTTAAAATAAAATAGTGGAAATTTTCCTTTTTCAAAATTAGTTATAGAGAAAGGCAGAGCCTATACCAGATTAAAATTTGATGAGATTAATCCTGAGAAAATTTCGAAGCTGATTAATATCAAAAATAAAATACCACCACCGATTAATAGTTTTCAATATATTTTAAGGTAAATTGAATGATTTTAAATATTAAAAAAATAAAATCCTCACAAGAGCATTCAAAAAAGCAATAGGAGTATTTCCATATTGATTTGGAAATTTAGAAGGATCAGAAGTTGCACGTAAAATAGCCCCATTAGCCAATTCAAAAGTCATTTGTGAACGTAAAAATAAAGGCCCGCTTAGAAAAATTCCTTTTGGAATTAAAACTTTACATCCAAAAGCTGAAGTTGAGGTGGAGCAAGAATCTATAGCTTTTTGAATTGTTTGTGTATTTAATGTGGTTCCATCTCCTTTCGCCCCGACTGTTGTTATATCGACAATCTGTTTTGAAAAGAATTTAATTATTAATGAATGTAAGGATAAAATGTAAAGGACTTCGAAACTCGGGGTTTATCAGGGGAACGGTTTCTCTCTTAAAATTTTAGTGCTTTTTGTGATTTTCCATATTTTAATATTCGCTATATAATTTAGAGTTTTTAATAGTGTTATTCAAACGCGTTTTTTCGGTATCGGTATCGGTATTTTCGGTAAAATACCGATTTTTTAAAAATTGTTCGGTAGCGTATTCGGTATCGGTATTTCTGTAAAAATACCGCGGTATTACCGAAATATACCGCGGTAATACGGTACCGTGAATAACACTAGTTTTCAACACTAATAACCTTTCCATAATTTTCAGCAGTTTTAACAACAACTTGATTACTATTTCCAGATTCAGCCCCATTTGAATCTACAGCTCTAACAGTAAATGTGTATATTGTGTTTGGATTAAGTCCAGTAACTAAATATGTTGTAAAAAGTATTTTTGTATGGAAATTGTTTAAATCATTTTTATAAAAATTTTGAATATAAGGGCCAGACAAAGTATTTACAGCTGAATTTGCTTTGGCACTTCCAATTTTCTATGAAAATATTTCATAATTAATTGAATATATTACATGAAAAAGGTGTTTTTATTATAATGTTCTGATGTTATTTTCCTCCTCACCTATTCCTTGATATTAGATTCCAGTTATTTTCGATTCCGGTTATCCGGAAATTTTCGATTCGGTTCCTGATAAAAAGAACCAAAAAAATTCCTGGAACCGCCAATCCATATAAGTGTATCGTTGTCAAGTTCTTTTAGTTTATTTTCAGACTTATTCTATTTTAGACTTAATATCGCGCTATGGTTTTCAATTATTTGTGATATTTTTTTACCTTTCCACCCATATAAACATTAAAATCAGCAATATTTTCATAATTATCAGGTTTATTCCAAGTTAGCCAAACACTTTTTTGATCATAGGCTAATGGAGGAACACATAATTGTTGTGGTATATTTGAATTTGTACCAAAATTTGGTTTAACATTTGAACACGAACATGGTGGTGTTATTGCTATAAATAAATAAATATTTTAAAAAAAAAGTTCAATAAATACTTTGACTCAGAGCAAAATTTCTAGTTTCGAAAAAAATTATTTTAATTAAAATTATTCTTTTTAATATTGTTGCTAGGATATAATATTTCATTCTTTGAATAATTTAATTATTTTTATTTTGATATTATTGCTATAAATAATTATTTAATTATATATATAAAAAATTGAAAATAATTATCAAAATTAGTTAGTTTAAATTAAATTTAAATAAAAACTTTTTGAACGATTTTTTTCTTTTTTTTTGTCAAAAAATATTCAGCTAGAGTTTATTATTAAATTAATTTAAATTATATAAAATTTTATTTAAATTAAAATAAACTTTCTTTTATATTAAAAATAAAAACCGACAAAAATCTTTTATCAAATTACTTCCTTTTTAGCTGTTTAAATAAATTTATTTAAAATTTTAACATTTTTTAAACTTTTAAATTAAATTATTAAATGTCTGAATTTTGTCAACAAGTAAATTTTAAAAGGATTTAAAATTTAGCGGAAATATTCTTAAACATCATATGGTTTTTAAAACTTTTTTAATGCTGATTAAATATTAAAAAAATTCATTAAAATATTTAAACTATTTTTTAAAATATTAAACAAATTAAATATTTAATTTTTACTTTTTATTAAATAAAATAATTAATCCAATAAAATATTCAAAATATTTTTGATAAAAAAATCTTACAAATAATGACTCACATAAAAAGATTATGATTATTAGTGCATAAATAAATTCATGCAAAAAATTCCAGTGCAGTGTCAGCCACAAGATTAACCTAAAATGGAAGTTTAAAAATTAAAAATTTTTATTTAAATTATTTTTCTTTTCGAAGTTTTCTGATTTAGAATTAAGAATTAAATTAATAATTTTAAAAATATAGAAAAATCAGTCATCCAGATTTGGGGCACATGGTAACATTTAATGCCTAATTTTTATAGTTAACACGTGTGCAACAAACCAGAATAACCAAAATTTCTGATTTTTTAAAGAAAATTGAAGAATTATAGAGGTAATAATTTTTCTTAAAATTATTTTAAATTAAATTATCTTTTTTTAGAATTATCTAAAAATATTTATTTTTAATTTTTAAATAAAAATAATTTAAAATTTATCTAAGAAAATATATAAATTAATTTTTATTAATATAAAATTAAAATAAATTTTAAAGACTATTAAACGATTTAAATAATAACTAGGTGTTAATAAAAAAATATTTTTTTGTTATTTTAAATGAACAACTACTTTAATGGAAATATTTTATTAAAATAAATGCTTTTAATAAACTTCCTGCATTTTTTTCTACAATTTTTATTTCTCGATCATCTTTTCCCTTTTTTAATAATTCAAGAATTTATAGAGAAAAAAACAAAAATTAACTGATCAGATTTAAAGATAAAAAATAAAAGAATTAAAAAAAGGAATTTTAAAAGCTTTTTTAAATAAAAAAAAGTTATTCTAAAAAATATTTTTCGTTTAAAGTTCAATATTAAAATAATAAAAAAAATTTAAAATTTAAATTAACAAATAAATTTCAAAAAATTAAAAGTGTTTTTGATTTGAAAATAAAATTAAAATAGTCGTCTTTTTCAAAAAATTAAACCTAAAGAACACTAAAAGATTCTTATGTCTAAAATTCTTTATTTCTTTAGAAAATTGGTTGTCCTATTTTAAGGCTAGCATTAATTTAATTCTTAGAAAATAATTAATTAAAATAATTTGCCAAAAAAATATTTTTTAAACTTTATTAATTCATTTATTTAGATCACATATATATTTAGGTATTTATGAAATTTAAAAATAACAAAAAAAAGTTTTTTACTCGGGATATATCAGGAATGAAATTTAAAAAAATTATCCAAAATATATAAATTTCATTCCTTATTTTATTTCAAATTAATTTTCTGGGGTTCTTTTCTTAATTTTCTTTTAAATAAATTCAATAAAAATGAAGATCTGCGGCAATACAATTTCCATTTGTTGATCCATATCTTCAAAAAAAATATTTTAAAAATCAAAGAAAATTTTTTTGGTTAACCTAGAAATATTTTGGAAAGGACCACAACAATTAGTAGCACTCAAAGACGAAAGAAAAGACGAGGAATTAGCCAAAATACTTTCATTATTAAAATTATTATTTAAATTTTTATCAACAAATAAATGGCTAAGATAACAGGGAGGGGTAAATGCTGTGCCCATTAAAGAGATTAAAGCAGAAATTGTTGCTATTATGCCGGCTAATGAAGATAAAACTTGAAAATAAATTTTTTGAGAATTAAAAAACTCCTCTTAGTCTCTCACCAATAACAAATCCACAAATAAATAACATTCGTCTATCTGTACGTTGAATCATTCTATACAATTATAAATTAAAATATAATTTTCTAAAAAAATTACTCAGATAAAGTTGGCGGTTTTTCATTCCCAAAATGTGCTGATTCATTCGCTTTTTTCTCACCGGCCGCCAAAAAAAGATAAAAAAGACAGGGGAAAATAACAGAAGTTAATGCTACTGTTGAACCACCAAAAAAGTCGAGTACAGGTCCAAAACTTGGAACTGATTCGGCTACAAAAACTATTGAAGCCATTACTCCCGTTCTAACAACAACTCTTTTCCAACAAAATTCTTAAAAATTTAGAAAGATTTTGGAATAAATAAATAATATAAATTAATTAGTATATCTAACCGTGAGGGACATCAAAAAGTTCCTCCACTTCTTGATTTAATGGATTAATAATTAAAGTTACTGTTAAAAGACCTGAAAAATTAAAAATAATTTAGTTCAAAAATATAAAAAATATTAACAATGTGCAGTTATCATTAAATTAACTGCTTGTTGAATCCAAACTGTTTGAATTGAGTTAATAACAGAATCTCTTAAACTATTTCCATAAACTAAACCGGTAAGAGAAACAACACCAAAATTAAAAAATGACATTACTAAAAATTAGAAATAATTTTTTTCAGCTAAAAAAACAAACAAATAAATCCAAAAATTGCAGAACGATCAAAATGTGAGGGTCTTTTCATGTCATGTTGAATTGTTGGAAATGCTGAATGCCCCCCATAAGTAAATAACATTGTTCCCAAAGCAACGAGGTAATTAGATAATGAAAATTGAGGAAATTCTCGAACAGGAGAACAAGAACCGATATCAAGGAAAGCACCCAAACAAATCAAAACAACTTTTAAAAAAAGAATATTTTTTTAAAGGAACCCAAAAATACTTGCAATTCCTGTACTTAACATTCCCCCAACAATAACTGGCCAGAAATCATTTGGTGATTTAAGTAATGTAACAGGTAATAAAACTAAAGCAACAACCAAAACTAATAAACAAGAACTTATATCAACATGAAAAAATGCGCGTAGAAAATCACGAATGTTTTTGGCACTCAACAGTAAAAATACCTTTTAAATAAAAATTTATTTTTAAAATAAATTATTAAAAATTAAAAGTTTATTTTTAGTTATCTAGAGAGCTGAGGAGGTTTTTCTTGGAGGTTTTGAAATAACATTCTAAATCAAAAAATTTTTCGTAGATTTTATTTTATCTCATATCTCTCCCGAGAAAACAATTAATTTTTTCAAACAATTTTCTAAATTAATTTTTATACTTACAGTTGAAGCTCCAAATTGTGTAATATTAACACAAGTAGAAACAATTGTTCTTAATTTTTTAAAATTTTATACAAAATTTAATTTATTTATACTTCATTAAAGGTCCAAGTGCTCTATAACCAATTTCTGCATAAGGTTTTCGACAATGTGTCCTATAATCGGGAAATCTCCTCACTAATATTTCCCAACAATTGCCTAGCATAACAGCCGAGAATGTTGAGATTAGAGCCATTACAGCAAGTAAAATAAGTCCGGGGAAAAATTCTAAATTAAAATTTTTTTAAATTTGTTTTAAAAAATTTTACGGCATCTAACAACGGCTGTAGGTAAAGCAACAATTCCCCCTCCAGCCATATCCGCAACTACAAAGAATGCCGCTAATAACCACCCCAAACCTCCTCCTTTCCTCAATTTTCCATCTTTTCCTTCAAAATAATCACCCATCTTTCCACCAATCGGTACAACTTTGTGACCATCTGCGGTTAGAATACTGACTCTATTTCTATTTAAAAATTATATTATTAAATTATACTAAATAAATATTGTTTTTTTCCTTTCATTCCATTTATTTAGTTAGTCATTTAATTATAAATATTATTTAGACTAATAAATAAAATATTAGGGCAGAAATATTGGCCAGAAAAAAAAATATTTTAAAATAAACTAAATAGAAATATTGAAAAATAATAGACTCATTTTAAAGGAGGAGTAATTCAAAAAGTGAGTTATGTAAATCGGAGAGTGTTTCCCTTAAACTATTCTTTAGAATACCTACATATTTATTTTTCATACTTAAATCAAACAAAATTTATTTTAAATAAATTTAAAAATATTTTTAAATTACCCTAGAACGGTCATTTCCATCGTCCAATGATTAATATTATTTTTATTTGAGATTTTGTTGTTATTATTTTTGCTAATTTTTAATTTGTGTTTTGTTTAGAGTATTTAGTTGTTATTAACGAGAGAAGATATTTAAGTGGTTTGTTTTACAAAAACATAAGTTAAATATATAATTAAATAAATTCTAATAGAATTTTGCTTTTTGAAGCCTTAGAAATAAAAAATAAAAATTAGTCGGAAACCCAAAATTAGATGAATAATAATAAGGAGAATAATAAAAAGTAAATATAAAGCTCCAAACCGGCAAATATCCGACCCTAATTTTTAAAAATATTTATTAAATTTGCATCTACGAAAGAGATAGTGATCCAAGAAAATCCGAATTTTCCGCAATTTGCCTCTAAAATATCTCGAAATTTTTGCTTGAAATATATAGATTAATTAATATTTTAGTAATTTTTGGAGATATAATAATTTAAATAATATATTGAAAAAATAATTAAAAAATAACTTAAAAATAATATACTCAAAAAAGTTTTAAGCAATTAAAAATCACTTAAAAAATTATTCAAGGTCAGCACGGGGAAATGAATAAATATGAAGAGAGTTACTAAATTGAAAATAATTTTAAATAAATTTTCTTTGTTTTGCTTTTAATTTAAAATATTTTTGTTGAAAAACAAAACAAAATAATTTAAATCTACTCTATAATAAAAATCCTCGATTGTTTCGGTACAAGTTAAAAAATTCAAAAATTTAGGGTAAAATTATAGTTAATTGGAGGAGTTTATAAATATAAAAATAAAAAAAAATTTTTTGTAATGTGCATTAGTCTATATTTTTCAAAATCAAAACCGGAAATGATAACGATAAAAATTAAATTTCTAGTGAGCTGTTTCTATAAGAATTATGTAACCTTACAATAAATTACTTAAAAAATATTTTTTACAAAATTATTTAAAGAAGGAATACCTAAAATTTAATGATAAAAAATTGAACATTTAATTTTCAATTTTTTGTTTGTTTAAACAAATAAATGTATGTTTAAGTATTAATTGTTGAACGATAGAAAAATAAATGTATTTATTGAATAGTTTAAATTTATTAAAATAAATTGAAATATAGGCTAAATTTAACAAGAAAAAATTATTTAGAAATTTATATGAAAAATTAAAAATATAAATGGGCATTTAAAACAAATTTTAATATTTTATATTTTTTTTAATTATGATTTTTTAATTTGATCTGTACAAAAAATTTTTAACTCTCGAAAATGCTCAATTTAAAAATTTTAAAATAAATTTAATTGGAAGTTTAAAAAAAGTTTCTGTAGGTTTTAAGATAAAAATTTCTTCCAAATTAATCATTATCTATAAATTAATATTTAAAAAAGCCAACAAATAATTTTAGCTAAAAACTAATAAAAAAACTTTAAAAGAAATTATTTTATTAAAATATTCTTTTTAGCCATTTTTCGTGTGACGCGATTTTTCGTAAATAACACAGGAAATGCTGTTAAAGAATGGTCGCTTTGATCGACATTTAAATATAAAATAAAGTTTTTTTATTAAAATTATATTTACGTAAATAAATATATTTAATATTTTTATTTATTTTTAAATATTTCTTTTCAAATATAATTAAAAAGAAATTTTAGTTTTATGACAAATTTTTATAATTTAGGCTTTTTATTAGTGTAGCAACCTGGCCCCCGAAACCCCACCCCGACAGATTTTCTTGGCCCCGACAAACCCCGATCCCCACACACCCGACCCCGAACGGTCGGATTGCTACACTACTTTTTATTTATTTTTAAATTTTATTTGAGTTACGTCTACAGACAATAGTTTCAGGTAAAGAATAAAAAACATTAAATTGACAGCCCGTTTTGATTGCCGATTTTGACTGGAATCCCAGCCGAATACTAACATAATTTCCGAATTGGATTGAACAAATTAATTTTTAATTAATTGAATTATTTTTTAATTTTATATCCTAACTTGTCACACCGCCATTTAATTTCCTTATACCAAAACACCAGTTTTTTGTCCTCCTTAATCTTAATGATTAAAGAATTAATTCTCATTTAATCTTATTTAAATCTTTAAACAAACAAATTTTGGTTAATCAACTAATTATTATTTTTTAGAAAAGAAAGAGATGCGCAAAAAGTTAAAAAATGAATGTTTATTAATAATTAATTATATTTACTTTTCTAAAAAATAAAAAGAGCGGATTATCGCCTCCGATATTTATTTTTATTTATTTTGGCAAACATATATAAAAATACCTAACTGGAAATAAAGTTAATAATTAATGATTTTATCTTAAAAAATTAAAAATATACAAGTTTTTGAAGTTAAAATAATTCAATTTAAAATATATAAATTTAAATTGATTTAAACACGTCGCTAAATTTAAATGACAAGTAGTCTTTTAAAACCTATTTTTTATTTTTTTTTAAATTTCCTTTCGCCAAATAATCACAAAAATTGTTAGACAAACAAACAATTGCGCAAGAATAAAATAAATAAAATATCTGTCTCTATTATTAAACATTTAATTCGGTGAATTATGACCCATGTCCCTAAATATATATTCAATTAAATTGTAAACAATAAATTTATTGAAATGGCTATAAGAGAGAAAATAAAAAAGAATTTAAAAAATATATAAATAATTTTAAAAATTAAATAATTGACTCTGAAAGTATTACCATATTTTCTCAAATAGCACTGGTCCTCTATTACATAGTACTGCCCTTTAGATTAATTGAAAATCTAAACAAGGAAGTATAATTTATAAAAATAACCCTTTAACCTGTTCCTTGATAATTTAAAAATTCTAAATTTATTTGTGAAGAGAGAAGTGTTAAAAATGATAAAAAATGAAAATAATGTTTAAAATAATTTTAACAAATGTGCACATAGAAAGAGGAGAAATGAGTAGGAAACGCTAAAATAACAAATTTGATAGATTCGTTGAAAAAAATGGTGAAAGTTATAATATGACGATTAATATTTTTGCGCGTAACTTTTCTCGTTGTTTTTAATATAAATTTTAAAAATTCTTTAAAAAATTTTTAAAAACAATAAATAATTTGCCAATTTAATATGAAAATATTAGAAAAGTATTGTTGTATTATTTATAATTTAAAAATAATTACAATCACGATGGCCGTAACGGGATTGTTGATCGAAATGGGATATTTTAGATGAAAAGAGAATTTAAAAATGATTATTTTTTAAAATTATTATGAACAAAAAATAATAAACTTAAAAGTTTGTATATGAAAAATAATATTTTATTTTTTAATTATTAAATTTACATATTTTTATTTTTCATCATTATCGTCCCTCAAAAATCATCCTGTACATTTTCTTATATTAATTTCAATTAATAATAAATTTATATTATTTTTATTTTTAATTTCCTTACATTATTTAATTAAAGAAAACATTTAATAACTCAAAATTTCGTTTAATAATTTAACAAAAAATTGTGTCAAAAATACTTGCGCAATGTGAAAATATTTTTTAAAAAGTTTTAAGTGAATGCTTACAAAAATAGAGAATGGGAATGGAATGACTTGTTTTTTTTCAAAAATTATTTTCTAATAAATTTGGAACAGAAAAAAATATTTTTATGAATGAATTTTGAATAAAAATAAATATTTTATTTTATTTTGTAAATGTTAAAAGTTTTGCATGTCAAGTAGGGATTTAAAATGAGAGAGACAATTAAATAAATATTTAAAATATTATTTTTTAATAACGTTGCAAATAAAAATGATTTTTTTGATAAAAATATAAATATTTGAATGTAGTAAAAAATTTATATTATCATTTTATTTAAAAAATTATTGATCGACAAATGTTCTATAAATTTGTAGAATTGTAAAATAAGTAATTATTGTTCGATAAAATATTTTTTCCAAATAGTTTTTTAATTAAAAAATTTTTTTCTAGTAATATTAATTAATTTACTTGTTGAAAAAAATATATTTTTAGGTAATAAAAAATTAAAAAATAATTATCCAGAAAATTAATTAATTAATTTAAGGAGAAACAATTCAAATTTGTGAATTGTACAGAAAATTTTATTTTCTCCTTATTTTTGGCATTTTATGAATTAAAAGGTGACGTTTTTAAAGAAAAAATTTAAAAATAAAAATATGTATCCAAAAATAAATATTTTTTTATTTTAAAAATAACAAAAAGCAACTTTTCTTGAAAATGAAAAAATTTTTTAATAATTATTTTTGGACAATTCTTTAAATAAAAAATATTAATTTAACTAAATTTTGAACCAAAAGTGAATGAATTAAATATTTATAATATACAATGTAAATGTCCCTATAAATATTTATGTATATTAAATGTTTTTTTTCTGTTTTCTTACGTAATTATTAAATAAAAAGAATCATTCGACCAAAACACAAAAATTAATATTTAATTTTAGCAAAAAATAAATAAACAATGAGAAAATTAATTTTTATATATTTATTATCGTCAAAACAAAAATGTCAAAAAAACTTTTTTTAGAATTTGTTAATGTTTAAAGATTAAAAATAAATAAAGAATAAAGGTATTCTTTTGTTAATAAATGGCAACAATAGGAAAATTTTAATTTTATTTATTTCTATAAATTGAAGTTAAAAAAATTTTTATGCAAAATTTATAATAATTAAAAGAGAGATTTAGCAAAAGAATTATTGCAAAAAATATTTTTATTTATTAGGAAGCAAATATTAAAACTTTAATTTATTTCGTTTTTTTAAATTAATAATTGTAAAGCATATAGCTATTTAATTCCTAAAGCTATGCAGTACATAGGCAGCGTGGTGTAATCTGGTCAAATAGAGATGTTCGCTAGCTCCCGCCGTCGAAATAAGATTGAAATAAACCCCCAGCTTTACTTAACTTAAAAAATTATTAAATTATTGAAGAAGTGTGTTAATGGAAAAAATATATAGAGTTAAACAAATATTTAAATAGAGGATTGTACATATAGTCTAGATGTATTGATATTATATCTATTTTTTAATTATCTATTTTATAGAAGCATTAAAGGATTTAGCAAAAACTTGAAAAAAATTGAAAGAAAAATTGGGAGAAAAAAAAATCTTTTTTAATATCTTCTTATTTTTTTTAATTTTTGTTGTCGATTCTTAATGTAGTCTGTCTTGAGCGTGATCTCTAAAAAATATTAAAATATTAAAATTGTAATAAAATTAAAATAAAAAAAGCAAAACAATTAAAAAACAAAGAGAAAACAAAAAATATTTTTGTGTTTTATAAATAAAATTAGTAGAAAATAAATTAATATATAAAAAAAACCACTACCAGACTACACAAAAAATTCGAAAACACAACAAAATAAACAGGGAAAGAAATTTATATTTCACTATTGTTTTTACCAAAAAATTATCTCTAAAAATTTTTTCAATTAACAATTTCTTCCCCTAAATTATTTTATTTTATATATTTTTACTGTGATTTTTAAGGATCATCATTATCAGCAACAACCCCATTCCCATTACGACCATTTAATGAAAGGAGAAGGCTGTTTGCCTGCACAACAGATTTTTATATACAGGGTGCGCCAAAAGTAATGGCCCACATATTTTTTAGCATAACTTTATTAAAACTTAATCAAATAAGATCAAAATACTATCAAATAATAGAGAATTAAATGGAGAACAAAATATATCAGGATTTTTCAAAATACCTCCCTTTGGCTTTAAGATAGAGGCGCAAACGCAAACAAAAATTTTTGCAAAATTGCCGCACCTCCTTGGTTCCTCTTTTCAGATGCCAAAATTTTTATGAAAGAGACATGTGCGAATCGCAAAAATGACTGATATTGGGCATCAAAATCTCCTCTTTCTTATCCAGTTGTTAAGGATTTCCAAAACCCTTCCCTCGAAATGTTATGGACTGTTATTTGCAAAACGATCAAAATTCCTTGATTTCTATGAATGATTGGGTCAAAATAAATAAATACTTTGATCTACTCGAAATCCTTCAGTATGTTTTAGAGCACTGGGTCTGGGAAAACTTTTGGTATAGGGACTAGATCTATAAGTAGAATTCATCCTCTGATTATAAGGCTAAAGTGATGCAAGGTTGTGATGTTACCAATTTTCTCGGTTTTAGTGTGCCTCAAAAATGGCTACCGTACACACCGGGTTTGAATCCTTGGATTTATCTTTTTGGTCAATTTTGGAGGCAACGTTCTTTGCTTAATAACCCCAAAGTTTGGAGTCACTCCGACAATCACTCGTTCAGAAATGGGAAAAAATTACACCATAATAGGTGCGGCAATTTTGCAAAAATTTTTGCTTGCGTTTGCGCCTCTATCTTAAAGCCAAAGGGAGGTATTTTGAAAAATCCTGATATATTTTGTTCTCCATTTAATTCTCTATTATTTGATAGTATTTTGATCTTATTTGATTAAGTTTTAATAAAGTTATGCTAAAAAATATGTGGGCCATTACTTTTGGCGCACCCTGTATTTAATTTTAAATTATTTTTATTTGAAAAATCCCTTAGCATTTTAGTTGGGGATGGATGAAAAAATAAATAAATTTTACCTCTGTCAATGGGGCTGGATCTCCACAATAAGGCAATGGACGTCCATCTGGACCAGGTGGACAAGGAGCGTCAAGTCCTGGCAAACCCTTTAAAAATGTTTTTGAAATTAATTTTAACTTAAATAAATTTTGAAATTAGTTTGAAATATTCGCAATAACGAAGATAAGTTTGTATTTTTATGATGTAGATTTAATACAAAATAAAATTAAAAAATATTAAACAATTTATTTCCCACCTGATCTCCTTTAGGTCCACGATCTCCTTTTGCACCAGTCATCCCAGGTAAGCCCATTGGGCCTACATCACCTTTGGGACCTGGAATTCCCTAAAAAATTTTTAAGTAATTTATATATTTTTTTAATTTTCTTCATAAATTTAAATTATTTAAAAAAGAAAAAAAAGAAAAGAGAAAAGAAAAGAATAGAAAGAACAAAAAAAGAAAAAATAATACAAAAAATCCTTACGGGAGAGCCAACAATTCCAGGCGGTCCTCGCAAGCCCATAGGACCAGGAGAGCCTGGCAGACCAATAGTGCCTTGAGGGCCTGTTTTACCTGAAGGGCCTGGAAGGCCGGGAGGACCGGGTAGTCCCGGCGGCCCCTGAAAATGAATAAAATAAAAAAAACAATTAATTTTAAAATAATTTTAAAATAATAATTAATTAAAAACAAATAATTTACTCTAGCGCCTTGTTTAGTATTAGCATTTGGACCGGTAAAGACCGTTGGAAATGAGGGAGGAGCCTTAAATTATCATTTAATTATTTCCAAAAATTTTAATATACAGGCTGTCCAGGCAATCCAGGAAGTCCAATTTCCCCTCTCTCTCCTTTTTCACCTCCAGGGCCAGGCAATCCACGAGGACCTGGAGGCCCTTGCACAACTTTAGAAAATCGAAGATGTGCCTTTAATTAAGGAAAATTTATTTTTTTAAATTCAAAATTACCTCAAAATGAGAACTAATATTTTTAAATATTTTTTCTTGTAAAATAGGTAATAATTTCTCTGCTTGTTGGATTGGGTTAATATTAGTAAATTGTTGTAAATCTTCTGATATTTTAGAAAATGTTTGTTTCTTTTGTTTATTTATATTTGGACGATTCTGGTGGTAATTCTGGAATTTAAATTAGAAAAAACACTGACAGAATTCACAAAAATTAAACAGATAGAAACAAATTGGTGAACAAAATTAATTTTGGAAGAAGAAAAGGAAAAAGAAGAAAGGGAAAAATATTTTTAATTAATTAAATTAATTATAAAATATTTCTATTTATTTTTTACCTTTTTTCCTTTCTTGCCAATATTTCCTGTATCGCCCTGTAAATATTTTTAATAAAAATTTTATTTTATTCAAAACCTTTTCGCCTTTTACCCCAGGCGGTCCTGGAGGGCCAGGTGGACCTTGAATAATTGTTGGAAATTTATGATCCATTCCAGGCAAAGGACGTGGTGTCTCCATTGCTGATTTTCCAGGCATTCCCGGTTCACCTTTCGCGCCCTAAAATGTTAATTTTAAAATTAAAAATTTTTTTAAACTATTTGTCAAAAGAAGTTGACAGGAAAGGTAAAAATTTAAACAAATGTTCTTACTGGTTTTCCTGGCTTTCCATCTAAACATTGACAATTCTCGTGATTATTTTGTTTTTGCCGATGTTGTTTTTGTTTATTGTCCTCTGAATATTGGACTACTTGATCTCCCTTTACAAAGAAAATTAAAAAAAAGAAACGGATTCAGAAATAAAAAATACTTTAGGTCCAGGAAATCCTCTAGGCCCAACAAGTCCAGGCTGCCCATTACGGCCATCACGTCCAGGCAGCCCCATTGAGCCCTTAAATATATACAGACAATAAAAATATAGAAAAATATAGAAAAACAAAACAGTTAAAGAGAAATGGAAAATTGAAAATTTAAATATTTATTTAAAATTAATTCCTCCAAAAACCTTTTCTCCTTTTTCTCCTCTAGGCCCAACATGTCCAGTTTTGCCAGGTACTCCAGGTTCGCCTTTAGGTCCTATTCTAGATTCTCCATCAAATCCAGGCAATCCACGCTCTCCTTTTTGTCCTGGTAATGAACGACCAGGTGGGCCGGGCAATCCAGGAGGACCTGGAGGTCCTTGAATTACTGCTGGAGGTGGGGAAAGCTGATGACCAGCAGAATTTGGAGATGAAAAACTCTAAACAAAATAAATAATTTTTAAGTTTCTTTAATTTCTTAAATTTACTTGAACATATTTAACAGTTTCCTGAGGTATTGGTGGTGCACATTGTTCGCCTTTATCGCCTTTTGGACCTGTCTTTCCTATTGGACCCTGAAACAATTTGGGATGTTTAATAAATAAGCAATAATTTATTTAAATTACTCATCAAAATCTAATTATTTAATAAATATTTTCAATTTAATTATTGCATTTTCCCTTATACATAATTTTAAAAAAATAAATATATTTGGTAAATTTACAGGTAATCCACGTGCTCCATCCAACCCGATTGGGCCCTTAAATTTCTTATTTAAACAGAAACATATATTTATTTAAAATACCGGGAAGCCAGGATGTCCTCTAGCTCCCTTCTCTCCCTAAAAATTAATTTGGGAATTATATGTTGATTTCGAACAACAAACAAAACAAAGGAGAATATTAAACAACAAAAAACTATCACTCTTAAAATTTTACACAACAATCAACAAATATTTTTAAAAATTATTACTGGCGGGCCAGGCCTTCCAGGCAATCCTCGTAAATATATTCGACGTCCATCCGTAGAAAAAAGAAATCCAAAAGTTCGAATTTCACGACCCAAGGCATCCGCAAATGGCTAAAACAAAACACAAATTAAACAAAAAAAACAAAATTTTTGATTAACAAGTGGTCTTATTCGTTGAGTTTTTCTTTTAAAAGTTGTTGGAATTGAAGGTTGTGAGGGTGATGATGAAAAAACCCTTCTCCAAGGCGAATCAGAAGTGGGAAAATACCGACAAGGAACAGTTTGGGGAAATAATGGAGAAGGAAGTGAAGAAATTGGAAGTGAAGTTGATGGATAATGTGAACGACGATTTCTCTTTAATTATTTTATTTGAGAAAAAAACATTTACAAAAATACAAAAAAAAATTAAAGAAAACAAAAATATCAAAAATAAAAAGCAAAAAACTTTAAAAAATATTAAACTTACTTGAAGTCCAGCATCACCTTTTACACCTTTTGAAGTTAAAAAATAATTGTTTTTATTTTCCAATTTAATTTTTAAAATAAATTACATTGTAAATAATTTATATAGATATTTTAATTAGAGACCGGACTGGGAGTGTCGTACGAGGTACTAGATGTCTCGATAATATCGATAGTCGAGATTATCTTGAAAAATCTTATCGCACGAGATATCTTGAAAAATCTCGATCTCGATAATCGAGATTTTCGTTCGAGATTTCGTCTCGATCCGGTCTCTAACTTTAATAGTATGTATTACCCTGTGGACATATACAAGTTGATTTTTCTCGTTCTCGTGGAGATCGTAGATTCCTTCGTTGCACAAATCTTTTATTTTCGTATAATTTTCTACTATTCTAAATTTATTTTTTAAAATAAATTATTTTTAATAAATATGCATATTTTTATTTTTTAAATTAATTAGTTACAATTTCCCCTCAGGCACAAAAATGCAAATTTTCTCATTCCAAATTTTATTTTATCTTAATTTTCATCAAAAAAAAATAAATTTTAACCAATTATTTTCTTTCCTACTCAATAATTTTGGCATCACAAACCCTTTAATAAAAGAAGCAGATGTTCTTTTCTTTTTTAAATATATCCCTATAAATTCCATCTCTATTTCATGGTTATACAATTTAATTTATTCATGTAAAAGGGTTTAATTCAGAAAATAAATTTTGATGAATACCGCTCAGAAATTCAAAAAATAATTAAAGAAAAGAAGGAATTTGCCCAAATTTGATTAATTTGAGAAAGAAAATAATTTTACAAAAATTTAAAAATTAATATGTATCTGAATAATATTTAAATTCAACTAAATTTATTTTTTTAATTTCCTTAATTTTAAAAATTCTTTTAATTTTCATTTTAATTAATATCGACAAAATTCCCTATCCATGTATTAAAAATAATTAGTTATAATATAAATATCCGATTAATAAGAAAATTTGCATGTGCAAACACAAATCCCCTTCCTTCCCTTACTTTTTCATCCAATTTCCCTTCTCTAGGTTAATCCTTCTCTTATTTTTACAGCTTTTTTATTTATTTATTTGACACCTTTTTTTTAATTTTTACCTCAAATCTAAGCTCTATTTTTGTTATTCTTTTTTGTAAAATTTCCATTTGAGAATTTTGTTTTAGCATTACAAATGTTAAAATTAAGAGGAAGAAGAAAGGCAAAGTTTGAATAATTAAATTTAAAAAATTATTTTTTGTTTTTCCTTTAATTCTTTTTGATGTTAAATATTTCTAAAAATTAATTTTTTTTTAATTTGTTAAAAATATTTTCCAAACTTGTTGAATTGTTGGATATAATTTGGAATTAGATTTTGGAGTTAATTTTGGTGATAAATATTTTTGAAAAAATAATTTATTTAAAAAAGAAATTTGTGGTTGTGTTGATGAAGTAGAAGAAGGAGGGGATGATTGAGAAGTTGATGGTGATGGGGAAGGGGAATTAAAGTTAAAAGTTTTTGTTGTAAAAGAAGAGTTTATATTGTCATCTAGGTTATTTAGTAGAAGCTTAATTTAAAGAAATAAATTTTTATAAGAAAAAATAAAAAAGTGAAGTCTAAACGGAAATACTATTTAATTGTTTCTGTTAAGATTTTTAAATATCCAAGCAAAAAATTATTTTAAATTTACATTATTATTATTAGATGTACTAGCAACATAATCATTAGAATTAAATAAATGTTGTCTAGTATATTTTTGTCGACTTTTTAATCTTCTAATTTGATGTTCTCCAATTTTAAAATTTTTAATTTTTGAATTTAAATTAACAAATTTCTCCTCCTCTGTTTTTGTTTTAATAAAAATTTCATTTGGAGCAGATAAACTTTTAATATCATTTATATTCATTAATAAGCACTAATTAATTTAAATTTAATTTTAAATTATAAATAAAACCTTTAAAATTTTCTATACTGAAAAAGAAAATTTTTCAAAAAAAAATTTGTAAAATAAAGAAAACTTAAATATATAATTTCAGAAAATATAAAGGCGTAAATGGGCACGTTTATAAAGAAGGAAATTAAAAAAAGATATATAAATAAATAAATACGAACATTGAAACTAGCGATTTGTTTGATTCCGAAAAAGAAAAAAATTTTATGAGGAAAAGGGTTTGTTTTATTAGAAGTCGTTTCAATTTTTATATATAAAGATTTAAAAGAGTTTGCGCGATAAACAACTTAAACAAAAAATTATTTAGAAGAGAAAGCAACAAATTTAAAAAATAAATATTTAAAAAATAAAAATTGAATTGTATCAAATTAGAAATACCTAGCTGTGAAATTTAGAATTACCGAAAAACTTAATTATCCCGCCTCTATTTATTACCCCCTCCAGCGAGAGATCGAAACAATAATTAACCAGGGTAGTTAATACAGTCTTTACGGTATCCAAAAAGAAAATATTTAATAAAAAATTAAAATATATCGAGAATTAAAGTAATATTTATATTATTTGTGTATTTATTCATTGTTAAATTTTTAAATCAAAAAATATGTAACACAAAAGAAAAAAATATTTAAGTACAAATATGAATAATCGGACTAATATTTACATATGTATGTAAAGAAAAAATAAAAAAAAATGGGAATAGAGTAAAGTTTTTAAAGGTTAAATCAAAAATATATTTTTTTAATTTATTTAAATTAATTTATTTCCTTTTAAAAAACTTAAAAATCTCTGTGTGTATTTAAACAAAAAAATCCGTGGCAGGTTGTACCGGAATCATAATTATTTTCTTTTCATTTTTTTTCTTGGAAAGCATTAAATATTTATTATGTTATCAAGCGGCAAAACAATAGATTTTTAGAAAGTCCCCCCCCCCTCCCTTTTAAAAAGTCTTTACTGTCCACTGGCCCAAGAAAAATGCGCACAGCAAATGTGGTGAAAGTGTGGGAAGAGGAAATGGTAAAAAAAGGAATGAAAGATTAAATAAGGAATTGTTTTAAGTATGCAACAGACTTTATAAAGATTTTTTTGTATTTAATTAATAAAAGATTGGGAAAAAATTACTGGTGAATGATTGAGATAGGAAAATAATTATTAATAATAAATTAATGATTTTAATTATTTAAAAGACCCAAAATAAATGTATATATCTAAAATTACAAAAAAAATTATTAAGATAAAAGAAAAAATTAAAAAATCAAAGTCAAGGTTTAGAATTTATTTTTGTAATTTTAAATTAGCAGTTAAAAATTTAAAGCAATTTATGTATATACTTAATTAGAACCTCCTATTACGTGTGTAACTTTCTTATAAGTCCATCCATTGTTTAAAAACTATTTGTAGATCGTTCTTCTAAAAATAAAAATTACATTTAAACTTAATTAATTCCGCAATAAATAAAACAGTTGCGGGCAGCAGAATGGTTTATGTGTAGTTAACTCCTTCTTGTAAGTCAAAATATAAAAATAGAAAATTAAAAATTCTTGAGAAGTAAAAGTAAATGAAACACAAAGTAAAGAAGCAAAAAGGAAGCAAAAAAGAGTAATCCTCTATTAAAAGTCGGCTTTTTTACTCTAAATAAGGGCATATTTGTACGTAGAAATTTTTTTGAATTAATTGCGTTTCGAAATAGAATATTGGAGAAATATATATAAAAATAAAACAGAAAAATTAGTTTGAAGTCCTTTCCTATGGGAAAACATCAAAAATGGACATTCAATTTTTTGCTGTTTTGTTTTTGCTTTTGTTATATTAAACAGTAAAAGTATTAAATTACAAGTATTTTTATAAGATTGAAAATAATTTAATAGAAAATATGTCTAAAACTACTAATTAACGTAGATTTTAGAAAAAGTTAATATAGTCAGTTTAATTTAGGTATTTATTAAAGTATTTTAAATATAAAGTAATTAATTAAACAGAAACAATTTAATCAAATAAACGTTGAAAGAATATTTGTAAATATAAAAAAAAAACAAAAAAAAATTGTTTTATTTAAATAACAATGAATTTCATTTTTATATTTTTTATGATTATTTTCACTTTTATTTGTCATTAATTAGAGATTAATAATCTAAAAAAATTTTTAAATTATTTATTAAATAGTCTTTTATTTAGTAATAATTTTAAGCAATTTTTTTTGAAGAAAAAAAATTAAAATAAAAAAAAGAGAGGAATTGCATGGCAGTGTAAAAAATGGGTAAATTTAAAGGAGATGAATGAATGAGTGACGGATTGAGCAATAAACCTCAGCTCATGTCCATCAAATGAAGGTTAAAGTAAAATATAAAGTAATTTTTATAAATAAATATATTTAGGAAAATTAGGAAACACAATTAAATAAATATATTTTTTGTTTAAATGAATTTTTTTGAAAAAATTAAGTAAATGTGATAATTAATTGATTGGTGCCAAAATTCGCAGTTGTATTCAAATCTAAGTAAAAAACAAGTACCTGTATGAAAATTTTGTTAAATTTATCCTCAAAAATATTGAAAATTCTAATTTTTTGTAAATAAACTAACAGAAATTTCCATATCTCAAAACTCCTCTATTAATACTACTTAAATTATATATTTAGTCAATAGGTCAAATAAAAAATTAGTTATAATTTTTATTTAATATTAGAAATTAAATATTTACAAAGAATAATTAAATTAACTACAATATTTATCCCAATTACGTAATTTTAGTCTAATATAGTCTTCCTTTAATTATTTTTATTTATTACAACAAAAAACCTTTCCTTATTTGCGATGAGGGATGGAATAAAGATGGAGAATAATAAAAAATAAATGAAAGAGATTTTGATTTAAGTGGGTTTAATATATTTACATATTGAGGGTTATTTTATGGACATATTTGTATTGTTTAATATTTTTGTTGCCATAATTTTTGACAATTATTTATTTGTTTGTGTGCCTATTTTTACAGGAAAAATATTGCTTTTATTATAATATCATTGATACATGTTAGCTTTGGGTCAGCCAAAAATTTTCAGTCTTTTTTATTGTGGAAGAACTCGATGGGGGACCGATCGAATCATTTATATTTAATGGCTCCGAACAAAAAAATTTTCAGACATCAAGATAGTAATTGGGTTGTTCAAAAATAAAATAGTATTTTATTATTAGAAAAATTCTTAGACTTAAGAACCCAATCGTGGGAAAAATTTTGCAAATTTTAAATACTTTTCTAAAAAATATTAACTGGCCCTCAAATTACTCTTACCAAAAATATTTACAAACAATTTATTTTTTTTTACATTTTTACAAAAATTAAAAGCAATACATACATACAATACACAAGGCAAAAAACACAATAACAAAATAATAATGGGCTAAATTCAATATTTATTTAATCGTCTATTTGATCACGCCACTTAAGTTTATTGATCTCCGAACTAGTATCATGGCATATTTGTTTAAACATTTTATCCTTATTTCCATTACTGCAACACACAAGAATGCTATTTCCATCATCATTCACGTAGAACATTCCTTCAATGAAATTGTTGAAGCATCTATTTTGTGTACTAGGCAGAAACCGTCCAACCCAAGTGTCACGTTCCCCATCTTCTCGAATACTATGTTCCATTCCTTGATTAAGAGCGAAGTTTGTCCCATTTTCTTTATATTCGGGTTGACAAAAGTAGGCCTTTTCTGCTTCAACTCTCTCCCCGATATAACAGGCACGGAGTGCCCTAAGGGCTCGATGAATTCGTTCGATTCCTACGGTGCGCTCTAGTAGCAATGGGATATCATAACGGCAACCAGTCTGAAAAGTAAAAAAATATTTTTCTTTTTAATAAGCTTTCGGTTGATTACATACCAAGTACAACAACCTTCCTCTCTTCTTATTTTCAATAAGGAAGGCAGGGAATTCCCATCCGAGATTCTCTTGTTCGTAGATGAAGAAACAACCTGAAACGGAAGGAATAGAAAAATTTTCGATATTAATTTCTCTCACCCGGTTCTGTGCAATTCCTTTTCTTCCCATTCCCTCTCGTTGCAAGTGCAAGATCATAAAGTTTTGCAGTGATAGGGCACTCATGACTTTTAGAAGGATCCACCTTTTCGTCCGCTTCTTCTTGAATTTTTGGGGCCTGGTTTACCATGGTAGTTGGAGGTTGGTTTGTCATCATAGTTGGAATTGTAGTTGACGAGGTTAGAGCTGGATTTGTTGTAGGAATATCCTTTGTGTTGTTTGTCGCGTATGTAATATCTCTCAGCAAAAGAACAACCAATGAGATGAACACGAAGTTTAAGCTTGCCCACATATTTTTGAAGAATATTGCAATGATTTGATAATTATGTAAAGGAGTTGAGAATTTATAAATAGAACATGTTCCCTTTTATAGTATATTCGCAGAAGGGCACAAAAAATATTTTAATTCCTTTACATCCTTTCTTTTCTTATGCTTTTTAACTAAAGAAAACTTTTTAAGTATTAGTATGTGAAATTTTATGTGAATAAAAGGTTGTTTTTAATAAAAAAAAAGTACGGAAATATGTGCAGAAAAATATGTATGTAATTGCCCAAAAATAACAATTGCGTCATTAGGGTCCAATAATAATCCTTCAAAATCTTGCCAAAACACCCAGACTGCTAAATATAGATTTTGGAGCATTTTTCTGGTCAGCTTTTATTTTTTAAAATGGAGAGATTGAAGTTTTGAAGCAAGAATATTTCACTACATTATTTCTAAAAACTGCTCCTCAGGTCCAATAATACTTCAAAATAATAATTTTTAGTAGGGTTTGACCCCGACCCCGTACCCCGAACCCCGACCCCGTTCCCGAACGATTTTTTCACGATTCTCCCCGACCCGAACCCCGCCCCGAAAAAAAGTGAAAACCCCGTACCCCGACCCGAAAAGTTTCGGGGTTATCGGGGTTTTATATACCCAAAAAATGCCATTTTTGGGAGAATTTTAAGAGAAAAATTTTAAAAATTTACTCCCAATTTACTTTGCCTTTATTATTTTTGAAAGAAAAATAAAAGAAATATCAAAATTCTTTTTCATGCTATGTTAAGAGACTTGTGGTTGAGTGGCTTAGTTGTTGGTTTTAGCCTATATTTCCGTTAAAATAGGATTGGGTTCGGATCCAAATAAGCTGGACTCGTTTTTTGGGATTTTTTTTGCAACATCAAGAGCTTAATTTTAATTTAAAATGTAAATCTTATTTTTAAACATTATCAACCATAAAAAACAATGTAAAGATTTTTGTTTAGCTAAAATTTCAAAAATTTTAGTGTGCAGCGCTAAAAAACGAAGACATACGGCTTTTTGACCTAAAAATTTTAAAAATTTTCGCCTGCGGCGCAAAAAAACTAAAAAATCGGGCTTCTTGGCCTTATAAAATTCTCAAAATTTTGCATGCGGTGCAGAAAAGAAAGAGATACCCTGATATCCTCCAAATCCCTAATCACTCAATAACCCTTAAATCAATGATATCTCTTGAAACTACCCTTAGTCCCTACAATTCCTCTTATATCCCCAGATATCCGCTTTAATCCCTCCAAATCCTCCTTAATCACCTCCAGATCCAATTAATCACTCCAATTTCTCTTATTTCCATTTAATCCCACCTTATTCTCATTAATTTGTGAAAATAGAACGAAAATAGACCCAAAATGGCTCATTTTTAGAGCATTTTTTCTTTGAAAAATTTTTTCCTAAAACCCCGTACCCCGACCCGAACCCCGACCATATTTTGCTCCCCCGACCCGAACCCCGCCCCGAAACAATTCGAAAACCCCGTACCCCGACATACCCGCCCCCGAGCGTTCGGGGTCAAACCCTAATTTTTAGTTAACATTTATGTATGCTTGATAACAATTATTTTACATTAATTATTCTTACTTTCATTTCAATTATATTTCTGGTTTTATTTATTGGAACTATAGCTATTCTTATTAAAATTTTCATTATTTATCAAAGAAGAAGAGGTCCCCATCCGAACCATGAGGCTAAGATTATGACAACTTCTGATTATTCAAGAAGCATTACTTCTCGTCAGAGAAAAGAAGGCATACAAGGCCAACAAAATACTAAAATAGTTCACCCAATTAACCAACCTATAAGTTTCTATTCAACAAGGAGAGATTGAACCAGTTTCTGGCATTATTTTAGTCAATCCAACACCAAAAACAGTTACTCTTTCACAAACTTCAATCCCTAGAATTGAAGTAAGCAAAACATTTCAAGGAACTAATCGAGTTATAAATAACGGCGGACAGCAAATAAATACTGGTAGTAACCAAAAGATGAATTGTAAGAAGATTATTATGTAAGACTTGAAGAATTTATTTAATCAAGGTGAAAGCTTAAAAGAAAGTATTGCAAGCAGTGCTGGGTATGGCTCCGGGAGCTAGCTCCGGAGCCCGGCTCCGGAGCCGGCTCCGGCGGAGCCGGAGCCGGAGCCGGAGCTAAGATTTTGAAAACCCCGGAGCCGGAGCTGGAGCCGGAGCCAAGAATTTCAAACCCCGGAGCCCGGAGCCGGAGCCAAGGTTTTTCAATTCCCCACGGCTCCGGCTATACACCCCTAAAGATGGGTTAGAGAAAAAGAAGTAAGCAAAGATAGTAGGCGAGAAAAGAAAAGGAAGAGAAAATTGAGACGGGTAAAAAAGATTTTCTTTCTTTACTTTTTAAAGTAGTTGTGGGTGAATGGATAGTGAGTTAGGTTCCGAATTTTATCCGGTTATAGGTTCAAAAATATTACAAAAAATGATTAAATAATTGTTTTGCTTTGGAAAATAGATTATAATAAGCATTTTTTAAATAAATAAAGCTGGATAAATTTTTTAAATTGATTAATTTTAGTCTCCTGTGAGTCAAATTTTTCAAAATTTTCGCCTGCGGCGCAAAAAAGGAAGATTTTTGGCTTAAGGATCTTCCAAAATTCTCAAAATTTTCGCCTGCGGCGCAAAAAAGGAAGATTTTTGGCTTAAGGATCTTCCAAAATTCACAAAATTTTCGCCTGCGGCGCAAAAAGCAAGTGATAATGAGAGGATAAATCCAACATATCCTATTCGCCCAACTCCCAGACAACCCAAATCCCCTTAATCCAGCTTAATTCCCCGATATCGCCCTTAATGCACACGATAATCCACCCAAATCCCACTTAATCCATTGATACTCCTCTTAATCCTCTGATATCACTCGATATCCCCCTTTATCTACCCAAATCCCCCAATGAAAAATAATTAATTGATTTTCCAGCCGGAGCCCGGAGCCAACATGGAGCGGCTCCGAAAATCGCCGGCTCCGGAGCCGGAGCTGGAGCCGGAGCCAAGATTTTAAAAGGTCGGAGCCCGGAGCCGGAGCCAAGATTTTGAAACCCCGGAGCCCGGAGCCGGAGCCGGAGCCAAGATTTTCAAACCCCGGAGCCCGGAGCCGGAGCCAACAAATGGCAAATACCCAGCACTGATTGCAAGTAGTAGCATTATAATTGGACAAGATGATGGAATTGAGATAATAAATTCAAATACTTCCAGCAATTCGGCAACTCCTTGTTGTTTGGAAGAACAAATGTTGAGTGAATTAAGAAATGATAATGTTGGACTAACAAGAAGAAAAGTGAGGGAAATTCTAAAATATACTAGCTAAATGTACATATTTTTTTAAATTTAAAGGAATTTAAATCAGCTGTGTGGATAAGTAACAATAATGGTGTTGATGACAAATCGTAATAATTGAAATTATGGTATCACGACTTTTGCGCCGAGAACATTTGCGCCGCGACTTTTGCGCCGCGACTTATGCGCTGGGGGACTTTTGCGCCGCGACTTTTGCGATGCGACTTATGCGCCGAGCGACTTGTGCGCTGCGACTTTTGCGCCGGGCGACTTATGCGCCGCGACATTTGCGCCGCCATAATTTAAAAAAATAATATCTACAGAGGGACCTACCTAATTATAGGGTACTCCTTAAAAAATGGTATCCAGGAGCTGAAGGAATTTCAGGAAGTGCAATATTTCGGGAAGTACAATAGCCCCCTCTAATAAAACGACCCCCTAGAGGAAGGTTAAAAATAAACCAACCCCCTAGAGGGGTCATTTTCAAAGAACTTGACTTTTTCGGATCAGGATATTTGGTCTGCTACCCTTATTCAGACATGATTTTCTGCCTGAAGAGGGTGCACTATAATGTAGAATTGTCGGGTCCAGATATCCAGATCTGAAAAAGGCCGGATAGCCGAAAATTTTAGGTCGGATATCGGATCCGGATCTTGATATCCGATGATCTCCAACTATCCTACATCTTCTAAAGTGAGGTCCGGCTGAAGTTTTTCATAATTATTAATGATAGTGGCGGCGCAAAAGTCTTCCGGCGCAAAAGTCGCGGCGCAAACGTCGCCCGGCGCAAAAGTCGCGGCGCAAAAGTCCCCCGGCGCAAAAGTCGCTCGGCGCATAAGTCGCGGCGCAAAAGTCGCGGCGCATAAGTCGCGGCGCAAATGTTCTCGGCGCAAAAGTCACGGAACCGAAATTATAAGTTTACTCACAATCAGAATTATTCCTAATTTGTTCAGCAAAAATTGTTGATTTTTCAGATAGCCAAGAAAGTTTTTTTCATTAATTTTTATCGTTTTTTTTGTAATCGTAATTAGTAACACAAATTAAATTCAATGTTGCTAACACAAACTGAACTCTTCGGCGGTACGACAATTGCGGATACGCACTTGCGGATGCGACGATTGCGGATATAGAATTTTTAAAAAGTTTAATATTTTTTAAAGTTTTCAGTGCCACATCTGTCTAAAAATGATTCGGAAACCGTCAGAAGTCTGAAGCTGACAGCCGGGACAAAAAACGGAATATCATTTCAATCATTTTTAAAATTAAAAAAATTTTTAATCCGCAATTGTCGCATCCGTACGTGCGTATCCGCAATTGTCGTAACACCAACTCTTCGGCGAAATGTTTTTCCTACATAGGTATTTTATTTTGTGGCATTTTGTCGTTCTGGCATTTTGTCACAATGTTACAAACAAATAAATTAATTGAAGGAAAATTTGATGAGTAATATTTATTTTTCCTCTCTTACACTACAAGTCCAAAAAATTTATTTGTTTCTATTAATTTTATTATCTTATCCATTGCTTTTAAATTAATTTAAAAAAATTTTTTTATTATTTTTCATAAATTGTAGAATGGATTTTAATTTAAAAAAGCTGGTCAACGATGCCGGCGGTCTTTTTAACCGCGCGAGGCAGTTGACAGAAGAGAAATTGCTTAACGCTGAACGTACAGAAATCGACCCACAATTAGAGCAATTGTTACAGCGTGTAGATGCTACTGAATTTCATATGACAAAATTATACTCTGCTTTAGAGACTTATCTGCAGCCTAATCCTGGTCTGTTTGCTTTTCTTTAAATTATTTGAAGGCCCTCCCTTTCTCAGTATAACAACATTTTCATTATTTTTAAGCGGTTCGTGTTGGTAACGCAATAAATGAAATGTTAGAACGAAGAAATTCAACAGAGCAACGTGTTAACAATTTGGAATATTTGGGTTCTGCAATGTTGGGAGCTGGGCAAGCATTTGGTTCTGACACAAATTTTGGCAATGCCCTTCTAAAAATGTCTACGGCAGAAATGAAATTGGGTGCTGCAGAACGTGAAATGATGCAAACAACTTCAACACAAACCTTGGCTCCAATTAAACGCTTTCTTGAAGGAGATGTTCGGAATATTTTGGTTTATTTTTAATTTGTTAGCCTTTTAAAAGCATTTTAAATTTAGAAAGAGCGACGTGTACTTCAAAACAAACGATTGGATTTGGATTCCGCTAAAGCTCGTCTTAAGCGTGCACGGTCGCTTGAATCTCAAGCAAGTGTAAGTTTAATTACTTAAATTTTTGAATAAATTAATTCAACTTTTTTTAATTTGGGATAAGAATTATTTTAAATCGAAAAAATTTTTAAAGGGGGCTGATTCTGGATTGATTATTGAACAGGTTGGGATTGGTGTTTGTCTGTTTACTTGTCTGTTTTGTTGATTTTGTCAGTCCTTTTTTTTTGGTTGATTTTTTTGTTAGGCATAAAATTTGCCATTAAACTTTTATAAAATTGAATAGTCAAAGTTTTGTATTATGTGCATATTTTAAAAGCCTCTTCTGAAATCCTAATTTGATTTAATATTTCCTTTTCATTGTAAGGCCTTAATCCTTTATGTTTAAGGTCGAAGCTGATCTTCGTGTGGCTCAGTCTGAATATGATAGGCAACTTGAAGTTATGCGTATTCTTATCGAATCAGCAAATTCAGCTCAGGTTCATTTTTTATTTAAAATATTTAGAGTCAATTTAAAAAATTATAGAATCAACATTTGAAAAATTTGATGGAATTTGTGGATGCTCAAGCAAAGTTTTATGAAAGTGCACACCAACATATGGCTGATTTAAAACGGGAACTGAGCACGCGGTTCGGTCTTTTATTTTAATATTTCAAGAGTATTTTAATTTTTTTCAGTTCAAATGGAAATGGAGGACCGATGATTTGAAGACTTATGTTAGGAATAAAATATGTAATAATCGAAATGTAATATCCAAAAATATATTAATCTTCGAAATTTTATAAAGACGTTACGAGAAACTTGTGTACGAAATCACCTAAAATCGTAATTTTTTAACAGTTTTTTTGATTATAGTATTCAAGTTTCGTGACGCCAAATATAAGGTCCATCTATTTATGTTAACCAGAATTTATTAAAATTTCTAGATGCCTTTTTAATAAATAAAGCTTTTCGTGTCAACTTTTGAATTTTTATTTATAAAATTATAGAAAGAAAATACGACTGGGAATTTACAAGAAAATTACATTTCTGGGGAAATATAGATCGCTTATTAAAATGGGAAAAATTTCGGAATACTAAACAGAACGCAAATGGGTCAAACTATATGTCTTTCGAAAGAGCTCGTCGAGTTGAGTCGAATGGTGAAAAAATTTTCGTGCGGACTCATACAGGGGCTGAGATATAGGCCTCCGAAAATCGAAAAACCATAGGGGGGACCAAGCACTTTTTTGGGGTAAAAAATTCGAATATGCAAATAGTAGCTCATTCGAAAGAGCTCCTCGAGCTGAGTCGAATGACACCAAAATCATCGTGATTGGACAAGATTGGACAAAGTTACGATAGAAAAACTAAAACCTAAACCTATGGGGCGTAGGCGAGGCGCTTGTGCAAAACCCCGCGCTTCGCGCGGGGTTTTGCGGCACGCGCCTCGCGGGGAGTCTACGGGCGCTGGGTCTGGGCTCGTAACTTATTCCTATTCCTATCTCTCATGCTCTAGACGTATTTGGGGCCTCCGTAGCAGCAAAAATCTCCACAGATGCCATAGGTAAGGAGCTAAAATAAAAGATCATAACTTTGTCCAATCAAGTCGGATTTCGTTGATTTTGGTGTCATTCGACTCAGCTCGACGAGCTCTTTCGAATGAGGTATAATTTGCCTTTTCGAATTTTTTACCCCAAAAAAGTGCTTGGTCCCCCCTATGGTTTTTCGATTTTCGGGGGCCTATATCTCAGCCCCTGTATGAGTCCGCACGAAAATTTTTTCACCATTCGACTCAACTCGACGAGCTCTTTCGAATGACATATAGTTTGACCCATTTGCGTTCTGTTTAGTATTCCGAAATTATACCTTAAAATGTTTTAACGAATACAGCTTGATAAAAATTAATAATCACTAGTAACAATTATTAACTGTAAAAATAAAAAAGAATTAGAAAAATAAAGGGAAAATAAAAAGATAATTAATAAAGTTTATTGTTAGATAATTTACTATTACTGAACGATTCTCGACATTTAATCTAAAAATAAACCAGAAAACCAGTCAATTTTTAAGTTCATCTAAAGGGTGTACTCCCCCCCCCCGTCAATTTTCAACTAAAGGGTTAATCCCTTCACTAAATATATATCTAACAATATGTAGAAAGAGAAGAACGAAAACACGGGGTTGAAAGCGTTTCATCGTTAGCTCGCTGAATTACTTCCGTTGTTACTATTAATGTTTCCACCAATGCTGGCTTCTGGCCCTGGCAATGCGACAATATCGTCACTTGGAGGTTCTAGTTTTGGAGAAATCTTTAGTACGTTGTTGCCCTTTGGATTTAGGCCAGGATTGTTATTCTCAACATCAACGCCGATAGATGATAATGATCCAATACCATTCTGCTGTTGTTGATATAAGCTAGTGATTGTAGTGGGAGCTAAAATAAAAAATTTCTTAATTTCATTTTGGAACATGAAAAATTTTTTAGTTCTTTAATTCCTTAATATTCAACACATCCCCCGAAAGACGATATAAATATTGTTTACCGTTATTTTCTAGACGCACAATTGATGCCACAATCGAATCCGTGATATGCTGATGCTGGCAAGGTAATACAGAAACACCTGATGAGGTTAAACAATTAGCATTTGCTGGAGAAGCACCACCAGATGGCGACATATTAACCAAATGCAAAAGAACTGTTCGATTTGGACCAGGCGGGCAAACAATGCAAACCATTTCAGATATTTGACAAACACGAAAAAATCCAGCTTGACAAGCTTTAGTTAGAGATGAGCAAATACATCCAACAATTGGAATATCATCTGGTGAATCAGGATCTGGAACAAAACGCCGGTAATTTCGGATTGTATCGAGTGAACAAGGTAATAATTTAGAGACGATAACACTTTTGCTGACCTGAAATTTTAAGTAAAATAATAAAAGAAACAATGGATAAAGTTCAATAAAGGGATTAACTGTTAACAGATTTATTTCAAATATTCTCACTAAAAAATTTGGGATGGAACACCTAGAAATTAAAACACTCAAAAATTTTAAAGAATTATCCTAGTTAACCCAATATTTATTTAATTAAATAAAATCAACTTACTAATCTTCCATATAATAAAGCAAAAGCTCCACTATTTGTTGCTGAATCAGGTTTGATTTGTGACAGAAATAATTCGGGAATATTGTTCGGAATTATAACCCGTTGAAAGACAATTGGCTGCATAGAAACAAGATGACAACGAACATACGGGCAAAGCATTTGATCCGGAACAAGTAAATGCTCCAACTAAAATTAAAAATTAGTTAACCTTAATTAAATGACCTTAAAAGGAAAATAATTCTCCTTCAATAATTTTGACCAATCGATAAAATGTTTTTTCAAGTATTACTTTGAAATCGATATAAAAAATCTAATTAATAGATTTAGCTTTAATCAGGCGGAGGGGAATTTCCAGGGGAGGGAAATTTCCTCCTTGTCCCCCCCCCTCACTTCGAAAAAATCCTGGCTACGAACCAAGCTTTGACTAGTCAAATTAACATTCATAAATTTAAAAACCAAATTCTTATCGATTTATCACCAAAAAAAGAATGAAATTTTAAGAAAAAACGAAAACCTCTTGAGCTGTCCCAGCATTATTATTTTGTGAAGACGCCCTACTTGTAGTTGCTACTTGTTGTTGATCTAAATTTCCCGCAGTTGCACTCTTTGCTGACTCTCTTTCAATTTCACCCCTACTAATTTGTAATCAATTTATTTTTTTTTAAATAAAAAAACCTATTTCTGATGCGCCTTTTTAAATGTTCTGCACTAATTATAGCATTTATAGTTCTTGAATCTAAAATACATTTATCTGTTAATGACATTGAAGCATAACAAGGATGTTTTGGCAATTCTTCTACAACAACACTGAAATTTTAAAAAATCTTAGAAATTCCCAAAGAGAAAACTTCGAAATACGAACAGTTCACTATCCCGGTTTAAGAAAAGCCGATACAAAATTTTGATACTGTTCGACTCATCTATGCGAACTAGAGATCGACCTGGGTCTGACCAAGGCCTGGGTTTTTCCTGTACCCAGAGTCCAGGTCCAGGCATTTTTTGACCTTCCTGGGTTTTTCCTGAGCCTGGGTTTTTCATTTACTATAGGCCCAGGATCCAGTCCAGGTCAATAAATTAAACTCCAGAGTCCGGGAACAGGTCCAGGCTTTTCAAAATTTCCGATCTCTAATGCGAACCAAGTCGAACGGTATATAGAGCACTTATATTGAGAAGTGTCCGCCCGTATTTATAAAATTTTCCACAAAAAATACCTAGTAAATCGAAGAAAGAAAAGAAAAGCCCTTTCCTCGTCTATACATTTACTCGAATAATAAACACCCATTTGATGCATTTCGTTAAGAAGTTGAAGACATTTTTCCAGAGTAAGACTGGGGGGTAGTTCACGTGCTCGAGCTTGATCGACCAAATCAGCAAGTCTTTTGCAAGAATCCATCAAAGTGCTTTAAAATTGATAAAAGCAGATCAATGTTGGATTTTAATTAAAAATAACTGGAAAAATTAATTTTTGAAGATTAAGCATAATCACAAAACAAAATGTAAGCATATCCAGCTAGATAAACAGATAAATAAATATTGATGGATTTATCGTCTTTGTTAAGAAATTTTACATTATGACATTACTGACACAAAATGTTCTTACAGCTAAAATTTATCATTTTGTCGAACTTATTTAGCGTTTTTTGTGGGAAAATAAATTTAATTTTCAGATTTCAGGCTATGAAAAAAATTTACATTAAAAATTAAGTATAAAGTAGTGACTGGCAAAATCGTGTCACGCATGCGGGATTTTTTCAAAATTTTTGCGGGACAGGATTTTGCAGGATAAATCCCGCAAAATCGTCAATTTAAAATTTGTGGGACCCCGCGCGAGATTGCGGGATCTTTCACGCAGTAGGGTAAAGTTTAACCTGAGATCGACAAGTGAGGTCAAACTAGAGAAATTTCCAAGTAGTAAGAATGATCAGTCTCCAGGCGAATCACTCTCCCGACTGATCAATCTCCTGTTTACTTAATCAATTCCCTAATCCATTTTCATTTCAATATACAGTAAAAGCTCAAAAAAGAAGCCTAGCTCCAAGGAAGAAATCTGGATAATTGACTGGATAATTTTTAAATTAAAATTTAACATATTTTTCTCAGAAATTTAAAACCCAGAAAAATTTAAGACCCTAAATTTGAATTTTTCTCAGAGCAGCTGATCTAACACCAAAAATTTAAACTTTGTTTACAAAAGAAAAACCTTTAACAAATCAAACAACACCGTCTTATTCAAATATTTTTGATGAATTTCACTCTAAAGGATTAGTAAATAACATTTGCCCTGGTCAACAAAAAATGCCATCCTTACTCAGAAGTTTGGAACTTTGCCTCATTCAAAATTTCTCCCTCTTTCATCTTGCTCCTCTTTTAATCTCTTCCCATTTTCCATTCAAAAATGCACATGCATGGAGCAATATCGTTCAAATTTTTATTTTTATGTTAAAGGCGTGTCTAAATATGATCCCTATATAATTGTGTATATTGCTACTCAAAAATTATTTTTGCTTTCCATTTTTAAAATTCTCCAAATTTCCCTATAAATTTCAAATTTCCATCTTAGATTCAATAAATTTAAAATTTTCTAAAGATATGTTTGGCCTACCCGTATTTTTTTACGATTTTCTTCAAAATCAGCGAACTCGTAAATGAAACGGGTAGACTTATCGTGTCTAAAAATTACTAAAATTTATTATTTTAGACGAGCTTCTGAGCTGGGCATTGTTCTTTAGTCATGATTCTCGAAATAAATTTTGCATGACTAGAACAAATGTTCTGCTTAGCGGTTTTGTCGCTTCCTAAAATGTTTTATCAGCGTGGAATGGGTTCTTGTATTCAACATGGGAATGAAACAATTTTTTAAAAAACCATTCACATGTAAGAATACTCGAGCTTATTTTATGTTGGACAAAATAAAAATTCTTTAAAAAATTTATTTTTAATTTAAAAAAAGACTTTCCCCCTTTTGTGTATTATCTTTTTGGTGAACTTGTGTTTAATTCACATTTAATAATTGTTCACCGGGAGAAAATATACAGAAGGGGAATTGGAAGTCCCTCAACGTCTACATCAAGAAAATTAATTTTTAAAACACTTCGAGTTATTCAAACAAAATATCCAACAAAATATCACTTCTCCATTCTGTTTGTGATTGCTGGTGAGCTTAAAAAATGTTTTAATTTAGAAATGCTCACCGGGAGTTCACAAACAGATTGTGGATTTTGATATTAACAAAAATTCATCAAAATATGGACAACAAATTTTCCTTTTAAAAATAAATAAACTAGTGTTTAGTGAAGGGCATTTTCTTGTCCAAATCTGTAAATTATCATAGAATCGATTTGGCATGAGAAATGCTTTTCTCTTTACTCAAGTTAATCGAAATCTCATTTCCTTACAATTTTATTTTAAAATATTATTCAGACAAACAAAATTTATTTAAAATAATTTACACACTAAATACAACATAATATGAATATAAATTACACAATTGAAATTAGAAAATACATACAATGTACACAACACAAAAATTAATTATCGGTTATACGCCAACTTTTGACATCATTCATTCCTCTTGTAGTTACTTTGCAAGTTTCTCGAAAATGTATCTCGCCCTGTACTGTATTAGTTCCATTACTGCAACAAACAACTCTTTGTTGTTCTAACTTCTCATCACGAACAAAGAAAATTCCATCAACGAATTTGTAGAAACAACGCTTTTGAGCGCTAGGTAAAAAACGTCCGAGCCAAGTTTCATTTGATAAAATTTCTCCATTTCCATAATTTGTAATATCCGATTCGGCCTGACAGTTTTCATTTAATATTGAATTTTCATCCTTAATTCCAGCAAAGCACGCTCGAAGAAATATTAGAGTTTGGTGTAAACGTAAATGGTAATTGATCTTCAAATTTTGATTTGTACTCAAAAGTAAATAGGGAATGTCTGAGCGGCAACCCATCTGAATTTAAAAATTATATTAAGTACTCAAGTCATTCAAAATTACCAAAACTCTTTTTGCCTTATCTGGTTCATTGAGAAATCCAGGAAATACCCAACCAAAATTACTTTGTTCTTGAATGTAGAAACAGCCTGTAATTGAAAGATTTTTTTATTAAAAAGGAGACAATAAATTACCAGGTTCGCGACAATATTTCTTTGGACTAGTAGGTTTACCATGCCAAGTAACTCCCATATACATCTCATAGAGAGCTTTGGTTATTCGGCATTCATATTTTGGTTCTAAAGTTTTGTTTGATCCTTTGATGAAATTTCTTGTTGTAGACTCGTCAGACAAAATGTTGCAGAACAGGCCGATGAACAATAAACTTGATAAAAGCATTTGACTAAATTGAAGCATTTGATCACACGCTGAAAAATTAATTTAGAAATGATGTAATGTAGAGATTAAATAGAAAATGAACAGAAACGAGACTTTTATACTATCGAGTCTTTAAAATGGTATAACGACATTTGCGCCGCCATTGTTTAAAAAATAAAATATAATAGTTAACTACAATTGACCTAACTATATTTTACCTCTTGGGTTTAAAAAATTGTATCCGGGAACTTAAGGATTTCAGGCAGTACAATAGGAGTTCCGTAGTTGAGGAATGAGGTCTGGGCCATAAAAGTAAGTGGAGCCATAAAAGTTCCTGCATGATTTTTTGCCCGTTGCACTATAGTGTAGGGTTGTCGCATCCGGGGGATCGGACCTCCACACTTTGGCACCTGACTGTAAATCAAAATGATGCCTAGTAATTTGGTAAAAATCAAAAAATAATTTTGTTTATTAATTTAAAATAATTATAAAATATTTATAAAATATCACAAAAAGTTTAAAAAATAATTCGATGTTAGTTTTCCCTAACAATCACTAAATTAGAAAGGCAATAATAAATAAAATAAATTTTTAATTTATTCTTTCCAAGAATATGTCGTCTTCCAAACTTCTGCTAAACCTAAAAAATATTTTTTTATTTAATTAAAAGTACATAAAAACATACAAACAGAACTATGGAAACGATAAAAAATTGTTAGAGGTGAAAAAGAACGAACAAGGAATACCCTTAAAAATAAATAAATTCTTAAATATTTCTTTAAAATTATTTCTTACCAACTCCTTTTTCCATAAAAATTAACAACAGTTTCACTAACCCCAGCCTTCTCAGCTTCTAATAAATTCATAAGAAACATTGAAATATTTGCTAGCAGTAAAAATGTTATTGCTTGTTTTCCTGGTTGTCTTTCACGCAAAATGGGGTCATTACCAACACGAAGTTTTCCCTTAAAAAAAATTTTTTTTTGAAATTTTGGAATTAGACTTAATAATATCTTAAAATTAATTTTTATTTTAATTAGGCAACAAAAATAAAATATACAAATATTTTTCTAAGAAAGGGGAATTCTTGTGGAACAATTTTTAGCAGTAAATTAATTTCAAGTGTATCAGAATTGGTCGATATTTTTAAATAATACTAGTGCAGTCAAATCTCTTTGAGATGGCACCCCTCCCCCCTCCCAGCTCACTTTCCTTCATATCTCAGCTTAATTCTATCCCGAAGGGAGGTGATATATTAGAGAGATTCCTTTGTATTTTTATTCACTTACGGCAATATAAATTAAACAGCTTTGTAAGGCAACCTAAAAATAATTAATTAAAATACAAATTATTTTAATTAAAAATACCTCAATAATTCTAGTTACGTGTACCTAAATTTAAATTAAGAAAAAAATAAATAAATTAAAAATATTACAGCTAAAAGTATAATGGTTAATGGCTGCCAATTTGGATCACCAGTTAATCCAAGTAGTCCAGCCACAGAGTAAATCATTTCTCCCGTCTTTTTTAATAAAAATATTTTTTTCTAATTAAAAAAATTTCTTAGCTACCATTCCAAATGCTAATAAAATCATATCCAATAATTCCTTTAAAAAACAAAAATTTTTGGTAAAAAGAAAGAGTTTAGCAAAAGTTTTGACATCGAGCAGGATTCGAATCTGCGACCTCCTGACAGTTATTGCTCACCATATACATGAGCTCTACCACTGAGCTACTGCTTTCTCTTTTATCCTGTTAGATCGTTTAACCCCCGCCTAAGCGTTTTAAATGCTCTAGGTGAATCATCCTTACAAAAATTTTCTCAAAACCTTTTAAAAGTTTACCTGATTATTTGCTTGGCAAATAGAGGAAGGTGAAGATGATTCTGTAGAATTATTTGAAGATAAAGAATAAATTGGAGGGGCATTAATTATTTGATTAGTTTCTTTATTAGAATAATTTTGATGTGAATGAAAACGTAAAAGACGCATCCTTAAAAATTTAGAAAAAAATAAATTTTTAATTAAAAAGAACCTCCAAAGGGCAACAATACAACCACAAGTACTAATTAAATACTTAAAGGGGTTTTTAAATTTTTGAAATTTTTAAAAGACTAACATGAACTATATCAGTAAAGCCAAATACAGTAGCCGCCAATTGATTTTGACCCATAATTGTATAGCCAGAAAATACAGCCATTGAAGTAAAAGTACCAGCAAGGAAAGCAAGTCCAAAGAAAAGGCCTAAATTTTAAATAAAATTTCAAAAATAATTTTTTCTAAACCAGTAGTGCTTTTAGAGCAATCTAAACGAATTCTGTGTTTTCTTGGGACATATCCACTAAAAACAATTATTTTATTTTAATTGTTATAAAGTTTTTATTTACAATCTCTCAACCGGATTTTCAACTTTTCCAATATTTCTCCAAACAATAAACATTACTGCAGCGCCAATAAGAGAATATTCAACAATACTTTAAAATTAAAAATAAAATTACAATCATCGATATAAAGATAGGGGCAAGCTAACTAAAATGAAAATTAACCATTTTCTCAATTAAAAATCCATTTAAGCAAAAGTTTTCTATTTGATTAAATACTCCATTTAATTCTTTATTTAATGAGTATAAGCTTTGCAGGATTAATATTTTATACTACCGAGCCCAAACTAAAATAAAAAAGTAGTGCTAGTTTTCGCGCGTCAAAAAGAATTAGTTTTCAAATTAGTGACCAAAAAACAAATAAATATAAATTGTTCCAACCTTGTATACATTACTTCGTTGAAACTTGCTAAAAATTATATTTATTTATTTATTTACTAAAAGACAAAGTTTATTTTTTAAATATCAATTTTTAATTATAATTTATTTACCAAGAACACATTCAGCCCCCTCACATTTACGCATAAGTGAACGTCTAGCTACATTAGATTCTTGAGAATTTTCTTCATTTAATAAAGGCAACAATGAATTTGTAATATTTTTATTTAAATTATTTTCTAATTCTTCACTTCCCCAATCATCATTTTCATTATTATTACCACCAATATTTCGAGCAAAAACTTGTCTTTTTTAAATTTAAAATTATTTTTATTTCCCTAAATTACCTTATTTCGTCACCCATTAAGGATTCTTCAATTAAAATATAACGAATCCAAATCCAAAGATTTGTGGCCACCAAATGCATCGTTCCAAACCGACAAATTGTTTGGTATTGACTTATCGTTAACTTTAAAAAAATAATTTTTTTTCGAAAAAAAATATTTTTTCTAACCTTCCAATTACAAAAAACAAAATGCATTTGTGTAAAAACAAAAATAATGGAAAGTAAATCCAACCAAATAAGGTAATTTTGTTGGCAAGTTGTATCGCTAATACAGAGAAAAACGTTGAAAGCATAATAAACTGTGCCGATAACACCAAAAACTAATTTAAAATTTCAAGGAATTTTTAATAGAAAAGAGAATATTTTTAAGTAAAAACAAGAAAATACAAATATTTACTACAATAGGTATCCCAAATTTAGCACATCATCTCGATTAATTACCCCCTTCAGCGAAAGATCGAAACAATAATTACCCAAAGTAATTGTTCGAGCATTTACGGTAGTTCAGTCAAATCTCTTATATGGCACACGCTCCCAGCGAAGTATATCGAACCCCTATATATCCCACCCTGTATATACTGGGGCGATCCCCTATAATAATATAGGTAATTATTTTATTTATTCACCTACACATCCAAGACGAAGAAAAAGACTTCCGGCACTTGGACTGCTATGGCTAACCTTTTTAAAAAAGATAATTAAACTAAATAACACCGAATCTAAAATAAATAATTTTAAAACATACTTTCCTCTCTGTTGGCTGCTGAAAAATGCTCTGACTTGATTCGCTTCTAAATTATTAACAAAAAATAATTAAATAATTATCTTTTAAATTAATTATTATCCAAAGTTTTATAATATAAAAACTTTAATTCAAATAAATTACCTAAAATGTACAACTAATGCCCCTATTTTTCTTTTCCATTTTGGATGTAACAAAAGAGCAATATAACAATAAATTAAAAATATAATTGAACTTCCATACATATACAAACCAAAAATCTAAAAAAATATTCCTTATTTAAATTATTTATTAACCAATTCTTTAATTCCCATATTTCTTCTATTTTTTGTATCACCAGAAATTATATGGGAAAGTTCGAAAACTAAAGAAAAAATAGTTGCCAACATTGCATAAAAGAAACTTAAAGCAATCATCATTGACTTTCTTTAAAAAATTAAATTAAAAAATTAAGGTACTTTTCCGTTATATGCCCATTAATTTTTGGCTGTACTTTAGCAGTTAGTCATAGTTTTATTTAAAATCATTGAATCAAGCTGATTTATATGTCATTCGACACAGCTCGACGAATCCTTTCGAATGAGCTATCGTTTGTATTTTCCGAAAATGAGCCCGGTTTCAATTTTCGGGGACCTATATCTTGGTCCCTAGGAATTTCCGATAATAGAGAATGGTGCCATCCGGCTTAGAGTGACGAGACGAAGAAGAAAGATAAATAAATCGAATGACTTTGGAACCGGCCACTGGCTAAATTACAGCAAAAGGATTTGTGGGCAGAATTAATTTTAACAATAAAATTAGAAATAGGGAAATACTTTCGAATTTTTAAATAAATTAAAAATATTTAAATGTGATTTGTGAATTTTTGAAAAAATTTGGTCACAAAATGTATTATATATAAGTAAAAATTTTTTTATAAAAATAAAATTGAATAAAGATTTTTGGGTGCGCTAAGAAAATTGTTTTGGATTTTTTTGAAAACAAACAAAGAAAAAAAGAACTGACTAAACAATTCTTAAAATTTATAAAAATAGAAAGGTTGAAAAAAACTTGGGAAATTAAAACACTCAACTATTAAATTGGGCAATTAAATATAGAATTTTTAAATCTTTTCTTAAATTTTGAAGAAATTAAAAAATCTAAAGGTTAAATAATAACAAGGAGGGGTTGTCGGGTTATTGGAAAATTTTCGAGTATCCAGAACCGATCCAAAGAACTAAACCAAAAAATACTCATCGTTTTTTTTGATGTTTTTTACTTTTAAAAAGTTTGGTTTCGAAAAAACAACTCTACCAACAACTAAATATTTAATTAAATATATTTATTACCTTGCAGTAGGTTGGTCTACCCAACGTAGATCTGCCAACCTCTTCCCTTTATTTTCACTTAATGGACAAGTTGAAATTTGAGAAGGAGAAGGGGAATTATTTTCTGCAGATTTTTGTTGTTTCTCCTTCTAAATTTAGAAATTAATTTTTGTTATTTCTTTGAAAATTTCTCTCAAATACAAAATAAAAATTAGTTTTTATTTTCAAGTATTTCATTAAAAACAAACTTTTTGTTGTTGCCACTTTCCCTGTTCATTTTTTAAAGAAGAGAGGCAAGTTGAAGAAGAAATTAAAGAAGATTTGGGTGTTTGAAAAAGATTAATAGGAGGGGGAGGGGGTGGTTGTTCTAAGTAAAATTGTGTTTGATTTGCTGTTGATTTTTCTTTTTTTAACGAAGAAATTGAGAAATTAACATTCTTAATTTAATTAGAAAAATAAATAAACAAATAAATTTTGAAAAGATTTAAAATTTTCCCAATGTTATAAGTTTTCAATGTCCAAATCTTTAATTAAACCATTATTAAGCCTCTAAAGCAAATGAGATTTACGCAGGGAAACAGATTGATCGGGAAATATAAAATAAATAGCGATATATTTATGGCCAGGCTTCTTTTGTGAAAATGTTGAGTTGAAGTACAAAAAGTTAAATTTATTAGCAGACCTGTGCATGGACACTGATTTTGTATCCGTATTCGGATATCTAAGGCTGATAAGTACATTTTCAATTTCTTAAGTGCGATAGTCGGTTTATAAGTACTATATTTTCAGAATAATTACAAAAAGGAGCCCTTTTATTAGTAACTAAATTAGGGTAGCTCCCCAAACATTCGGGGTTCTGGTCGGGGTTTTTGCCAAAATCGTCGGGGTCAGGGTACGGGGGACGGGGAGCTAACCTAAACTAAATATATAAATTACCTCATTTTCAGAATTATTTGTATTATTATTTAGATTATCAAAATCAGCCTGCATTTCTTTCAAGTTATCATCATCTTCAAAATTACGTTTTTCATAGCGATATTTTGAAGGTGGTGGATATGAACGACGTCTTTGTTCTTCTTCCTCTACTTGCTAATAATTTTTAAAAATTATTCAAAAAATAAATTAAAATATTATTTTAAAGAAAAGAATACTTAAAAATTTAAAATAATATTTAATTTTTGTTTTGAAAGAGATAAACTATTATGTAAAATTTAAATTAAAAACAAGTATTTTATTTAGGTAAATGTAGTATGAATATAGTATGAAGTTTAAATAAAGTATATGCACAAATACTTTCCTGTATTTTATAATTTTAGATTTAAATAATACACCTGTTTTTCTAAAGTAACAAAATTTGAAGGAAAAGAATCAACGGAGGGTTGTAAATCAGTCAATGAATCATTTTTATTATGAGGTAATTTAGAATGATGAGAACGCCGACGAGCGGATGGCACAAAAAATAATTCAAACAAATCATTCATTTGGTACAACAAAGCAATTTAAAACAGAGGAAAAAAAATAATAATTTTTTGATAAATTTAAATATTTTTTTTTGATTTTTATTTGCTGATATTTTTTTAAATTTAGGTTGATTTAATAAGATTTTTCCAATTTTTTATGTTATAATTTTGAATGGACAAGGAACGGACAAATAATTTAAAAATCTAACAAAGATGGACAATATGCACAGAACGGCTCATCATTCAAGGACAGTCAAGTGTCCTCGAATATATGACGAAGAAATAATTATATAAAGAGATTGTTCAAGAATTTTTTTGATTTAAAAAGAATAAAACAGGTAAAAATTAAAACTAGATTAAATTAAAAATTATTTTAAATATTATTTAAATACACCGGAATACAAGTAGATAAAATATTTGTAAATTAGTAATTCTTTTTAAGAATTAAGTTAACAAATAAATAGTATTTTCAGATTCTTATCATCTAGCAGGTGTCGGTCGGAAATGACAAAGATGTCGGAAATCAGCCTAAAATTTCGGAAATTGGAACTCCGACCGACCCCTGTTATCTAGTTAAAAATTATTTAATAATTGGTCAAGTAACTATTTGGCAAATATGTTCAAATATGTTTTTATTACTAAAAACTTTGAATAAATATTTAACTCAAAGCTTATGTTAGAGAAATGAAAGTATATGTAAAAAATAAACATGATTGTTTAAAAAATTTATTTACCTTTAACCATGTTCGAAGCATTGCTTGTTTTCCTATTAATGTATGTTCATTATTTTGATTAAACAATTGTGGTGTTAACATATTTAAAGGGATTTTTTCAAATAAATATGGCTAGTACAAAATGATTTTTAGTTAATTTTACAAAATAAATATTTTCTGATTCATAAACTTAAAAGGCAGAAAAAGCTTTTTTTATTTATTTATGTAGAAGGCAACAGTAATGTTACAAATAAAAATAAACGACATTTAAAATTATAAAAAATTGTTATTTGAATTTAAAAATGCAAAGATAATAAATTAAATTTTGAGAATTAAAAGTACTTTATTTATACATATATTTTTAAATTATTTTGTAAAAAAGAATTCACAATTTTTTCTAATTATTTAATTATTTATTTACGTAAATTTAAAAATTTTTTAAAAGCATCTTAACAAAAATAGATGTCATTACCGAATATTGTTCGTCACAATTATTTTAATTAAACATTCTTTTACCTCATACTAAATAATTATGCAAAGTGTAAGATGGTATGCACAAATTCGCTGAAGATATAACGCTAATAGATTTAATGATCAGTAAATTAAACTACTACAGTACTGCACAAAAGTATAAGAACACTTTTAAAAAGCTTATACCTTGGGACATACTTGGCCAAATTTTGTCAAATTTTGTGTAAATATGTGGATTATAAGAAGAAATACTATTAAATAATTAAAATTTTAAATTTTTTAAAACATCTCGCCAAAACTTAAAATTATTAAAATTGCGCGATTTTTTTACTGCACAAAAGTATAAGAACACTTTGGTTTTTCGTAGTTCTAACAATAGGAAAAATCCGAAAAAAATTCATCAGACATATATATGCATACTATAAAAAAATAAAAAAAACTAGAACCATATCTTTACCCGGAGCTGAGATACTGAGATCTCAAAAATCAACGTAAAATAGGGTTTTTCAACTTTAAGAAATATTTTCGACCCTTGTGGATTACTGTAAATTTTGATTTTGGGCTTATTCGAAAGCCCTTGAAATTTGGTACAAGATAGCACCAATTTTATTTTTAAGAAAAAATTTTAGAGAGAGAAGCAGGCATTAAACTTCTGATGCAGAAAAAAACGCCTTAATGCCCCATAAAATTCCCCTTAAAGTCGCTTCCGAAGTTTGAATGCATGTATCTCTCTCTAAAATTTTTTCTGAAAAATAAGATTGATGCTATCTTGTAGCAAATTTAAAGGGCTTTCGAATGAGCCCAAAATCAAAATTGAAAATAATTCGTAAGGGGTCGAAAAATTTTTTTAAAGAGCCTTACCCCCGTTTTACGTTGATTTCTGAGATTTCAGTATTTCAACTCTGGGTAAAGATATGGTTCTAGTTATTTTTTATTTTTTCATAATATCATTATGTATCTTTGCTAGAATTTTTGTAGATTTTTCCTACTCTTGGAAATATCTTTTTTGTATAGTGTTCTTATACTTTTGTCAGTAAAAAAATCGAGAAATTTTAATAATTTTAAGTTTTGGAAAGATGTTTTAAAAAATTTAAAATTTTATTTATTTAATCGTATTTCTCTTTATAATCCACATATTTACACAAAATTTGCTAAAATTTGGTCAAGTATGTCCCAAGTTATAAGCTTTTTAAAAGTGTTCTTATACTTTTGTGCAGTACTGTAATTAAAATAAAAATTTGCACAATCCGTCCCACCAAATCACCCTATGACACCTGTTAATCAATCCAAATCCCAAAGTATTGAACTTAATTGCCGATATCCTTTGAAATTCCACTCAATCTCTAAAAATCACCTATTTAATTTTAATCACTACAATTCCTCTGATATCCCTCCAAATCTGATAGCCTTCTTATTGCTCTTCACGTTATATGCCAATTAAAATGTTGATACAATAAATCCTCATTAATTCTGTCAACCCCATTGATACCCTCTTGATTTAGTGACTCTTGATGGGAGAATGGGAATACTTGATAAAAATAGAGAGTAATCCTGATCGAGAGTTTTTACTATTTAAACGGACATTTCAAAATTTAAAATTTATCCCTTCATTCAAACTTAACATCTCCACAATTAATCAAAGCTTGCATCATTATGAACTTTCTAAGGCGAACATTTTTTGGATTACCTCGTCAAAATGTGCCGGATACTACGGATTCTCTTCAGTCAATGATTTTTGTTGATGAACAAGGAGAAATTACATGGGAATTGTGTGAATGTGCTGTTTCTCTTCCAAGCAAAAAACTCTTAATTGGGCCATGGTGAGTTGCTCAGAAGATCTTTATTGAGAATTAAAAATTTTTTTTTTCTTTTTCAGTATTGCAGCCTTTAGCGGGAAAAACTCTTATAAGAATTCACAATTCATTCCGATCACTTTGCATAATGATTCAAAGCATGAATGGATTGTCTTTAAAGTGCAACATTATGAAGTGAGATTTTATTTAGTTGTTTTTGGACGTTAAAAAAATTTTTTTCCCTTAGCCAAGAGATCCTTTTCTGTCACAAGAACAACTTGCAAAATTTGAAAAGGCCTGTGTTCCTTTAATGGCTTCTCCTAATGTTGGATTAATTGGGCCCGGACAGGAAGCGGTGTTCAAACTTATTCTGCCGGGACGGAATATTTGGCCTGTTAGTCGGTGAGAATATTTTTTAAAATTAAATTACTTGAAAATTCCCAAAATTTAAAGAGAAGCAACTATCGGCAAAATGAGCTACTTTCGTATTTTACAAATGCAAGTAACTGACCCGTGGGAGGTATTAAGTGCGTTTAGCGGTAATAATACTTCGCTAACAAGAGGAATTAAACAACTCTTTGATGCATTAAATACTGCTAGAAGCTGTGAGGATGCTTTGGAGAGGGTCGGTTTTTAATAGGGGGAAATGTTAAATAAAATCCTTTAATTAAAGATTTATTCTTGCGATGTTCCTATTTTCCTTCCTCTGTGCCCTATAATTCTGTCTGAAACCAATTTGAACGCGGGAGCGAAAGATAAAGTTTAGAAAGATGAACAAAACAAAGTTTAAAGAATATATATCTCTACCTATTTTTGTTTTGTGTTGTTGGCTAAATTTGTGTCTGTAGATATTTGTAAAAATAATAAAATATTTTTTTATTCTGATTAATTTTATTAATTAAGTTTAAATTTAAACCCATTCAATATACGTATAATTTCACTCCTCCATTTTTATTTAAATTACCCTACATATTTCCTCTATTACTATAATGCCACCCTCTAATAGAATGCCACAAGGTGATTGAAAAATAGAATGCCATGGTATTCTAATAGAGGAAATACCGTATATAAATATTCTAGAAAGTACCTAAGTTATTGTTCTCTTGTATTTAAAGTATTTTATTTAAAGTATTTTATTTTTAAGTGTTCTAACAGTTACTACAACATCCACGAGTTTTAATGAGTCTTAATCGTTTTAAATTCTAGCCAGTTGAAAAATTGAGAGCCGAAAATAATAGTTTATGTAAATTTAACCACTTTTAGTTCATAATTAAAACAGTTAAAATTAAGAGTTATTATTGTTAAAGTTTTTTATGTACATATACAGGGTGCGTAAAAAGTCCTTGCCCACACTCTTTTGGGCATAAATATTTATTCAAGTGGAATTTTGCCAAATAAATTCACACATACAATCACAAGAATGTGTGTTATTAGAAAATTAAAAAAGATTTGCAAAATTTTACACATTTGCAGAAATACAAGCATCTAAACATTTGTGGAAATTACCTACGATGGTCGCACAGTCATTTCACTTTTTTGGTCCCGGGCACGCTTTAATAAAGTTTTCAGACAGACCTTAATCCTTCACCATATCTTACCAGATCTTAACCGGATCTTAACTTACCAGATCATAATTTTTTAGACTATTCTTTTTGGTCAATTTTGAAGCAAATTATTAGGCAAAAAATATAAAAAATAAATGAAAATTTTAAAACTTCATTAAAGCGTGCCCGGGACCAAACTATTAGTGATGATGAAGTTGCGACCATCGAAGTCAATTTTCACAAGCTTTAGATGCTTGTATTTTCTCAAATGTGTAAAATTTTGCAAATCTTTTTTAATTTTCTAATAACACACATTCTTGTGATTGTATGTGTGAATTTATTTGGCAAAATTCCAATTGAATAAATTTTTATGCCCAAAAGAGTGTGGGCAAGGAATTTTTACGCACCCTTATTTTTTCTCATGCTTTTTATGTTACTACCTTCATTTAAGAGAATTTTATTTGTTTACAAATTAAATAAATTTAGTAAGTTTCTGTAGGATTTATATAATAATAAATACGTTTAAATATTTATAGCTTAACATCCTTTTATACAAAAAATAATCAAGATATTATAACTTTAATGTTTAAAAGTCACGAGATATTATAACGTATATAAACATCACCCACTCATTTTTATTTTTAAAGAAATTGACGGAAATTAAAAGTATGTAAGGCGATATACAATAAATAATACAATAAATTATTTATAGCCGATAAATAACTTTAATTAATTTTGGAACTAACATTTTAAAAAAATATTTAATATATAGTACAGCATATACAGGCTTGTATTTATATGTAAATGTATTAAAAATTTAATTTTATTTGTTATTTTCTTACTAACAAATAAGTAACACATGATTATTTGTTGCGATTTAAAAGAGATGAGCCGGAAATAAGGATTAATTTTAAATATTATTTTATTATAATTTAATGAGTCAAAAATTTTTTTAATTAATTTTTATAATTGAGTCTATTTGTTTTTTGAAAAAAATAATAAAAAAAATTGTTAATTATTAGATAAATCAAAAAATCAATCTTTAATACAGGCAAAATTTAAAGTTTAAAAAGGATAATTTCAGAAAGTATATTTATTTTTACATTTATAAGGCAAAAATATTTTTATTAGTGTTTGAGAATGTTTTCTAACTAAAATTTTGTTAAGGCAATTCCCAAATCCTTAACAAATTTTATTGAATAAAATTGAATATCTCAACTAAATTAATAAAAACTAAGGTCTCATAACAATTGAAATTGTAGAAGGGCCGTGCCAGCCTTGACAAGTAGAAAAACACAAAAATAAATATGCCCCCACATGGATAAGGATTTGATTATTTAATATTTTCTCAAAGTTTTTGATAAAACAAAAATAATAATTTTTGGGCAAGAGGAAAATTACTACTCTTATTTGAATTCTAAAATTACATAAAGATTTCGATATTTTCTTGCTGTCAAAAATTTTTAAATAAAAAATAATTTCTCGTTAAGATTTTATTTTTTTTGTTTGCGTTAACAATTTTTGCAATAAAAATTCTTATTCAAATAACAATTTAATTTTATATTATTAAAAATTATTTTTAGAAAAAATATAAATATACATACATAAGTATTATTTATTTTTTGTAAAATAATTTATTTATTTAAAAATTTAAGTTCCTAACGTTACTAATTTAGAAAAAAAATACATAGGTATAATTAAAATTTAAATTTGGAATTTTCTAACTTTTCAGAAATAAATAAATAAATTGAATAATTATTTTGAAAATTAAAAGATTTTTTTTTGTTTTAATTGATTTAATATAAAATTAAGTTATGGTTAGTGGGTCAACCTAAAATTTGAGTCAAAAAATTATCTCATGCAATCATCTAAGATTTAAAATATACATTATTTTTATTAATTTATTAATTAAATATACAAATTTATAGTATACATAATTTAATTTAATAATCAATTTCTCCATTTAATTCTAAAAACCTATTTTGTCCACGACAAAGAATTGATATACGTAAAGGACATCCAACTTTTAATGATTTTAGGAATTTTTTTGTTCTTATTTCTTTCTGAATTTCTTTTTCAATTTTATTATTTTTAATTTTATTAACCAAAATTTCTTCTTGATTGACTAATTTTCCTTCCATTTCTTCATCCTTCATTTTATTTTCTTCATTTATTTCCTCCTCCGCAGGTACTTCATTAACCTCCTTTTCTTCTTTTTTAATTTCAATATCTGCATCTTCCTCTTCTTCTTGTTGTTCTACAGGTACTGCTTGAATATCTAGTTCCTCTACATTAGCTTTCTCCATTCTACTTTTCAATTCTCTTTTATTCCCTCTGTTGTTTGTATTAGTTTCTCCTCTTTTGAAAGCATTTTTCCTCAGTTTATTATAAGAATCTGGGCATGGAAGGGAAGTAAAAAAGCACATTGGATGTATTCCCAAAGGGTAAATTGAAGGAGTATTAATTCCTTGATTATTTTTATTATTTATTTTTGATGGGTATTTTGAAGTAGATACTGGCCAATCTCTAAGCATGGCAAAATTCTGTACTCTTCTTCTGTGCCGTAAATCACGAGAAGCTTTTATATTGGGTAAAATGAAGGAAAGAATAATTGGGGAAATTACTAATAATAATTTTAAAAAATTCATTTTAATTTAAAATAAATATTTTTTTAATATATGAAAGGCTTTTTACTGGCTATAAATATTATAAATTTAAATAAATATTCTTATTTATTTTCATCTTTTATATTTACAATTAAAAGGGCGGGACTTGGAAAGCTTATTTATGCACATTATGGCATAAACTACTTATTTTATTTAATTATAGTTATTTAAATTAAATTTAGAAAAAAGAAAATTTGTGAGGTAATAATAAACAATTAATTTTGTGTTGAAAATAGAATAGGTATACGTAAATTTTTAAATATTATTAATTGTTTTTAACAAAATAAATATTTAAAAATAAATATTAAATTTAGATTTTTAAAGAATTGAAAATTAAATAAACGTGAATTTCTTTTTTAATTTTTGAAAAATTAAAAAAAATAATTCATTAAATCTAAATTTAGCTCAATAATTTAGAATACTTTTAATATTTTAATTTATTAAAGATGACATAATCGAGCAGATACAACAAGACATTCAACACTTGAAGCATTAAATTTATTTATTTTTAGTTTAGAATGAAAAAGAACATTTAATGCTTTTAATTTAAATTTTTGTATTTTTAAAAAAATTGTATTTGAAAGTAAAATATTTTTCACAATTTTTATGCCAAAATATATTTATATCTAATTCAAATTTAAGACAAAATATGTAAATTTAAAATTTTAAAATTATATTTTTTGAAGAATATAAATTGTTACCAATAATGTGTTTTTAGTCCAGAATATATATGTATTTTGCAAGAATTTATTTTAAATTTTTTTGTAAAATCTCCTTCCTTCTAAATTGGCGATAAAAATAAATAAATATCTATAATTTCTACTTATAAAATTTCAAAAAATATCCGCGTCAGATAACGTCTTTATTTTTTAAAAAATTATCTAATTATATATAGAAATGAAATTATTAAATATTTTCTAGAAGAAATTTTTTTAAAAATAATATATAATTTAAATAAAATTGGAATAGGAAGGAAGTGCACGTATTTACTAAAAATGATGTATATTTAACTTTCTATTTTTTAAATAAAATTTAGAAAAAAAATCTGAAGATTTTTAAAATAAAAAGTGATGTCTAAAATAATAAAACAAAAAAGTAATATTTTTTTAGCTTAAAAAATTAATTAAAAAATGTTTAAAACTTCCGAAATGAATTAAAATGAGTTAATTTTTAATTTTTAGAAGATTATTTTTGGATTAATTTATGGAAAGGATTAATTTAAATAAAAAAATGAAAAAAAATATTTTTTTGGAACATTAATAATCTAAAAAAATATTGATCAAAAAATACTTCGATTAAGAACAATAAATTTTAGTAATTTTTTATCAAATAAAAATAGTCACTCAAATGTGCGTAAATTGATTCTTACTAATAAAAATAAAATATAATATTTTTATAATATATTATTTTTATTTTTTAAATTTTTTAATACATTTGTTTTTTAAACTAAAAAATTCTCTTTAAATATTCTTTATCTCCTTAAATACTTTTAACAATAATTTTTATTATTAATAGATACTTATAAAATGGGGTGGTCAAATTATGACGAAAAACCTCAAAATATTCGGATATACATAGTACTTCCTCTAAAATAGCCCACCCCAACTCGTAAAATATTTAATTGTTGAGTAATTGTTGAGTCCCCTCAGTTAAATCCCCATGAAGGAATATAGACGGATCAACAAGTATATAAAGGGATTTAGGGAGATATTGAGGGATTTGAAAGGATTAAGAGTGAAATAGGAGGATTTGTGGAATTTGTTTACTTTTCTTCACTTAAAGTGACGGAGAAGTACTTGATGAAAATTTTTGGGCTGATTATAATTTAATTACAATTAATCCAAATTTTTTTTTATTACTCATTGACATTAAAGTTGCAATGCTTAGCTTAAATTTTATTTTGTTTGTCTTTTCTTTAGAAATATTTATTACGTCATTTATTTCATTATATGATTTCATGTACATATTTTTATTTGTGTGTATAAAACTTACTCGTATTTTTTATTTTTTTCTTTTAATTGTCAAAAATAATATTACTAATTAAATTTTAGTATATTAAATGATTTTAAATTTAAAATTTTTTATTTTTCTTATTTTAATATTTTATATTATACTATTTGTTAATTTAATTAATGCTGCACCAATAAATAAAGGTATTATGGAAATATGTTTTTAAAAGGTTAGCTTACTATTTTCTATGTTTTTAGGCAGTATTAGGAAAGAACCTCGATTTCAATGTGATTCATTTTCAAAAAAATGTCCATTTGGGATGCGATGTAGAGGGGGCTTTTGTAAATAAATACCAAACAATATTAATAATATTTAACAATGGAATACATAGGTATAAGAATATAAAAGAATTTTTTTAGTAAATATTTTTGTGTTTTTATTGTTTTTAAATTTTATATAATTATTTATTTTTTGTTAATTTCGAACTTTTAAAAATAAAATTTTATTATAATTTTAATTTCTCTGGAAATTTTGAAATAAAAGTGCTTGTTGTGTTTTGACAAAAGTAGGCGCGCTGCCATAAAAGCGCATAGCCATAACTATCTGGAAAATTATTTTCCCTTATCAATTTTGGTACCAATCTCTTTAGCTCGATGATAAGAATCGTTTAATACTAAAATTGATATGATTCGAAAATCTTGAAGCTTTGCGATTTTGTCGCAACGTCTCCCGTTCTTTATTATTAAAAAAGGGTGTTTTTTTAATTTGACTTCCTATAATTTTATTCAAAATTAATTAAAATTTTTAATTACCCATAATATTTAAATAATTTGTCTGTTTATTTACATTAATAATTTTTTGTTTCCAAAAATAAATTCCATCCATTAAATATTTTACCACCTTCTTTTAATTAAAAAAACTTCAATTACAAACATCATAAATAAATATATTTTACTTATAAAAACATTTATTTATTCCCGCGCACCTTTCGTGCCATTTTTTACTTTAAAAAAATGTATTTAGTATTTTTTGTTTCTATTTTTATATTTCTAAATTGACTAGCAAATTGACTAGCATCTTTAATTATTCATAACTTGGGAAAAGTCCTGAATGGTGGGTGCGAAATTGCCTAGATTTTGTAGAAACTTGTTAGAATTGTTAGAATTCGATTTTAAAATAAATATTCTCCAACCCTTCTCCACAACAAGAGAGAGAGAGATTGGACAATATAGGTAACCAACTTCTCTCCACAGCATTAATTGTAAGTATGTACATCATAAAAAGTTATCCCAGTTTTGACGCACATAAGTCCAATTTATCAATTTATTTAATTAAATGGAATTATGTATGTATTCAACATTTAGAAAAGAGTCTTTATTTTTTAATTATAATTTAATAAAAAATATTATATTTGCTAAATCATTTAAGATTTTTATTATTATGTATTTAACAAATTTCCTCATCAAAAATCTTCTAAAAAATTCATTAAATATTTTTCCCCATCCATTAAAATATTTTTCCTTATTTGTACTAAAATACATATTTTATTTTTTATTTATTAGACATAAATTGAAAGCTTTTTTTTCTTTTATCCCGCCCATTAATTTATAATCTTTATTTAAACACGATATTATATTTAATAATAATCACTATTAAATATAAACTTTTATTTAAAAAAATTTTTTTCCCGAAAAATAATAATTTTTTAAAATATGCCCCAAAAAATATTTCCCCATTTTTATCCTCAATTTAATTCTTTTTCCTTAATTTCTTTTATTATTTTATTAAATATTATTTCAATTAAAAGTACCCATTTACAACAAATGTTTAATTTAAATGAAGCTATTTCTCCACAAAAAAATCCAAAAAATTTGGAAAATAATAATTTAATTATTTCCCCATCAAAATCTTTTGGAATTCATCCTTCATGTTTTTTTACTTCGTTACCTTGCCCTTTACTTTTTGAAAAATTTCGAAGAAGTTCGTTTGTTAAACAAAGTGGAATTACAAAACATAAATTAACGAGAAGAGAATTAGTAAATAATTATTTAAAAGAAAAAGAAGAAAATAAAGAACAAAATTTTAAAAAATTTTTAAAAGAAAATCAAAAACGTTTTCGTCCAGTATTTTCGTTAGATTGTCCTTTTAGTGTTTTAAATTGCAGAACTTTTGTATTAAGAAGACAACAACAAAATAATATTTAATTGTGAATAAATTGTTAGAATAAAAATTTAATTTCTTTAATTTTATTACATATTTAGCTTACTTTCGAAAGGATCATATTCAAAAATATTCCCTTTAATTATCTTCCCCCGAGTCATTAGGAAAATCAACATTCTCAAATATAGATTTCTAAAATACTATCTATACCTTTTTTGGGGTTATAATGTAATGATAGAACCAATAAATTGTAAGATATTTAGACATTTCAGCTTCTTTAAAATTCTCAATGACTAATTGTCGAAATCATAATCTGTTCCAAAATTCTAAAGCCATTCGATTATTGTGAAATTTCAGAATAGAATCTCATTCATTCAAAATAGAATCTCACTCATTCATTATTTAATCTCATTCATTATTATCCAAAGGTAAATATTTATTTACACTTAATTATTAATTAATTTTAACTTTTTTCTTCCTTTCATTTCAAGTGCCAATAGGATATTATAGCAGAAAAAGACCTTCTAGGTCGGAGCCTTGAATTAAAAAGATATTTTGTTGATTAATTAAGCATATTTTGAAGATTCTCAAAAAGGTCGGGTTGCAACTTCCAAACTAAGTACAAATCCTAGCCCTGTTTTAATTCATTATTTAATTTTTAAATTTATTCTCATTTCTTAATTGATTCACAAACAACCAAAAAACCAAAAAAACATCCCGAACAGACTTTAATTGTTACAGTATTTAAATATTAAAATTTTAAAAGAATTATTTTTTTATTGCGCACTAAATACATATTAAATTGCTAAAAAACAATAAAATAATTATTAAATAGTGCATATATTGCATCTATTTATATCACTTTTTTGCGTCAGAATAATTATAAAAATATTTTTTGTTCCTTTTTAAATTAATTTTTGGTTTGTTAGGGTACAACCCTAAATATCGCAATTTGTCTTGCGAAGAGTTTCCAACTAGACTGGGGAAAGTTGGATGTGGGTGGTATGATCAGGAATGCTTTTACAATAAAGACTTGATAGGACATTCTTGTTTCTCATGGTAGACATTTTGTTTAACATTTTTTAAAATGAATGTGACGTTTTTTTAGAATTTTTAAAAAATAATAATTATTATTTATTTAATCAAAAATAATCAAAAATAATAAAATAAACTTCTTAAAATATATTTATGAAAAAAAAAGATTAAAATTACGAGAAAAGGAAATTAAAAATTCTTTTAAAAGATTTATATTTAAATAAGATTTAATTTAAATCTTTTTTTACGTTTTTTGTTTATTTCGTTGTTTACGTTCTCGAAATGCAATTAATTGACGTTTTGCACGTTCAAATTCCTCAAGTACTTTAGTTATTCTCCAATGTAATCCATTTCCCAAACTTTTTAAAAATTAAAAAAATTTTATTGTAATTTAAATAAAAATTATAAAATATTTGGAAAGAATAAATGATTAAAATAATTCTAAATTAATTTACCTAGCCTTATGTATCATTTTACTATACCGTCTTTGGAAAAATAAAAAAAATTATTTTTAAAAAAATTAAATGAATATAGACCGAAATAAATAGAGGGACATTAAGTCTTTAAAAATAATTTTAAATTAATTTACCTAGCTTTATGTACCATTTTACTATACCGCATTGAACTTAAAACTGAGCGAGAAATAAAATGATTGCTTTGATGTGAACAATTAATAATTAAATCTAAAAATCCAGTTTGTTTAATTTTTAGAGTTGAATTAATTTTTGGATGGAATAATTGAGGCTAAAAGTTTAAAAAATTAATTAATTTTAATTTTAGTAGATAGATATTCTAATATGTAGGTATATTATAGAGCCCGGACGGAGGGGTCGGAGGAAAAAATGGTTCCGAGCCGAGCATAAATTAATTAATAATTATTAATTTATGGGCATAATTACATGAATTTTATATATTTAGAATTTATGTTAAATAGTTGAGTTACCTATTTTTTAATGAAATCTAATTATTAAAATAAATAATCATTTAAAATAATTTTTACCCAATTTTCAGAAGCCCCAAAACAATTAATTTCCCCTAAATGACTACTATGTAATTCTTCAAATTTTGAATCAAAACTATCAAAAGGCTTCCAACATTTAATAGTAAAATAATTAATTCCTGGATTTGTAGGTAATTGAATATTTGAAAATCCTTTCAAAAAAATTTAAATAAAAAATATTTTAAAATAAAAACCATTTAAAAATAAACGATTCCAACAATCTTGAGAAGTTAAACGAAATAAAATATTTGGCCACAAAATATTATTTATTTTAATTAATTTATTTTTTGTTTTCCAATTAATACTAAATTGCAATAATTGACCGAAATGAAAAATATCTTCCTTTAAAAAATTTTTTTGAAAAATTATTTTATTTTTAAATTACATCTCCGTCAGTTTTAGATTGACAAAAATGACTTATTCCTTCAATCATTTCTGTTGGTCTCAATTCTGCATTTAATGGTAATTGAATAAGCCATTCAACTCGTAAATTAGAATTAGGGAAATCCCTAGCACGAGCTAATAATTAATTAAAATTATTTAAAATTTTAAATGAAAATATAAATTGACCAAAAAGAAAGTCAAGATAATATTTTTTGATTTTCATTATCTATTTCTAATTACAAAAAAATTGGCCGGTAAAATTTTGTTAATTTACTAATAACTCAATATTTAACCGAATAATGTTAACCGAATCCTCTTTGTTATGTTGAAATTAGAATAGCAACCCGACCCCAGAAACCAGAAACCCCGACCCCGACGGCTGACCCAAACCCCGAAGGCTCTACCCTGACAAACCCCGATCTCCGACATGCCTTCCCCGGCAAAAGCCGATCCCAGAAACACCCGCCCCCGAAGGGTCTGGTTGCTATCCTAGTTGAAATTAATTAATAAATAAATTAATAAATTAATTAACTTAATTGAATTATTTTAATTAATTTCCGAAATTTAAAAAATAAGTTAAAACCAATTTCAATAAAATAATGTAGCCAATATTCTTCGGCGCTTTCAGGTGTTTCAAAATATTCTTCCTCCTTCTCTTCTTCCTCCTCCTTTTCCTCTTCTACCCTTCCTTCTAATTCATCAAATTCTTTAATATTTTCTTCAACAAATATTTTTGCTACAAAATTTCCATTTCTTGTATTTATTATATTTTTTTGTTCAAAATCAGGTTCTATTTTTAACAAACGATTATTTAAAAGAGTTAATTCAAACAATAAATATTCGTCAATTAAATTATAACTTTAAAATTATTTTTTGTTAAATTAATATTTAAAAAATTAATTTAAAAAAACTTTTGTCCAGCTAATTGTCCTAAATATGCCATTATTTTCATTTTTTCTTTTTTGAATTTCAAAAAAGAATGTTTCTTTCCTTTTATTTTCTCCAAACGAATTGGCTTTTGATTTATTTGTTTTTCTCTTAAAAAATTTTTTTTAAATTTAAATATTAAATTAATTGTAATATTTTTTAAATTTAAATTTTATAAAAATATTTATTAAAAATTGGGTTATGTTTGTGTTAATTTTTCTGTTTAGGGATGGAGGAAGGGATGGGGAGAGGGAGGGAGGAGGCGGGGGGGTTATTATTAAATTAACAAATAAAGTAATTTTTTTCAAAGTTTTTTAGAAAAATAAAATATATACCTTTTAATTTTTTCTTGTTTTTCAACAACATTAAACGAGAATTTATCACTAATATCATCCTCAATTATTGTAAATATTCTATGTGATGGTTCACTTCAAAAATAAAAATTTTTACAATTAAAAAATTTTTTTTTTGAATTTTTTTTACAATATTTTTTTTATTGTAAAAAAATATTATATATTAATATTGAAATTATTGAATAAAAAAATATTGAAATATTTTTTTACATTTTTGATTGTTTATTGGGTATCACGACTTTTGCGCCGAGAACATTTGCGCCGCGACTTATGCGCCGCGACTTTTGCGCCGGGCGACTTTTGCGCCGCGACTCTTGCGCCGCGACTTTTGCGCCGGGCGACTTATGCGCCGCGACATTTGCGCCGCCATTGTTTAGAAAATCTGGATCCGAAAAATGCCGGATATCCGAAATTTTCAGTTCGGATATCAGATCCGAAGATTTCTAACTATTCGACAACCCTACTAAAGTGAGGTCCGGCCGTAGTTATTGATATATTTTTAATGATAGTGGCGGCGCAAAAGTCGCCCGGCGCAAAAGTCACGGAACCGTTTATTGGGATCTTCTTCTAATTTATCCTCTTCCTTCTCATTTTTATCACTCTCATTAGTTTCATTAACTTTAGTTTCTTCAATTATGTTAATTATTGCTCCCTCAACTGTTTCAATCTGAGTAAAAAAAATTTTTTAATTTTAAATATAAATATATTAATTTATTTTGAATTTTAAGAAAATTAATGGTTTAGAGCTTCCTTTTGTTACTTTCCGATAAAAAATTCCGTCTTTATAGGGCAAATAAAAAATTAAGGTTTCTATTTGATAGCTTAGTTGATAATCCTTGATAATAATAACAGCATTCTATTACCAGAGTAAATAGCTATTTCTCTCCTTTAGCTAGTGCAAAAGGTTAATCGGCGGCTAGGAGCGAACCAGCATCTTCCTTAGACCGGACTGATGTGTTATCCATTACACAACGCCGCCTACTGTACAGCTTTAGGAATTAAATAGCTATATGCTTTACACCAGAAAGAATACTCAATTATGTGAGTAATTACACAGCATTAGGGATTTTGCTTCTTCTCCCCCTTCTTTTATCTTAAACCTAACTTAAAATTGTTTTGTAACATCCCTGATATAATTTATAAAATTATAGTAAACTCCGAAGATATAAAAATTATTTAGATTAATTTTTAAACTCATAAAATAATTTATCAATCAAAAAACCTTTGTAGGTTTAGGTATAACTTCTAACCATTTAATTATTCTTTTTTCCATTAATTTTCCTTTTCTTTTACAATTTCCATCTTTCTCCAATAAATTTTCTTTTTGTTTATTTTCTTTAAAAAAATAATAAATTAATTTGTAAATAAAAAAACAAAACTAAGAAATTCATCAAAATCTAATGCAGATGTTGAAGAAGAATGTCCAATAAAATATAATTCAACACTTTTTTTAAATTTTATTTTTATTTAATAAAAAACTTTTTTCTTACCAAAAATTTATTTGTTTTAAATCTCCATAAATATTATAAAATTTGGACATAATTTTTTTGATTTTAAATATAAAAAAAATTCTAATAAAATTAAATATTTAGATAAAAATTTTATTTATAAATTTGGTTGTCATGGAAACATTAAATAGACTACAAAACATGAAAATAGAAGAAAAGTGACCGTTTTTAATTTTGTGATGTTTGCCTACCTATGTATATTAACGAATAAATACTTTTTAAACTCGAGATTAAGAGAGAACAATAACTTTGAATTTTCCAACAATTCTTGTTGAAATTAAATTTTAAAATGTTTGGAAAATATTATCACTAATATAATAGAACATTTTTCCGGAAAGTTAAAATAGGCAATTTTAGGCAACGATAAAAATAGTCTGAAAGCATATTTTATAAAAATATCGCCTGATTTGGACGTTTTAGCATCAGGCCTATTTAGGAAAAAACAGGCATTTTGCCTTAAATCCTAGCCCTAATTATCAGTCAACTCTGAATATGAACACATTTTATACATTTATAACCACAATTATACAATAAAATATCAAGAGAATAATCACAACAAAACTAATTAGGCAAATAACAAATATATATTCCTTAACAAAATCACAACTAATTATCTATTTTAGCACGCCATGCTAAATCATCAATACCTTTGGTTACATCGTGGCAGCTTGATTTGAACGAGGAAACATCCTTAAAAAATAATTTTTAATTTAAATCCAAAATTCTCATTACTTTCTCAGAAGTATGCCCTCCAGTACAGCAGACAATAATCCCTTTCCCATCATCATTTACATAAAATATGCCATTCAAGAACTCGACGAAGCATCTGTTTTGTGTGCTTGGAAGAAAGCGTCCTGCCCAAGTATCCCGAAGTTTGTCTTTACGAGTGATTGGGTCCATTCCTTGGTTAAACGATATCTGCCCTTCTCCCTCATATTCTGGCTGGCAATGTTGAGACTTGCCAGCATCCCTTCTCTTCCCAATATAGCAGGCTCGAACTGCTCTCAATGCTTGATTGATCCGCCCTTTTCCTTTGGTTCGCTCTAGAAGATGAGGAATGTCGTAAATACATCCAGTCTGAAATTAAAAGAGGATTTCCTTCTAATTACTTTAAATTACCAGGTAAAGCAACACCCCTCTTCTTTTATTCCCAATCAGAAATGAAGGAAAATCCCAACCAAGATTCTTCTGTTCATAGATGAAGAAGCATCCTAAAAAAAGTTATACTCGTTAAAATTTAAATTATTCCTCACCAGGCTCTGTACAATTCTTTTTATTGTTCCCATCTCCTTTCTCTCCAATATTGTCGTAAAGTCTTGCGGTGATAGGGCATTCACTAATATTTTTGGTATTGGCTCCATCCACTTTGTTTGTTGTGCTATGGCTTTCTAAAGGCACTGGATCTGTCCCATTTGTTGGAGGAGGAGAGGGCGGCGGATTGTTGACCGTGGATGTAGGTTTCGTAATGTTTGTCGCTGTTGATGTTGTCGTTGCTGTGTCGTTTTGGGCTGTATTGACTCCGAGAATCGCCACCATTGAGATAAACGCAAGGATCACTTTCATATTTTTTGAAGAAAATTGAAATGTAGAGAAGATTTGAATAATGTTGAAGAGGATTATATGTTTAAGTGATCTGTTTGCTTTTATACTCATAGAGTTCAGCGGTATCGGGATTTTGTCATAAAGTCGGGATCGGGATTTGGAATACTGATCCCGATACCGGTTTCGGATATCGGTCGGATACTGATCCTGATACCGGTCGGGATTGGGATTGGAAAACCAGGATCGGGATTTGGAATAATGACCCTGATACCGGTCCCGACTACGGGATCGGGATTGGAAATCGGGAGCGGGATTTACTAAAAAAATTTTTAAATTTTAAAGTTTATAAATAAATAATTTTCATTTTAAAAATGATTTAAATTTTATTAAAATGATAAATGACTATTTTTAATTATTTTTTTATTAAGAAAATTTTATTTCAATTTCTGTTATTAATGACAAGTAGGGTTGCCAGCTCGCTCGAACCGAAAACCGAATGATCAAGCGAGCCGAGGCTTTTCAACTCGAAAGGCTCGAAAACGAACCGACTCGGAAAAACCCAAGCTTGAAAAAATGCACCGAACGTCGGCTCGTACCGAAAACGGCAACCCTAATGACAAGGTTTATTTCTACAGTTTTAATTTCAAAAAATAATTTTCATCCAAACATTTTTAACGTTACAATGAATATTTTTTTAATTAAAATTTCTCTCAAAATTTACACAATTTTCAATAATTTTCCTTATTTTTATTGTTTGTTTTAACAACAACAGCAACTACATAGTAATTGTAACTATAAACATCTGTATATATATTTTTAAATTCATTTTATTTAATATTTTTATTTTTTTCTTCCTTCCTTTTCTCGCATTTACTAAAAATGTTTGTCTCATCATTTTGGTGGTCGGCGGCGGTTAGTATTTGACATTGGACACATTTTAAGGGAAAAAAATTTTTGGGGGTGCTAATCCCTTCTCAAAGATGGAAGCAATTCCAAAATCTAATAAATATTTAAAATAAATTCTTTTTTTGTGAACTTGCAAAGATTTGTTTTTTTTCTTTTTTGCTTTTTTAAAGTATACTATTTTCGGATTAAAAAAATTAATTCCAAATCTAAAAAAAAATTTTTAAGGGGGGGGGGGGTTAATAATACTTTTAAATAATCTTAAATATAGATTAACAGTTCTCTTTGTTTTCTTCAGATTATCTTTTTTAAATTAACTTTTAATAAAAATAAATATAATTTGGGCTGGTCCCCCCCAAGGCTGGTCCCCCCCCTTTTTTTCCCTTTCCAATTTTTTCGATTTTTAAAACTTTTTATGGCAAATTATATATCGTTCGAAAGAGCTCTTCAAGCTGAGTCGAACGGTACTAAATTCATCGAAATCCGACTTAAATAAACATAGTTATGAGCATTTGTTTTAATCCCTTTAAACATCACAAAAAGCATGTCCATCGAGGATTTAGCTTCATAATTCTGCTCAGAATCTCCAAATCGAACCGATCATAGTATCATTCTACTTAGCTCGAACAGCTCTTTCGAATGATATATTGTAAATTATATGTCAAGCAAAAAAGCTCAAAATGGTCAGGGGACAGAAAAAAGGGGGGGGGACCAGCCTTGGAATTACCGTAAAAATTTGGAATTTATTTAAAAACAATTAATTATACCTAAAAATATTTAAATATTGAAATATATGTAATTACAAGGTTAAAAACAACATTTGGCCTCTTTTACAGATTTAAAAACATTTCTTCTTTCTACTTATCCAAAATATCTCTTCTCTTTCCTCATTTAACTGGCATAATAATCCATTATTATTTATTATTTATTAACTCTCTCGATCACTTCTTTCATTTAAAGGCCAACTGGTTCTCTCTTTCAAATATTTGGCAATTGCTTTTTAATATTTTTTATAATTTATAGAAGGGGGGATATTTGATATTTTTAAAAGATTTATTTCTTCCAATAAACAAACTAATACTTCATCACCCTTTTACTTAAAACCGATTTTTCATTAATCCATAATCAATTAAAAAATATTTGATAGATCTACTTTAATGAGGGAAAGGAATTTATTTTTTTAAAAAGTTAGTTAATCAAATGAAAAAAAATGTTTTTATTTTTTGTATGTATAATTGAAAGGATTTTATTAAATTTAAAGGGAAATCTTTTAATAAAAATATACCTCCTATCTAAAAAATATTAATTTTATTTTTAAATAAAATATTTTCAGAGTAATTTATTTATTGAAAAAACTCTCAATTTCAACAATTTCATTATTTAATTAAAATAAAGATATTTAAAATACCAATTAGGGTTCTGTTTTCGAGTCGGACTGACGTTCGAGTAATTTCTTTCGGGCCGGCCCGACCGAGTCTTTTTCGGGCCTCATCTTCATCTAGTCGAGCATCGAGTCCTTTTCGGGCCAAAATTCGAAGCCCGACTCGATCTTTCGGACCGGGCCGGCAACCCTAATAGTAATACATATTAAAATCTAATCAACTTAATTATTGTCGAATCCTTAATATTCTTCATTACCAAAACTATACCTGATGTTCTTTTATACCAAAACCATATCATAATTTAACTAATTTAATGTTTAAAAAAATATTATTTAAATTTAGTTTATGCCATCCATTTACAATAACAATTTAAATATTCGACGAATTTTTATATTTTTACAATTGAGATTATTTCAATTATTATTTATTGTGAATATAAGTTTATTTATATTACAAACACCTTTAATATTAACCTCAATTAACGAAAAAATAAAGAATAAAAATCAACAATTAATTAACAACAAAGAAAATAATATTTTTATTAATTCTACAAAATTTAAAAATAAAAATAAATTTAGTAGAAGTGTTAGATTATTAGATAAAAATGAAAGGGAAAATAAAAAATATCCTTTAATTGTTGGACCTGGTGAAAAATTAAATGTACCAACTAAAGGAGGAACAGTTCCCATTGAATGGTTTAATCTTCGGATTGTTGATCCACAAAGATTTGGTAGAAGATTGGGAGATTTACGTTTTGAGGTTAATTATTAGTAATTTATGTAATTTGTATACAAATTAGGATTTGATGGAAAGTTATTTTGAAATTTATTAGGATAATTTTTTGATTTCAAAGAATATTACTATTTCTGAAAGCTAAGGCTAAGTGTGGTATAATGGACGTCAGTCCGGTCTACTGAAGATGTTGGCTCGCTCCCAGCCGCCGAATAACTTTTTGCACTAGTTGAAGGAGAGAAAAAGCTATAGCTATATATACTTTTCTAAGCATAGATAACCTTGAGATAATTTTTGTGTGTTTTGGTATTAGAGATATTATAGAGAGAAAAGTACTGTTAATGGGAAAGAATTTTTTCTCTTGGATATCCTTTCCCCTAATCACAAAAACTAATAAAGGATTTATTTAGGTATTAAAGAATCCGAAACATGGTAAATTACAATTTTTGGACAATACAAATATAGATGTTAGTAGTAACAGCAATAGTCGAGAAAATTCTTTATCTTCCTTCTTTTACGCTGATATTTTGAATAAAAAAGTTTTATATAAGCATTTTGGCGATTCTACAAAAAATGATAAATTCAAGCTTGGAGTTTGTTTTTAAACAAAAAAATTCAAAAAATTGTTTTCATTAAAAGGTTGATACTCGAAGATTTTCTCGTCGTGCAGGTGGTGGGGGGAGGTTGTCTAAAACAGAAAATGGAAATTGGGTTACTCCAAATTCTGAACAATTTGATTTGGAAGTAAATGTTGAACAGCAAAATGAAAATATTAATGGGGGGAGAGAAACTCCAAAAATTTTAATTGAACCAATTGGGGAGGCTATTCATTTAAAAATTGGGAAAAGGTAATTTTTAGTCATTGAAGAGGGAATAAGGGATATTAAAAAGAATTTGGATAAGTGTCTGCCACTTAAGTAAATTCTCTCAAAAAAATTCCAAAAATTTTCAGACTTCAACTTGGCCCTCAACATTTACGCATTTATGACCCAGATACACCAAATGACCGTGTTTGGGTGAATGTTGAAGAAATAAGTAGTAACTCGCTTGATTTAATTGACAAATTAGATGCTCGTTTAAGACGGTTTTCACTTGCTGGATTTCTCAAAGGAAATGTTCATTTAATTGCTTTAGAAAATTATGAAGAAGAAAATGAAGATGATAAAAATGAAAAAATGAAAAATGAAGGATTTATAACATTTTTAAGTTTTTTTGAATTAAATTTAGAAAAAATTAGTTTTTTGGAGTGAATATAATTTTTAAAATTAAAATTATTTTAGGTAGCTAGAGATGATTTTGGTGTATCAGAACCGGCAACAATTCATGTTTTGTTTGTTCCTTTAAAAGTTGTATTTGATCAAAATACAGGCATTCGCATGATACACCATTCAAGGTGAATTATAATTATTTAATTTAAAATGACTTATCCATGAAGTAAAACCTTAGTTCAGAAATAAGTAGTAACTCGCTTGATTTAATTGACAAATTAGGTGCCCGTTTAAGCTTGATTTAATTAAAAAAACGAATCTTAAGAGGATTGGTACCAAATCCTCATCCCAAAAATTTATCAATTTTCAAACAAAAATTTATTGAACGCAAAATAGAACTTAATATAAATAAAAAGCTAAATTCAATTTTTAAATATTATGTAAAAGCTAAAAATAAATAAAATCATTTTTAAGAAATATTACGACAAATTTAGTTTGAGAAAAATATTTTTAAGTATCAACTAGAACCCGACGATACCATATTACCGACTATCTTTTTCGATATCGATATTTCATACCGTAATACTGGTCAAAATATGGTAAGGAAAAAAAATTCTTTCCGTACCGATCAGAGATGCTCGGAAATAAAATTTCGCCCTCAATGAAACGAAACGAAAAAAAATCAAAATTATGAATCTGTATGAATCCGCTTCCGCGTTTTGTCTTTCGTTTTTAAAGCGCTGCAGGTCCATCCATGATTTTCCATCTTCCTGCCCCCTCCTGTCTATTAAACAATTTCCAGAAATTAATTTATTTATTTATTTATAGCCATTCAATAGAACCAACACAACTTCATTCTCATTGCACTTCAGACTTTTCACTTTCCTGGATTCCTAGTGCTCGTTATTCTATAGTTGATCAACCCAATTTTGGTGTTGTTGAATGTTTAAGAGAAGATATAGAGAATAAACAAATAAATAAAAATAAAAAATGGATAGTTTGTTCAACTTTTACTCAAAACGAAATTAATTTACTTAAAGTTCGTTATAGACATACAAAAAATTCAAATATTCCTTTACCCCCAAGAACTGACGATTTTGATTTTCAAGTATCAAATATTTAATTTTAAATATTTATAAATTAATTTAAAGGTTTATTGTTCAGATACAGCTTCCCTAGTTCAAGTTTTACAAATTGGTTAGGGGTTCTTTTAAAAATTAAAAAAATATATCTTTTTAAAGATTTTATTACACTTAGTATTCGTGTTTTTGTTCAAGAACAATTAACATTAAACCAAACAGATCAAGCACAAATTGGAAGGAGGAATATGTTGGCAACTGTTTTTCCTCAACAATTTAGTTCTGACCAATTATATTTTCATATTCTTGAAGCCCCTAAATTGGGAATGCTTTTAAGATTAGTACAAGAAACAGGACGTCATAGACGTGTTGGTGTTTCTTCAAATATTACTCAACAAGTAATTTAAAAGAATTATAGAATAACACTCCTATTTTCTAGCAAATTGATGAAGGACTTTTCTTTTATAAATTACACTTTGCTCCATTCTCTGTACTTAATGACTTTTTTACTTTTCGGCTTCTAACACCTGCTGGGGCTTCAGAAGAAATTTTTAGATTTGATATTGTTTATTTACCTGGAGGTGGTATTGGCGATATTAGATTAATAAACAATACTTTAATTGTTGAAGAAGGTGGAATACAAGGGGTATGTAAATTTAGAAGGATCTTTCTATGAGATAAGGCCAATACTAGATACTTCTCAATTTTATGATATGACTTAAAATTTGGAAGGCCAATGGGCCAGGGAGTAAACGATACCCTTTATTTAAGATACACCTTATAAACAATCGGCCATAAATAAGGGTTATCTTTAGAGTTCGACTACGGGCCGGACCCGGATGTAAAAAAAACGGCTTTTAAGCGTTTTACCCCGGAAAACCCGGCCCGGTTCGGAAGAGAAAAACCCGGATACCGGGCCGAGCAAATTGAAAATGTCTAACTCTAGTTATCTTATAACAAGATTTGACTTTATATAAATATAAGAAAAATATTTCTAAAAATAAAAATAGATAACAAATGGCACTCTTTGGTTAGAAGCAGCAGATGGTAGTAGAAGATTTACTTTTCGTGTTATTCTCCCTCCAATGAATGGAATTTTGTTTTTATTAGATAAAAATGGAGATAAAGAGAAGAAAATTTTGGATTTTGATGAGAGTTTTCATTCTGATGATATTTTGGAAAATAAATTATTTTATGAACATTTTGGTGATAAATCTAGTTGGGATAGATTGTTTCTTTTGGCAGAAAGTGAAATGCGTGATCCTGGTGGAGGCAAAGGACATACACCTGTGCCTTTCTTTTTATCTATAGCAATTGTTGGGAAAAATACTAGACAACCTCAATTATTACAAAAAATGTATGGTGGAAATAATTTAGAAATTAAGGTAAATATTTTAAAATTTCCAAAAATAATGAAAAACAATTTCATAGACAGCTTATTTATGAGGATTGGTACCAAATCCTCGTCCCAAAAATTAAAAGCTTATAGACTAATTTCACTTAAACAATTAAAAAAGAATTTAATATAAATAAAATTTTAATTCAATTTTTAAATATTATGTAAAAGCGAAAAATAAATAAAATCATTTTTACAAAATTTTTACGATAAATTTAGTTTCTAAAAATATTTTTAAGAAACAATACAGTATTAAAGTATTTCTAGGATATTTTTAAACAAAAAACATCATTTTGCGGCTAAAAATATATCCGATATGCATTAAATATCATTCGGTTATAATAATTATATATAGAAATCTTTATAAGCTTTCTTTATGGTCTTTACCTAAATTGATCTTTAGAATATTGTTTTAATATTAAAATAATTTTTTCCAGAATTTATTTTTATTGGAAAATAGTGAAAGAACTTTATTGCCATCAATTGTTCAGTTAATTGATTTAGATAATTCAGTTGAATGGCCTTCAAGTTTAGAAAATTACAAACAATTCCCAATTGCCCATTCAACAACTTCTTTAAATTTTAATGTTGTCCCCGAACCCTCAAATTCAAGAGATTTTGTTATTTGTGCTAAAGGAGCACCAGAAATGCCTTTACGGGAATTTGATGAAAATATGTTGAAGGGAGGGCATTTAATTGTTAGACACGTTGGAAGTGCTATTAATGGGACGATACTTAGGTAATAAAATTTACTTTTTTCAAAGATACTTGTTAGTATCAGGATTAAGAAATTATTGTTGCCCTGGCATTCTATTTCTGAACCACCTTCCAAAGGGGCCTATTAGAGAGGGCATTCTAATGGAGGGGGCATTATATTTTTCAATTGGCCTCTAGAGGGGCATTCTATTATAGAATGCATTTAAATGGAGCGGGGCATTCAATCAGAGGTAATACGGTGATCGAAGGATTATATTAACCTTTCAAAGAAAACTCTTGAAATCTTATCTAGAAGAAATTAGTTTTTTTAATTAAATATCTACCAAATAATTCACCATCATTAATTTTAAAAATTAAAGATTAACGGCCACAGATGGTTTACACACCAAAACTTTACCAATTTCAATATTTGCAGTTCCAAACCCTTTTTTAAGACTTTCTACTCCAAACAAAATTTATTTTAATACAAATTTTAATGAAAGAAAAGAATCTTCTTTATTTTTACTTGTTTCTATTTTGCATTTATTTGCAGAAACAAATTTGGATATTTTTGATTATCAAATTATATTTCAAGTAAATTTTTAATATTTTAAATTTGAAAATATACATATATATAAATTTTTTAAGGTACAAACAATTTTGCCAAATCTATCCCCTTTTCGTTTGCTTCTTGAAAATGGAACTTTTGTTAAAACACTTGAATTTACTCAAAAAGTAATTCTATTATTTTTAAGAAATTTAATTTATAAACCATTTTTGAGTGAATTTATTATTCTTCCTTCCTCATAAATTATCCTCTCAAATCTCTCCAATTTTAATTAACAGGGGAATTATTTAATGGGATATGTATATGCCTAGAGCTTTTGTTGATAATAATGAGAACCTAATTTTTTCAAATTTGATTTAAAGAATTATTATTACCGTATATCCTTTAATAACTACCTTGTGTAATTATTGTTTCGACCTTCTGCTGGAAATAATTAAATGAGGGAGGGTAATTATACTAGGTTTGAAATTTGAACGTTTTAGGGTATCTTCGGGGGTAATTATTGTTTCAATATATCGCTGGAGGGGGTAATTAATAAAAGTGGGGTAATTATTTGAGGGAGGGCAATTAATACAGGTTATACGGTATTTATTTAACAATTACCTAATCTACTCTTTAATTTCTGCAGGATATCCTTCAAAATCGTTTATTTTTTGTTTTAAATAAAAACACATTTAAGCAACAAAATTATTCACAAATTATATTCTTAAAACTTTTTACAACACAAAATGAATATAAAAATAAATTAAATGAAGAAATTATTTTAGAAATTATTTTAAATAATTTTTCTAATTTTTCTTTAACAATTCCTTTAAAAATTAAAGAAAAAGGAATTTATGTACAGAAAGGGGCAAGTTCTCCAGTTGATGAACAAATTATAAATATTTTGACAAAAAATAATGATGATCTTTATATTAAATATTTTATTGTAAAGCCGCCAAATTATGGCGATATTATTTTTCAAAGGAAACGAAATCAAATGAATGGTTTGTTTTTTGGAAAATTTTTAAATTCTAAATAAAATATATTATTACTCTGATAATTGCCTTGTTTAATGATTGTTTAAGCTAGGAAGCACACCGATGTCGGTGGTGCCGAGCTTCGGCCGGGAGGGCATGTCGAAGTTCGGGATCGGGGTTGACTTATGTGTCGTGTGCAGTGTTTCCCTAAAACTTTTTAAATTAAAAGTTTGGCACCTCAGGCGAAGATTTTGCGAATTTGGGGAGATTAATAAAAAATCGTGCTTTTTCAGAGCCGCTGGCGAAAATATTCAGAAATCTATGGCTCAATTGAAAATTGTGCCAGTGTTTTTACCTTTTGCTAATATTTAAAAATAAAATCAAAAGTTTAAAATCTAAATTAGAAAGCTTAAACTTCTATCGCACGGTCTTGTTCGCTGATTTTAGTATTCATATCCGAATATATCCGGATGTACTCGTAAACTGAGGTTCATAATATGAGGATTGCTAGCAAATCCTCGTCCCAAAAATTATTTAGTTAAAATTTCTTTATGCATTGAACACTCAAAATAGAATTTGATATAAATAAAAGTTAAATTCAATTTTTAAATATTATGTAAAAACGAAAAATAAATATAATCATTTTTACAAAGTTTTTACAAATTTATGTAGTTACAAAAAATATTTTCGGTTAGAGCCGGAACGGTGCCGTACTACTGACGGTATTTTCAATATATATCGGTAGTCCGTACCGTAGTACGGTACGGTAGGAAAAATAGATTAGGCTAAAATTTTTTTAATTTTTATACATGGATACTTATGTCAATTGCCACTTAATATAGTTTCATTAATTTTGAGATTTATTAGGCTCCATTATTCTCCATAGAATATTTAATATTTTAACAAAATTAGTAAAAATGAAGTAAACTTTATAAAAAAGTAAAATCAAATAAACTCTCTAAATTAAAATTAATTCACATTTTTTTTCAATAGATTTATTAAAAACAACATCATCATCATCATCAGTATCTCCCCAATCAATTTCTATAATTAATAATTTGCCACTTTTAAGTTTTGATCAAAAAATATTAAAAACAAATTCATTACTTTATTTAAATAAACAAAAAGAAAAAGATAATATTTTAATTAAAATAATTATTCAATCAAAACAAAACAAACAAATTTTTATTGAAATTGGCCCTATAAATATACCAATTAATTTAATTAATTATATTGAAGAAAAGAAGGAAATTGAAGAGAATATGGATTTTAATAATGAATATTTGGGTAGATTTTTTTAGAGAAAAAATATTTTTAATAAATATTTTTTAAAGGCAAACAATTAATTTTAAAGAGAAATAAACCAATAATTCTTGATAATACATTTAACGAAACTTTTGTTTATTTAACAACAGAATATCTTCAAATAGAGGTGAATTAAAGAGATTTTTATTTTTTTAAAGATTTTTTAAAAATATTTTTATACATTTAAATGCAAGACAAATGCATTTCTACAAAATATATATTATTTTATTTTTAAAAAATACCTTAGAAAAATTATACTTATAGAGATCAAGACTCAAGTGTACTCAATCGACATATACCTAAAGTCTACTGTATTAGCATGAGTAGAGTAACTTACTCTGTGCTCTCTAACTTAGTCTTTTCTTTTTAAAAATTAAATTCTAAATTAAACTTTTAAAGTATATGAATATAATTAGAGTAATCCTTTAAAATGAAAAAAACCAAATTGTGGATATTATTTAATTGTTGAGGAATTTTGTGTACAAAATCACAATTTTTTGTGTATAAAGTCACAGTTAAATATAATTAAAATTAATTTTTAATATTCTTTTAATTTCAAATAAAATTCCTAATTTTAATCTGTTTAAAGAGTTCAAATCTTCCAACAAACAAAATCCAATTCCTTGTATGGCATCCAAAAGGGGGTATTATTCAATATTTAAATAACAATGAAGTAATTAATGATGCTAAAACAATTATTAATTTTACTCAAGAAGATATAAATAAAGGAAGGATTATTTTTAACTTCAACAATATTTTACAACAGAATTCTGATAAAGAAAAAGTAAAGAATTTAATAAATAAAATAATTTTTAATAAACTCATAAAACACGAAAAAGTATTAAAATTAACAAATAAATTATTTTTCCATTCATATCTATTTATATACTTAACATCCATTCCTCTGGGAGTAGGCCAATCTACCACAGAGCTATATTTAGAATTAAAAATGTCTTACAAGAGAACCTCCTCCCAAAATTTAAGTCAAATCTTTGAGCTGTGTATTGGTATCAATGGATCAACCATTTACTATAGAAAATTTTTGGCTTCTGGCCAAAATTAAGAGAAATTAAGACCATCTGTTCGGTCATAAATTTATTAAATTAAACTTAATTAAGGAAGAAATAGCCGGCTTTTATTTTCTCTATTCTGATGGAATTATTCAAAATAATGTAGAATGGTTTTCAATTCAACAAAAAACAAAAAATATCGAAGAAAATAATAAATTTGAAAATAAAATCCCAACAAAATTAGAAAATTTTGAATTAGAAAGAAATTTAATTTTAAAGACAACACCCGGTTTTCCTGCAATTATTGGACAAGAAATACTTAAAGTGGCAGGGAATATTGTAAATAAATAAATTATTTATTTAAATTTTTTAAAATTACTTTTAAAGGATTCTAATCAAGTAATCTATCGTTTGACTACCCCTCCGAATCATGGTCGTTTGGTAATTTTTTTAAAAATATTTTGACCATATTTGAAAGGGATGGGTTTTAAAATACCGTATTTTCTCGATTAATTCCCATGGAAATTATTTTTTCAACCCTTCCATGGCATGGGTCCCATGCCTTGGAAGGGTTGAAAAAATAATTCCCCATGGGAAATTAATTGAGGGTGGGGAATTATTTGAGTTTTGGCATTTGAACGTGTAGGGTGGGGGATTATTGTTTCAACTCATCCGTAGCAGGGGGAATTATTTGAGAGAGGGGAATTATTCGAGGGAGGGGAATTAATCGAAAAAATACGGTAGATCAAAAATCCCATGGATATATGATAACTAAATTAGTGTTTTAAATAGTCTAATGTTAAGTTTCAAAAATAGCTAGCTCCTTTTTAACCAAAAAATAATTTTTAAATGCATTTTTATTTTAAATAAAAACAAATTTCCAAGTTTTTGAGAGGTGCAAAAGAAAAATTGGAACATTTTACTCAAGCAGATATAAATTCAAATAAATTAATTTATCAATCAACACCGTCAATCGGTTCTTGGAAATTAATGGATGAATTTGGATTTAAAATATATTCGTCAATAAATACATTTAATAGCGAAAATGATTCTAAAGAATTTAAATTAATTATTGAAAATGCTTATTCAAATATTGAAAAGAAGGATATTAATAAATTAATTGAATATAAAAATATTTCTGTAACAAAAGGTGAGAGATTACTCGATTAATTAGCAGCTTTGATAAGAACTCGAAGACTCTCCAAGCTTTTCTAGAAATTTTAAAATGATCGTTAAATAATTATTCTAAAAACTATCTCTAATCTAAATCCCTCCTAATATTCACAAAAATAAAAATAATTTTTAGGTGGCTCTGTTTCCATCAACAAATCTAATCTAAATTTAACTAAATTGGCTGAATATACAGAAGATTCCATTTTAATTCAATTACAAAAACCCCCTCAAAATGGTTGGCTTCAACGTTTAGATAATGACAATTTAGAGAATTTGGAAAGTGAAGAAGGAATGAATGGGGATGGAAAAAATAATAAATATAAAGTAAAGCTAATTAATAAATTTAAATGTAATTTAAATTTAAGTGGAATAAAGCATTGGATATTGAACAAATTCATTCTGGCTCTTATTTATTATATAAACATTTAAATGGAAATAAATCAAATGAAAATAAAGAAGATAATTTTACTTTAATAATTTATGGAAATATAGGGAATAATGAAAATGAAATAAAAATAGAAATGTTTGTTAATATAATAGAAGCATCAGAATTATTAAAAGTATTTTTCTTAAATTATTTGAATTCTTAAAAAATAATCATAGGGTGGAGGGGGGTTGTCTCTGTTTCCCTTAACAGTGCCACCTAATGTTGTCGGAAAAGACCGAAAAAACCCCGTATATCCGAAAATTTTCGGTTTGGGTACCGGTTCCGGATAGCCGGAGATTTCCCAGGAACTGCCATCCTTAGTGCCACACAACATGGTGGCTGGATGAAGAATAAGCACGTATTTAATATAATTAAAATTTAAAGATTCACCATTTCCCACAAGAATTGTCTATAGTTTCTGGAGGATCTACTCAACTAAATTCTAATTTAATTTCTACCTCTCATTCAACACTTGATGATTCCTCTATTTATTTTAATATTATTCAACCCCCTCAAAATGGAATTAGAATTATTTTAAAGGAGGATTCCCCATCTATATCTCCTTTTTCTTCCCTTGCTAATTTCACTCAAAAACAAATAAATGAAGGATCTATTTGGTTAGAACACACTCCAATAAATGAAAAACAATCTTGGGATGTTATTGGTTTAAATTTAAGAATTATTGGAGAGGGCGGAAAGATTTTAGATTCAGGCAATTATTTTTTCAAAGAATTTTTGATTAAAATTCCAAAAAATAATTTTAATGAAATTAACACTTTTTAGGCCATTCTCTTGTATTAATTATCAGAATTGAGCCTTTAGCTCTTCAATTACGCAATTTCACTGATATTACTTATATTCAAGGAAAAAATTATGTTATTTTAAATAGGTACTGTTTAATTGAGTTTTTTACTTCAAAAAAATATTTTTTAAAGATCCCATTTGGGTGCAGAATCGAATGGAGATAGATCTCGAATTTATTATAATATTACTAAACCCCCAGAAAATGGGACTTTTTATTGGGTAAATGGAGAAAAGGAATTAAATGGATTCACACAATTAAATATTGACAATAATGAAGTTTTGTATTCACAAATGAATATGAATTCATATCAAGTATAGAAACTAAAAAAATTGTTTAAAACTAATATTTTAAAGGATTCTTTTGAATTTATATTAAGTAATGACGAATTAGAATTACTTCCTAAAAAAGCAAATATTAAAGTTTTGCCTATATTTAAACCTCCAACATTTGTTATAAATTCGAGAACAATTTTACAACTTGGACTTTCACATCTTAATGCTAGTGAACTTGAAGTAGAAGATAAAATATTAAAAAAATAATTTCTTTAAAATTTAATAGGGCTCCTCGCCTCGTTATTTAATTTTACCTGATGGGGTACCTAGAGATGGAAGGTTTTTTGTTCATCCACACTCTAATGAATCTACTTTATTTTTTACACACGATGATATAGTTAACGGAAGATTATATTTTCATGCCTTTGATGTTAAATATAGAACTGTTAATAATGTTGTTGTTGAACTTAGATCGGTCGGTTTTTATTTAGAGACGAGGAATAAACCTAAATCGAACATGTAAAGTAAAGTAAATAAGTTCAGAATTAGCTTAATTTTAAAAATAAATTTTGAATTTCCTATGAAAATTTTTCTGAATAATTTTAATTAATTTAAAGGACAGAGTCCAGCCAGCATTAATTCACTGGCCAATAATTATACGTCCATCAGATAATATAGATACAGTAAACGAAATCCAATCTGGGATAGTTGAGGAAGAAAGGGAACATCAATATAAATCCCAACCAAAACAACAAAATCAGAAAACTTTCCTAGACAATCAAATAATTCCCCCTCCCCCGCCTGACATGAATTACCATTTTCCTGTTTGTTTTTCTTCTTTTTTAAATAAATCCAAATTTTCATTTAAAGATAGCAATTCTTATTGCTGTAGTTCTTCTAGTTGTTGGTATTTTATTATGTAGAAAGAAAACCCCTCCAGAAGATATAGCTAGTAGCGAAGAAGGGGATGATACTACTCGTTATCAACAACAAAAGTCAAATGGAACTGATAGTTTTAGGGAAAGAAATGGAAGTTCTAAACATAAAAAATCTGCTCCAGAAAATGGAATTAATCAAAAGTTGGAGAATTTTTAATTAAAAAATTAGTATTATTTTTTTCTAGCCTGGATTCATCTAAAAATCAACAAAAATTAAGTGTTCCGTCTTCTTGTTTAGTTACAGAAAATGAAATAAGGCCAAAAAATATTTTAGAATCAACTGTTTATGCTGCTATAAATAATAAACAACACAAGGATTCTATTGTTAGGTAAAAATTATTTTGATTTTTATTGGAGAGGATTGGGTGATTATTAGAACAAATATATTTTTTGGTAGAAACGATTTTCAATTGTTTAAATATGTTTATCTTGAATTGTTTATAACTTCCTTTAATACAATAATTATTTTAATAAACGCCAGAGGTCGGTCAAATGCCGACGTTTATTCCTTCCAATTTCCGAAATTTTGGGAAAATTTCCGAAAATTTTTAGAGTATCGTTCCAACTGGAGCTTTTGTCTAAAAGATGCCTGAAGCGTCGGCACAACACGAAAACTGTAATCGTACTTATGAGGATATGGTACCAAGTCCTCGACCCAAAAATTAATTAAAATAAAAATTATAAACAAATTCAACGTATAAGATAGAGTATTATTATAAATAAAATTTAAATTCGATTTTTTAATATGTATTATGTAAAAACGAAAATTAAATAAAATCACTTTTACAAAATTTTTACGACAAATTTAGTTTCCAAAAATATTTTTAAGTAGCAATATATTAAAATATTCCTAGGATATTTTTAAACAAAAAACATCTTTTTTCGTTTGGCTATCTGGGGATTTGGTGGGATTAAGTGTAATTCGAAGGAATATCGGGGGAATTAGGAGATGCTGAGTTATGATTTCCGAGGACTTTTGAGTTATTTCCTTTTTCCGACCTGCCTCTTATAACCACCAATCTCTCAGGGAGAGAAACTTCTCTCTCAATCTATGTTTATTTAATCAAAAATCTTTGAAAGTTTGACAATCTTAAAAAATAGTTTTTCCATTTTTAGTAGAAAACTTGCTCAAGAAACAGAATCAACATTTTATTCCGATGATGGGGGTGTTTATGTTGGAGAAGAAAATAAAAAGAAAAAATTAGAGCTTCCATTATTAATTACCCCATCATCTACAGCTTATTATGCAACAGCAACAATTCCTTCAATAATTTCAAATCAATCAGATATAACATATTTACATACTGGAACATTAAAAGAAAAAGATTTACATTCAAAAAAGAGAAGGGATTCATCTAGACCAAGTATTCTTTCAATGAGGTAATTTTTTGAATGTAAAGAGAAATTATTTTAATTAAAAAGAAATGATTCAAAAGAAAGACAGCAATTATTAGCTTCAGCAGTTAATGAAGCATTTGCTAATACTAGAAGTGCAGATGGAAGGAGAAAGGAATTTTTGATTCCAAATGAAGATAATGAACAATTAAAAATTGAACAAGAAAATGAGGAAAAGGGGAAAGAAAGGGGGAAAAGTACTGAATTTTGGGTTTAATTATTGTATAATAAATTTTGTGTTTTACATAATATTTATTTTTATATTTTTTATTAAAAATACAACTGCTTTTTAATTTTTTTAGATTTTTGATAGGTATTAGGATATTGGAAATAATTTCTTATTTCCTGATAATGTTCCGCCGGAACCGTAAATATAAAAAACGAAATTCAAATTGGGCCAACCGGAACTTCCGACGGAATACTTAATTAGAGGTTAGAAAAAGAAAATTACAAAAATTAGTAATTGTTGGTTGTTTAACGTTTTTTTGTTCTTTTAAATTGGCCAAACTCAACCAAAAGAAGAAAAAAATTATAAAGTAGCTGGCAATACGTCTTAAAATCGATTTTTGTTGGCTTTGCTTTAAAATAAAATTTTTTGTCAATAAAAGAATAACTAAACAAATTCATGGCCTTTATTTTAAAAAAATAAAATTTGGCCCTAGAAAATACTCTTTTTTGTTCCCTGTCTTTTAATTAAAAAATTTTTTTTTATTTCCTGAATTTTTTTATTTTTTGAGAAACAATATTAGTAATTTGTATCAAATTCTAAATTTCAAATTTTGAAAAATCAAAGTTCGCAGTTATTTATTTGTTACACGTAACTCAAACTGTGCTTATATTTTTCAATGGGTTATTTTAGTGGGCTTATACATATTAGAGACTGGGCTTATATTTTTCGATAGGGCTCCTTGGGTGGGCTTATATTAAAGAAGGGCTTCTATTAGAGTATTTACGGTATATTATTTAACTAATGAAAAAAACTTTTCAGTAATAAACTTAATAATTAAGAGAAAATTAAATGAGCTTTTTAGAAATTAATGATTGTAATAATTTATATAAAATAATTGGTTGTTCTAAAAACGCTACAGTAAGTTATCTGAAAACTTTAAAAAAATAATTTTCGTTTTTTAAATAAAGTCTGATCAAATTTTGGTTGAATATAAACAAAAAGCTCTTTTGTTACATCCGGACAAAATTAAAAATAAAAATATATCTGAGGATGAAATTAAAGAAAATTTTCAAAAATTACAAGTATTTTCTAATTATTAAGACTAAAAAATTAATTAATCTCTCATTCAGTTTGCAAAGGATATTTTAACAAATCCACAAAAACGGAAGCATTATGACCTTTGGATGGATGTTGGTTTTTCAGAATTTTCTCTTCAAGAATGGATGAATAATCAAGAAAAATTACAACAAGTATATTCTTTCCCTCTTCTTAACAAAATTTTTGAAATTTAAAATAGACATTACATTGGGGACAACAAAAAGAGAAAGGAAAATTAAAGGGAATATCAGCAGAATGTAAAGATAGAGGAAATGAATCATGGAAGGGTTGTAATTCACCTACGTCGAGAGCTTTTAGAGAATATAAAATATAGAAAATGGAAGCTTATCTTCAAAAATATTTTTTTAAAAATCATTTTATAATTCCCTTATATTCCTTTTTTACTAGTGAGCGGCAAAATCATTTTTCCGGGCCCGGAAACCGGATTTTGGATTTCTCACTCATGCCGGACCGGATCCGGCCGGATTAATCCGGTCCGGTTTTAGTCCTGAAATTTAAAAAAACCCAGATTTGGGATCCGGACTCCGGAAAAATCCGGCCGGATCTGGTCCGGTGCCGCTCACTACTTTTTACAGTATACCTAAATAAATATTTTTGGCGTTCTGTTATTTTGACGAATTATTTGTATTTATTCTGATATATTTTTCTAAATTAAAATCATTTTGTATAATTTTCATTTAATTTTTGGAAATATTTTTTATTCCAGATGATTTCAGAATCTTGATAAAGGATTTTTTAAACCTTACACAAAAATGCCCCCCTTACAAGCTTTTGGGCATCATTGGAATATTTCAAAGTTTATTTTACAAATTAATTTTATTTAATTTTTCTCAAATTTTCAGTGATGATTTTGTCTTTCCTGGATTAACTGATTTAATTGTTAGAAGTTTTTGGTAAAAATATTATTTTTAAATTAAAAAATAATTTTCTTTAAAAGGGTTATTTGTTCTCTAATTATTTTTATTGTTCACAATCCTTTTGGTTGTTCAACCTATGTTTGGTTACCTATTGTTTCTTTAATGATTTTTGTAAATTTTCTTTCTGGTGGCCTCTCTTTTGCTCTAGCAATGCTTAGCGCTCAGGGATCAATAATGGAAATGGAAAAGAGGAGACATGTCTCAACATTATTATATGCTAGACTTCCTGTATTTTTTGTTGAAGTAATTTGGACAATTATAACGACTTTGCTTTCTTTTAGTAAATTTTTTTTTGAAATTATTTTTCTTTTTATAAAATTCAGATATTTTTTATAATGCTGATAATCTCTGTAAAATTGAAAGTGGAATTCGTATTGCTGTTGTTATTGAGTGGATTCTAGTCATTTCTATATTTATTGGTGCAATATGTGTTTTTAATCCACACGAGGGGCGAAGAATGGACAGATCTTTGGTTGATGAACGGTTATATTGGAAACGAAATTTTTTTCTGGTTTGTTTTTTATTATCAAAAAAATCCGAAGGAAATTTGGTTGGAGTTGGGCTTTTGGGAATTTTTTAAGCGAATAGTAAAACCTTTGTTTTTGGCTCTGTTCAGCTTTTTGGAAATATTTCCTAATATGTTTGGTTTTTTTGTTTCTTACAAGGAGAGGTTGCGAGGTGGCCGACCTAAAAACGGTCGAGACCGGGCTCATTCGATAGAGAATGTGCCCTTTCTAGCAAGGATTTTGAGCCGCCTTTGCCCGTTTTTTGATTTGGCCAAGATATGGCACTCCAAAGTCCCAAAATTTGGCATAATTCTAAAAAGATTTTATTTTAACCTTGAATAACAATTTTTGCATTTTATTTAAATTGCCAATTTTTCAGTGCAAAATGCGTGCTGATAACCAAGTTCGTCAGGCATTAGACGATATTGCAACGCTCATCTCTCAATTTTTTGAAGACAATAATTATGTTATTTCTGACATTATTGCTGGCCTTCTTCTTCTTGTACACTCACCACACAAACGTATTCCACCTCCAATTGAGTCAATTATTAAAAATGAACATGAATTGCCGCATTGGATGAAGGTTATTTTTTAAAAGATTTTTTTGAAATTTTTTATTTTCAAGTTGCCAAATTGTTTAAAATATGCTAGTCGTTACTTTGAATTTGCTTTTGCGGTTTATGGATGGCCACATTATGTTGGTTGGTTTTTTAATTTTAATTTAATAATTTATTTATTATTTCTAGCCTGTAATTGTGCTTGTGGTGCTTGGTATCTTCTCTGTAAGAAACTCAATTGTTGTTGCCGTAAACAGTTTGTTTTAAATTTAATGGAAAATAATTTTAGATTTTAGTGATAATCGCCGAGATTTTATGTTAATGGGTGATAATTGTTGTTCTTGTCATAGCAGGTTATTTTTTTACTTCTTTTTTATTTTGGGAAGAATATGAAATTATAAGGTTAAAATTAGTAATCCTGTAAATTATACAAGTTTAATAAGAGAAATAAAAATTTACATATTTAAGGATACCCGTTAAGTACCCACTAGAGAGTGAGCTGGATCTGGATCCACACCTTGATTTTTCTTGGATCCAGATCATGGCATTTTTCAGAGTTCCTTGATTTTTCCTTGGCTCGAGGTCAAGAATCTGGTCAAGGTACCCAACCGAAATCAAGGTCAAGGTTTTTTTTGAAAATCTAGCTTTCCACCCGTATTCTTATTTGTTTTAGAATTATTTGAAACAAATTAATGTTTTTAATTTAAGTGCCCTTGAATTAATGTTGGACGATGAATGTACACCTGCTTTTGTTTGTTTCCGAAACGGACTTTTTGAAGTACCTTTTGCCGTTGTTATTGACCATCATACTAATTCAATTGTTATAGCAATACGAGGCAAATTTAAATTTATTCAATTTTTCAGGAAAATATTTTTAAAGGTTCCGCATCATTTATGGACATAATAACTGATCTTTCACTCGATGATGAAACGCTGGACTCAATTGATGTGGATAGTGACCCAATTCTACGTTCAGACAAGGAATTGGACGGTTTTTAGATTAACATTTATTTAAAAATAATTTTTTAAATTTCCAGGTTACGGCGAAATTCGTGTCCATAAAGGAATTTTAAAAAGTGCTCGATATATTTACGAGACTTTACAAACCAATCATGTCATTGAAGATGCTCAACAACGCTGTCCAAATTACAATATTGTAATTTGTGGGCATTCTTTGGGTGCTGGTATTGGTTCTTTATTGGCACTTTTTTTAAAGTACTTTTTCTAATCTTAAAAAAAATTTCTTTTAAAAAAGGATCAAGTATCCGGATATTCGTTGCTATGCCTTTGCACCGCCAGGGTCTGTAGTAAGCGAAAATGGAATTTATGTTACTGAAAAATCAACGTTATCTTTTGTGTTGGGTGATGATGTTGTTCCTCGAATGACTTTCCAAGTATTTTTAAATTTTATTTTTTATATTTCATATTTTTAAAGTCAATATCTCTTCTAAAAACGGAAGTTGAGAGAGAATTAACAACAACAGACAAAGCAAAATATGAAATTTTAATTAAAGGAATTTTCAAATTGATTGTCTCTTATCCTTTTTCATTACATAGAGGTTTAATTAAATTATTTAAATGATTAATTTTCATTCTCAATTTAGCTGACAATATATCCACCCAAGGATTTGCAAACCTAACAGAGAACAATAATGATATGAGGCATTCAGAAAATATTGGAACTAGAGAGGAGAGAATAATGGTATATTTTAAATTAGTTTTCAGCAAAAAAATAATCTTTTTTAGCTTCGACCTCCAGGCAATCTGCTTCACCTAACCTTTGAAAACCAGAAAATCAAAGATCGGGTCAATGTCAATTGGATTGATCATTCATCGCTCGCTGAAATACAGGTACAAACTTTATTCTTGTTAGCAAAATTTTTGCCATGCCTCTGACTTGACGTTTAAAATAAATTTTGTTTTAGCTTACAAGTTCAATGCTCAGCGATCACTTGCCATATAATATTCACAGAGCACTTTTGATAGCAAAGGAATATTAAAATGCCCATAATATTTTTGCATAATTTATTGATTCTTCGAATGACTTGTATTAAGATATCTTCTTTTATAATCTAATCTCAATTTTAAGCAGAAATTTTTAGAAACAAATTTTATTTGCTTTTAGTCTAATTTTTGTTCGATATTTATTTTTAGAATTCTATTGTAAGTAATTTTCCTATTCATTTTCCCATACAACGATTGTGATTTTATTCATTTTCTCCTTAGTAAATACATATATTTCTTAAACAATCATTATTTGTACGGGTAATTTCAAATCTTTGGGGCTCATTTTTGGGTTAAAAATTTGAACAAACAAATGGGCATGAAAGATAAAATTAATTTTTTCATACTATGCCTTATGGCAGTATTCATTAAACGAACTCCTTTTCCTTTCCGTGAGGTTGTAAATACAAAATCAAAAAGTCTTAATGTGAAAAAGAAATGGAAAGGGAGGTCGTTTTTCTGAAAAGGTTTTAAAAACTTTAAATATTCAAATTTACTTTCCAAAACATCTAAATTGTAAGCCGATCAATTGCTTTTCTAAGTTCAATATTCGTGCATTGGGGATGAACCAAAGTTGTCAACAATTCAGTACATAAGTGATCACAAAGGCCCGGGCTCGCATCTTCAGCTCGTCGCAGTGCTATTGCAATTGTTTCCAAATCAGCGGCTCCATGACGAGTTCGAGACAATTTTTCCAGAGCCGGCAAAAAGGCTCGCGTTAATGATCCGCGTGGAGTAACAAGACGTGGTGTAATTGGCGGTGGAGAAGAGGCATTTGCCATTGGAGAAGTTGTAACAGGGACAGAAAATGTAAATGAAGAAACTTCATTGTTGCTAGATTTGTTAACATTCGGTGTCGTTACAACTGGAATGACATTTCTTTTGCCTTCACGAATTACAACGGTTGACGTTGAATTGCCTACTTAAAAATATACAAAAATAAGTTTATTTTTCGTTAAATAACCTGCAGGAGCCTTCACAATATTTTGATTATTATGCACTTCTGAATGTTGGTTCGTTTGATGATGATTCTCTACAAACTGTTTCTGTATATTTTGTTGGGATGTTGTAGATGGCATCCGTAAAGTATCAATGTTTATCACAGATGTATTGTTTTGAAGGTGTTGGGTTCGTACATTCGAAGAGGCGACCTGAAAATTTTATATGAATAAAAATAGAAAACAAAATAAACCGGAATCGGTTGTAGAAAGAGCGAGCAAAAACCCCAATCTAAAAATAACAAACCTTAATAGTAGCCACATTGTCAGCTGTCTCGTTAACAGCTTTGCTAACACGCGCCCATTTATCACCATCAACATCGCCCAATCCTCTCATTCCGTCTTCAGTTGGACTTCTCAGAGTTGGATAATCCCATTGAGTTCCACCCGAATTTGAGTCTGCGTCAGAATCTTGGTCAGAATCCGCATTTTGTTGAGAAATATTACGAGCACGATATTCCAAACTGCGTTCAATTACATCACGAAGAATTTCGTTTTTACGAGCGTTTTGGATAAATTTGTGACGAAGTAGTTCCTTGACTGGAGGGCGCTAAAAGTTAAACAAGTTATTGGGACCTTTTAACGAGTCGCTTACATTTTCGGGATCCTTGTTAAGACACAATTCAACAAATTCCTTAAAGCTCTTGCTCCACTGATTGCCATGAAGTTGAGGTGGAGGATTTTTTGGAATGAGGAATAGAACACTCATAGGATGCCTAATAAATTAAAAATAAAACAAAAAATTGAAAAAAAAACAAACAAATCAGAATGTGGAGGTTCCCTATTTGCCAACTCAAGCGCAGTTATTCCAAGTGACCAGATGTCAGCCTTGTAGTCATAATTTGATTGTTTAATCACCTCAGGGCTAAAATAAAAAAATAATCTTTCTAGAACGATTAAGTTATTTTTGTTCTGACAAAAAAGAAACAAGTTTGGACCGAATATTAGAGAATCACTCTCGGAAAATAAAAACTTACGCCATCCAAAAAGGAGTGCCCACAAAAGTCATCCGTTTTCGAACAGTTTCAGTTAATTGACTAGCAACACCAAAATCTGCCACTTTAACATCCCCTTGTGACGATAGAAGTACATTTGCAGCTAATTAGAATTACAAATATTTCGTTAATTTTTTAAACCTTTAATATCTCTATGAATTTTATTTTCTGAATGTAAATAATCGAGGCCTTTGAGAATTTCTCGAAGAATAATAGCAATGTGTTTTTCTTCTAATCGCTGGCTTTTAGTTAAATCAAGCGCTGAACCACCACCCAAATATTCCATTATAATCCAAAGTTTTGAACCCTTTTAAATAATTTTTGGAATATATTCTTCAGAATAAATTTACCGTTAAATAAGAGCCATAATATCGAGTAACATAAGAACTGTCACATTGAGATAAAACTTTAATTTCTTGTTGAATATCCTCAATTTCATCATCAGCCTCCTCCAAATCAATTATTTTTATGGCTACAACCTAAAAAGAAATTTCAAAGTAAAATTCATTAAAATACCTCCGCCGTCCTATTGTCAATACCTTTAAAAACTTCTCCAAAAGAGCCACGGCCAATTCTCTCAAGCTTGGTAAATATCTCATTTGGATCCATTTCTAAAGAAAAATAAAATGCTTAAAAAATAAATTTGTTGAGAATTAAGATTTAAATATTAATTGAATGACAAACAGGATTTTATTAAAAACGTCAACAATTTACACATTATTTTTAATCTTTTGTCTAATTAAAAAAGCAGAAAAGTATAAATAATTTAAAAAACAACAAATCACAACATAAAAGTAATTTTTAAATCTGAAAATAAAATATAAATTACACTTTTCAACATCTCTTTCAAAGAATTTATGCTTTTTTCAATCAATCAATGATGATGGTGTTCATGAGAATGATTATGGGAATGACCATGAGAGTGATTGTTAGAGTGGTCATGAGAATGACCATGAGAGGCAGACTCGTGGTGATTATGAATTGGAGTTGGAGGATTGTGTAAATGTTGTTTTTGAGATGCCCAAGTGGAAGTTGGATCTTTTAGAATCTAAAAAAGAAAAATCAGTCTAGAAAGGAAAAATTTTGGCCTAACTATAGTTTTCAGTCCAGGCTTAGAATTGGATTTTTGGCTTCTGAGCCTGGACCGGAAACTCTAGTTTAGGCAAAATTTTTAAATTTCTGGTACTTAAAGGGGGTGGGTGACCGATCCAGGGGACCTATTCAAAGGTTCAATTGCTAAAATATTAAGCTTAAAAAATAAAATAACCTGAACAGTGCAATTGTTAACAACAGAACTAAGTTTATTATGAATTGTTCTAAGGACTGCTTGTTCATCTGCATCTCTTCTAACACGAACATCAACAGAACCAGCAATTGTACTAAAATCAAGTTGCCAAAAGTGAGCATTAATTAATTCTAAAACTCCGTCAACTGTTGAAGCTTCAGAAATAAGCCTAAAAATTTAAATAGGAATTCTCATGAAAAATAAACAAATAACCTATCAATTTGATTCTGAACATGTGGAGGTGTTGTTTGCAATAAAATTTTTCCAGTAAAAGCTGACAAAGGCATAAGCGATGAAAAAACAACAATTGAAAGAGTTAAAGCGGCAGCAGAATCTACCCAATAAAATTCTGACCGAAACCAATGGACAAAAATGGCACAAACAGAAGAAATTAATGAAAGGAGAGAAAGAGAATTAATTCTGGGAAGGAGAAGGCGTGCCAAGCCTGGAACAAAATAACAAAGCGCCGAAGAAATATCTGAAGCATGCTCCTCAAAATAAAATTTTTTAGAAATATTTCTTTTAAAAATTAAAATAAAAACCTGTATAATAGAAGAATGGGCGTGTTTTAAAACATAAGAGAATGGTTGATCGTTTAGAGCATATGCAACAGTTAAAAGAGAAATAGCACTAGCAAGAATAGATGGGTAAAACAAATATCCAGATTTCTCGATATCGCCTTCCTATTAAAAAGATGATTAAATTCGAATATAAAAATTAATTTTAAAAAAATTAAAAAATATTTTGGGAGACACACTCCATCAAGTCTTTAATTTTTTAAAATAAAATCGGTACTTGTAAGTTATCTCATACCAATTCTTGCGGACATATTTATGCGGACTCACTCATACCTGCAGAATAGTCAGCCCTCCTCCATCATTCTCACTCTACATTATTTAATGAGAGGCATTAATAAAGAAAAAATTATTTTTCCTTTCAAATGTAACAAATAAGTCTGTATTATAAGTGATTCCGAATTAATATGTCCCCAAAAACTGGTATAAGATAACTCAAAAGTATCATAAAATCTCAAAAAAATACTTGTATAATTGCTGCTTCCCCTCCATGATGACTATGATGGTGTTGACCTCCATCAAAAAATCGTTCAACCGCTTCTTTTGTAAGAAAAACTGCAGAAAGTTGAGCTAACACGGTTGTTGAAAAAACAGCCAAAACTGGGGCTCTAACATACCCATAAGTAAATCTAAAAATTAATGAGACCTTTTAAAAATCAAAAATTAACTTTTTGTTTCTTGAATGGTGTGATTTACACAAAAATGAAATAATTGCCGAAGAAGCAGCAAAAAATGAAAATACTGATATCCACGTTAAACCAGTTATAACTAAAGATCTGGTGACAGAAATGGCATAAATTAAAAATAAAGTAATAATTGCACAAATTAAAACACAAAAACAAGCCTAAAATAAAAATAATTAAATAAAATTTAAATAAATTTAAAAACTAAACTTTCGATTATCCGGATCTGTGTATAATAATTTTACCAATCTTCCGTTGATCATTTTAATTAAAATTTAATAAAATAATTTTTGAAAACAACTAAAATTAATAATCAAGTTGGACAAAAAATTCAGGGTACAGCCCAAGTAAACGCGCGGCCATAACGGCGCAAAGCCATAACTTGCTTCAAGATTTCCGAATCTTAACAAATTTAGTATTAAACGATTCAACTCATCGAGATAAAGAGATTCTTACCAAAATTGATAAGGTTCAGAAATTTTCCAGCTAGTTGTGGCTTTGCGCCGTTATGGCCGTGCGCCTACTTGGACGTATCCCATTTAGTTAGAGAAAAATAATTAAGAGAATGTTATAAACTAAAAAAAATGTTTGGTGACAGTTTGATTAAGCCCTATTCTGTTTAATCTTTCAGCATTACTTTAACGTTGACGAAAATCGAATGCTCCCTTCCGAAAAGGTGACCGAGCTCACTCTTGTGAGGTCATGCCCTTATGGCCACCCAGGGACTCATAAAGAGATTTTTGCATTCGACTGCGCGCCTCCGGGCGCGGACTCTCTCAGCCGCAGGTCCAGGGACTTTCCTCAGAATTTGCACAGCCACTAAGGCCGTTTCGTGATTCCGAGCAGTGAAACATACCGCCACCACGTGGCTTTTTTCTCTTCTTCTTTTACTTTATAAGCAACAACTTTTCTTTTTAAAATAATTGATGGGGAGTAAAAGTGGGGGAGAGAACACTGAGAAAATAAAAAATTTTTTAACAAAGTACATACAAGAAAAACATTTTCTAATTTATTTAATCATTTTGAATGCGATTAATTTAAAATAAAAAAATGTGAAAACAAGTTTTGTTTTTTTAATTGAAATCTACGAAATGATTACATATTTTTGTCATTAAAGAGAACTACAAGAAAACCAAAAATAATTTTATTTAAAGCTAACAAAATGTTAAAATGAGAGATATACATAATAGATATTTTCCGTTATACCATAATTATAGCTCATTTGGCATAGTTTATTAAGTTATAAATCGAGAGCTTAGAACATCTATTAAAATCATAGTTACTGTAGATGCTCTAATTAAAGCCCTGGGTGTCTATTTTTCCTTGGGTCTCCTTGGATGGGATTATATTAGATATGGGCTTCTAATAAAGCCGGGCTTTAATTAGAGCATTCACGGTAACTAAAATAATAATCTTAATTTTGACAACAACTTTTTATCTTTATCACAACAAAGATAAATAATGTCTAAATGAATAGTGTAGGAGTGGCATAACGAAAAAGTACCTAAAAATTAATTTATCTGGCCCTAGCGTGTCTCATCATCGAACTTTAATTTTTCTTCTATTAAATTCCCGAAAGAATCTTGTTTAGTAGATCGTTTCCCCAAAGCGAGATAATAGGGCATAATTGGATAATAAAAAGACATTGGATAATAATATGACATTAATGTTGTTGGGTAATAAAGTAATTGTGCCTCACAACGATCTGTGCCTAAAAATATATTTTTTTTAATTTTATTTTAAAACAATTTCTACCTTTTAAAACAAAATTGAATGAAATAATCTTCAAAATTAACAAAATAACTGAAATATTATTACAACTGAACATTGCTATTTTTCTCACAAAATTTTGAAAATTAATGGGAAAATGCTAAAAAATGTTGCTAACAAACAAATTTCGCTTCAATTTTATACTCTTAAACGTTTCCTTGTTTTTTAAGAAGATTACTATTCCAAGAAAATAAAAGTGGAATGTTTTTTTGTTTTACCAGCATATTACGCTTAATTAACTGAAAACTAAAATAAGTAACATAAAAAATAACTTTTCATTACAAATTATATCTTTAATGTAAACAAACAAATAATTTTTTTTGAATATATTTTTTCAAAATTTATAATAATAATTAGGGTTGCCGTCTCGATTCGAGCCGACGTTTGGTGCATTTTTTCGAGCTTGATTTTTTCGATTTGATTCATTTTCGAGCTTTTTGTGCTGAAAAGCTCGGCTTGTTAGATCTTTTGATTTCAGTTCGAGCGAGCTGGCAACTATAATAATAATAGGTATGTATTCTTTTAATTACTAAATATGTATCTGATTTTCTTTACCTAATCTTTATACCTAATCTTTTATTAAAAATTTTATCCTTAACAGCTTAATTAACAAATATTTTTGTCAATCAAAACACAATTTTTAATAAAAATATTTCTTCTAATTTTTTATATTTTTGGCATCATAAGTGGTTGATTGCTTTTTTATTTATTCTAATCACTTAAAAGTGGGTTTTAGGTTATTTTTTGCTCAAAAGATGTTCTTAAAAACTTTAAAATGGTGCAAAATACTTTTATATTTTTTGTGGATTTTTTGTTTAAATAAAAAATTGTTAATTGACTTTTTTAAATTTTAGTAATTAAAAATGATTGTTTGCATTTTAATTAAATATTTGTAATGAAATTTTATTTTTAGCAATTAAAAATTTTTTTGTTTTTTTAAAATTTCTTCTTCGATAATTCCAGATCTTTACTGAATTAAAAGGCCTTCTCGAAAAGGAAAAAAGGAAAAAACACTATATATGTATGTCTATTGTTAAGATGGAAAATTTGCAAGTATTAAGTGTTTATTTACTAAAAATATTAATGTATATCTGGTTTTTAACAATACTTGTTTTGATCAAACAATTACTTTTATTTATTTTTTGTCTGATACCTTTCAAAATACAAGAGGTGATTTTTTTGCAAAAATATAGTATCAAGTGAAGTCATTAGGTAGGTGATAAAGGAAACTATGTCTGAACTATCTCTACTTAGCAAAAATATATATAAAACGAGCTTAGCAAAAGTTTAGCCACCGGGCCGGGTTAAAATAGT